TAAGCGAAACTCGCCCTTGCGGGTTGGTTTTTCTCGGCCGGCCGGTTATACTACGAATTCGCTACTTTATAGGTTGATGTCGGTGGGATTCGAACCCCAGGTCCTGCTGCCGACTAACCCCGGTGGTTGTCTTGACCTGACAGGACCGGGAGTCGAAGTAGTTCGCCCTCGTCGTATTGAGGGGGTCTTGGTGTGGGAGAAATTTGGAGATATAAAAATATATCTTTATGATTTGGTCGCCGGGCTGACTAGGCAGGTCAGCCGAGTGTGTCGCCTTTTCAGCCAACACACTTTTGCCACATAGATTTCAAAGAGACCATCAATTCAACTATTTTGGTTCCACAATGTCGGGAAATATCATGTCGCCGCCTGAACGCACTGCTCCTCTCCTCTCAACTCAGGAGATGTCGGCAGCTTTCTTTCGTTCATCGCTCAGGGTCGGGGCTGGCTGATCTGGACGGACCGCGCCATCGAACAATCTCGACCCTCAGGAGATGCACGAGATATGGGCTGAATGGGAAGAGTCAAATCGGTCTGGACGACTATGCCTAGGCTCTTTGCCTTCTTCATCCTGCAGATTCGAATCAGCGCCGGTGACCACCTTCTCAGTCCTCAGAGAATCGACCGATTCTTTCAAAAGTTGGCTGACTGATATTCAAATGTATTTGAGGATGTCGGTTTCTAGCACAGGTCCCCTGAAACTCTAGGACTCCAGCGCAAAGTGAGTGCGTTGCGTACGTCTTTACGTGTCCTCGTTCAATCGCTGTTGAGCAGGGCATTTACTTTGGTGATATTCACCCCCGTCGCCCATTCTGTTCAGCTAATATCGATGCCGTTGGCCTGGCCGTCGAGGGAGAGACAGCAGAGGTGATTCGTTTGGGCGTCTCGACGATCATGGCGGGCAAGGACGGACTGTCAGTCGGAGATCACATGCTGGATAAGTTCTATCATGGATGGCATCTTCATTGCCTCTGGTAGATGCCTTTGTTCACCGGGTTATCTGGCGTATAGGTACACCTCCAAACTAGGCCGCAGGGACAAACTCTTTCAGAACGCTATACACATGCACGTGGGATATAAAAGGGAGAGGTGACTTCTTTACAACGGTGACGGGGAGAAGCCTCGACGACCAGGAGTTCTTGCTGCTGTTTTTCAATGGTACGAGTCTCTTCCACGAGGACGATCGCCCAGGGGGGAGTTTTCAAGGGCGAAACAGCATGGTTGCCCGTCAACACCTTTGAGGGGGCAGACGAAGCTTGTCAATCATGGCGCGACCAGTCAGTAAAATCGGTGAGTATCTGCCCCTGAGCAAGCACTACTTTCGCCTGTTGATCATGTATGAGATCATTGAATATTTACCAGTCTTCCTTGCCCATGTCTTTGCAGCCCTCGCTTCTTGCATGAATGTCGGGTGCAAAGCAGTGCGATATCACGGTACACCCTCAAACAAGGCTGACCCGAATCTCATCACAACGACCATACTCATATTCTTCTCGGATGAAAGTGTCTCACAGGCAAGGAGAGGGCAGTCACTTCTGAATCCGTCTTTCTTCTGGTTTTCAATGAGTGATTTTGAAAGCGACGTCGGTGACGGCGACACGGCGGCCAGTACCTGGCGACAAATCGACGTCAGGCCATCCTTTTCCTAAGGTGGGGGGTTCTCGTTCAGAGATCATGTATCACACAGTCAGGAGTCTGTCCAGCAAGTGAATAGGGCTTGCATCGCTTGGGGAGGATTCAGTGGTCTATATTCTCACCGGTAAAGAAGTTTGCCAGAGATGGTCACCAATCAACGAGGCACACTGAGGGCACTTATCTCAGCTTATAGGGTTCCGGCAGTGGTGTACATCAAGGCGGCTCCGTGAACTGTCCCGCGCGCTCCATCTTGGTCCCGGTATATTGAACCTGACAAGAAGCTACTCGACCCGTGGATCTGAGGCCGTAGTGGATCTTACAACATGCCGGCGTATGCAAAGCGGCCTCGTCTGATTTCTTGACAGAATTCCTCCACTGATAGATGGATTCCCGTCGATAGGATCTTGCATGTGGAGAGAGGGAGTTCTAGAATCCACTGTGAAGATACCCTCCTTCTCAAGAGGCCGGACTCCCTGAGTGGACCATGTCGCGAGAGTTCGTCGCGCAATGGTGGTTCTGTGGCCGTAAATGAGGTGAAATGATTGCTCAAAAGCCGCAGCAACAGTCGAACCTCTGGGCTAATTCAGCTGGGTTTATTCTGGATGGAGACCATGGAACACGTTTGTTTCAACCCATAGAAAGGCATGGGTGGAGCTGCCAGGCTCAGGTATATCTCTGAGGCGTTCCGCCATTCGCCAGACCTTTTCTTCAAGAGTCTGGCAATGGGACCACAAGACCTCCCGACAGTTGAATGATCCATAAACACGACGTCAGCGATCTTGGATTCGTGGGACAGTCTAGGCCAAGGACTAACGGAGAATGGTGGCCGCGCAGACACGGTACGAGAACAACAAGCTACATCACGACTCTCCATAACCGCACAAGGAGGGGCCGGTTCAACTCTACGCAATCGAGTTTAAGTAAATCGTGAGCATCTGGAGCTCGACGATTCCATGACAAACGGGGACTCTTTTACGCGGGTTGAAGCTGCACACGAGAGAAACGCCCATCGCCATAGGAACACGGACACAGAGACACTCGACGAGTTAATCGCACCGGCAGCAAGAATAGACTCCGAACTGTACGCCTCAGAAGACAAATATGCAGCAGGCATAGCCGAAATCGGCGAGGACGGTAGCAGGGGACCGTCAAGTGCTAGAAACATGGGGCGTTCGCGCCCTTCAAGAGGGATTGCCGGTCCTGAGTATTCCCTGTCAAAGAAGAATACTTAAATCACAAGCGTTGTAGCGTGCCCTGCTGCGAATATGACGTGATTTCAATAAGGCCAGTGAGCGCCGACGGCGTGGCAGGGGCCGTTACGATCAAAGCAATCCCCAGGTACAGAATACCGTAGTAAGCTTGTACGCTGCACTGAAAATGAGCCAATATCAACACAAAAGCCACCTGCATGGGGGTTTGAATAAGACAAATCCGATATTTCTTTCCCTGGTCCCGTCCAAATCGCTGTGGCGAGTTGAACTGGGCTGGAACATCTTCTTGCTTTTCAGTGCCCGTCGCATGCGAACGTCGCCGCCTTACGGCGCTCCAGCGTGAGATACATCACCGCCTTTTCTGCGGCACGGGGCCTGGCGAGGGATTTTGCGTTGCAAAATTCTGTGTGAGCTCTGTGCATTGACAAACGAAGCTACTCTGAAGTCGGCACCAAACGTACGAGGCTCAACGTATAAAAGCAGTCCTAAACCTTCCAGGTGGTTGCCTTCCGCATGCCCGGCGACTTGCTTGATTCAGAGGGGAACATGTACACTGTCGTGTACATACTTTCCGGCACAAGCTCACACTTCTGGATTGCTGAACACAGCTGGCATTCTCCGAGATTCGTCAATGCTGCTATCACGAGTCAATTTCTGAGCCGTCTTCGCCTTTCTCGTCTCAAATTCTGTGATGCTGATCCTGTCCTCACAATGTGCACCCTCCATTTGACCATGGTGAGCTGCCGCTGACGCTTGGGGACAGTTTCCTGTGTGCCAGCGAGATGAGATTCAGGACACATCATCATGAGGACCGAGGTCAACCTGATCGCTGTCTCGGGGTTGTGACGCCGGGTAATCACTGCGACGACGACTGGCCCTGGTGTGGGCAGGGGAGCGGTCTTTTCGAACACCGGTGGCTGCATTGCCGCCGTGCTACTACAGGATCGCTTTTTGATGCCGCATATTTGACTACCTGGGTTCTCGCTTGCTTTTTTGATCGAATCTTCAGTGCTTGACGTAGAAGACATCCGAGCAGCCCAGCTGTGGAAGTAGGTAGAGATGCAGGCTGCAACCGCCACCACAGTCGTGCTACCGCTGGGTTCGCACGCCCCTTCGTCCTTTCCTGTGACTGTGCTGGCGCTGAGTCCGTTCCTAACCAGTGTATCTAGTGATCTGCAACGCTTCGGGACCCCTTCGGATGATTCATATCTTCAGTAGTCCATTATGTTCAGCGACATGACAAGGTACCTGACAGGGTCATATCATTCAGGGGGTTCCTCAATTGTAATCACTAATGTTCTCGGAAGATACTGCACTCCAGACATCGCCGGTGGTGCCACCGGTCCATTGAGGGAGATGCTATGGATAGATAGCTAATGGGGCGAACAATGTGAGCACAGTGACCCTCCATGTGGCCATCATCGTGGGCGGCTGTGCTGCCTCGTGGCTGAGTCTAGTCTTGATTGGAGAACATCGGGCGATCTGTGAAGTTTCACTTCTCTCGGGCGAGACTTTCAGCTGTCCACCTCCTGGACAGCGACGAGGGCGGGAAGCAGATGACGCAGGGGTCTTTCGTGCGAAGTCTCTTTTCGTTTTGGACCTTCTTGAGTGATAGGTGCAAGAGGAATGGCACCCGGCCGGGAAAGCCTTGAATATTGACCTTTTTGACTAATCCAACCAGAGATTCCGTGCATTTTTCGCCATTAATGAGAGGATGGCTACGAGGCCTCTTGACATATAATTAGAATTGGTAAGTGGAAGTCGCCGCCTCCGCCAGGAAATAGAAAACGGATGGTACTTAACTCGACAGCATCGGGTAAGACGGTAGCTGAGTAGTGGACAATGTGTGCCAAAGCTTCGTGGCTCCCCATGTGATCAAGGTTTAAGCATCTCTGCATTCTCCAGTCACGAGATATCCGTTCATCTTCTCGCCCACGTCCTCGAGTTGACCAACCAGTAACGAATTCTTTGTTGGAATTTGCGTCTGTGGTGCCACTGATTGAATCTGCGCTTCATCCAACCGACTGATGAGACCTGGGGTGTCCTTTTGGGTGAACTTTTAGTTGTCCACTTCTCGTCGTGCCTGGAGTCCGCATCCGGGCAATTCAAGATGCTTGGCTGGTAGGGAAAATCACTCGCTTCTGCTCTAGGTACGCTGCCAAGCTACGTAAAGCCTCAGACCACTCCATCGAGCTGCGTTCGGCGATGTTGTGGCAGACGGAAAAGCCCCTCTCTTTAGATAATCAGTGCTGTGTGGGTAGGTCTTGAGTTCTGGGAGCGAGCAACAAGTCCATTGAGCAGGCTGATAGATGGGCCGCTCAGGTCGGCTTTCCGAGCACAAAATGATTGATGTTCTCGACTGACTTGGCAGTGGTGCATGAATCAACGACACAGAGGACGGAATTATCAGGATGGCGTTTCAAGATCCAGGCCACTGCACTGTGTTTCTCAGATAGCCACGCACTGTTCATGCGGATGGCAAGTCGACGACCACGATCGCTACAGTTCAGGGGGGCGCTCCTCTTCGGCCCTGCCACGGCCGCTTAGAATATTGTGCAGATGGTTGCGCCATTCTTGAAGGAAAGAGAGTTGTGTCTACCGTGACGACTTCCTGCAGTTTCTTCAGCGTGCGGTATGACTTCGAGGTCGACTAGAGATAGTGTTCTTTCGGGTTTAGATGCGTGGTTTATCGTTCTGGCATCGAACTGGAGCCCGATGCTATTGCCTCCTCAAAAGGTGGCAGATCTAGATGACGTAAAGCCCATGGACGATGGGCTGCTTTCCCAGGCCCGATACTATGTGCTCTTTCTACTGCGTTACCGAGCCGAGTTTCCACGAAGAGGAGGCCATTGCAGCGCCCAAACAGACATGAAATTATGTCGATCTCGCTCTGGAATGACTGCTCTGTGGATTGTGCAGCCAATATCGATGCCGTATGTATAGTTGATGAACGCATGGACGTTCAAGGTTTAGCACCGCCGGCTCTGACTCATGAAGCCGGGTTTTGGTAGTCACACACTGGGTAGTATCAGCGAGCAAGGAGATTGGCGACTGTATAGCCGTGCGTTGTTGAAGTGTTTAGGGGCAACAACATCAGCGGACGAAGTTTCTGCCAGTTTCTCCTTGGCCCAGCGCAAAGTTTGGATTGATCCGATCTCTTTTTTTGGTTTTTGGCGTAGGACCTTGCATGAGTAGTGGGTGTATAAGGTGCTTGGATTGCAGGTTTGGACCATGGCTTATTTTATGGCAGAGAAGGCATGCAGAGGTAATGTTGACCGTGGACTTTGGAAGTGGAATAATGAGGCAAGGGGTGGTAGTTTGAACAGCAGCTGCATGAAGAGGTGGTGTGTAAAGACATAGAGTGAATGATTTTAAGGTGGTTGTCTTTTTGAGGGGGCGAGTTAGGGTTAGGGCAGAAGCTCCATAAGGCTACCATGTATATCCCTTGGCTGAGCGCAGCCAGCCACTGGGAATGTTCGCATGGCGCATGGCGCATGTCGCTGTGTGTCTGCCAAGAGCGGCGACCAGATTGGGACTGGCGGCATTGTCATCTGACCTGCCTGCGCTTTCGCAGACGAGCTCGAGCCAGAAAAATTGAACTCTGCACTCTTCACCTTCTACCATTGTTAACTCTCCATTTCCTTGTTGTGGGCGAGATATTACGGGTTCAGTGCAACCTGCTGTGGCATCACCATATCACATGACCATGGCACACGTCTCTACGCCTGCCACAGCACCATGGCACTTGCCGCAAGCACTCTGGGGGATCAACAGGTATATAGTTGCCTTCAAGCACTTTACTGAACTTGGCCAGAGCAAAAATCCGTTCCTTACCTCAAACTTCCACGACGTCGAACACCATCAGTAAAGTCCTGGCGTTGGGCTTGGGCTGGACCTCGAGAGATCTTCGCATTCTCGTCACGGAAGCAGAACCCTCGGTGAGCTGGCAATGAGTCCGGCATGATGGCTCCCTCGATTATTGACCACGTCTCTCTCTCCCCAGCAGAATCATCTCGTCCACAGGTCGGACTTGTGAGACCGCCTCGTACTCCTGGCAGGGATAGGATTCGGTGAGCTGGCAATGAACCTGGCATCATTTGTGCCTCACCCATTAACCACGTCGCCCTCGAGCAGAATCGTCCTCCTGTGGTGTCGCTCGACACCAGTTCTTGCCTTTCCATCAACCAGGAAACATTCCACGCTGATGCCACGAAACGACAATCACGACGGCCACGGCAGGCGCCTCCCACTTCTCACGCTGCTGGCCATCCTCTTCTGGCGCTTCGTTCGCTGCGTTTTCGTCCTCCTTCTTCTCATATCATTTTTCGCTCTCACAGCTTGGGCAGCCGACTGTCTTGCTCTCTCACCTGGAGCCACTGTGTCTCTGCTTCTATTTATTGCTACTTTCGCTTCAATTCCTATTTTTGTGCTTGCCGGCTCGATCCTGTTCGGTTCCTCACCATGAGTGGAAATCGGTTCCTCGAATACCTCCACCGAATACATACCGACCCCTGGGAAAGAGACTATGCATACACTCCGTTTCACAAACTCGCACCCACCCCGGTAGAGCCGGAGACATCCCTCAGCCCCGAGGCTAGACATGAGTTATTCGATTATACGACGGGGAAATGGTTGTAAGTATCTGGGAACTATGCCGCGAACCACGGCCTGACTCTCTGGCAGGTTCAATGAAAAAGAGCGGCTCAAAGAGCGGAAGCACGTCTTCAATATTGATGCATTGATCCGTCTTACTGCTCTGAAGCTGGGGAGGCCTCTGGCTGACTTTGGCGACTTGGTCAAAATGTACGAAGGCCGCTCCAACCGGATCTATCACATCGGATTCATTGATGGCACTGAGCTCATTGCTCGCGTCCCCTATCGCCACACCGGGCCCCCTGCGCTTGCGGTATCCAACGAAGTCGCGACTATGAACCTTCTCCGTCATCTTGGATTCCCCGTTCCCAGAGTCATCCTATATTCAGCCAACGCTCGAACTGCCGTGGGTGCGGAGTTTATCGTCTTGGAAAAACAACTTGGGCGCAAGCTTTCAGACGCATTGCCCGACATGACACGAGACCAGCTGGGCCAGCTCATCGAGCACCTGGTCCACTTGGAGAAACAACTTGCGGACATCCTATTCCCAGTCTATGGCAGTCTTTTCTACAAATCAGACTTGCCAAAGGACATGGCCACGGTGCCTTTCTCGGACGCTGCCGGCTTTCAGGACCTATGCATCGGCCCGTTGATGGCACCGACAAACTGGTACAAGGGCCGTAACACCTTGAATGTCAACTGTGGGCCATGTAAGTCTTGCTGCTCCCGCCTCCCACTTGCTCCGCCTCTGCTTTCACAGCCTCATTGACGAAGTGCAGTCCAAGGTGCTCGGCAGGTCATGGAAAGCGTCGGCATCAGAGAGTTGCGCGCGCTCGACACATTTTACCAGGGCCAGCTGGTGTCGAGACGAGTAGCCCGGGCAGCACTGAACGCTAACTGCGACGCGGAGGAAGAACGAATGCCCATGACCCAACAGGAAAACAAGGTGGAAGGCCTAGCAGATTACTTGAGAATTGTCCAATACCTGGTGCCGTCGGATGAGTGGCTCTTGAAGCCTGTCTTGCGCCATCCAAAGCTCATCCCCAGACATATCTATGTGAACGACAAATTGGAAGTTGTCGGACTCCTTGATTGGCGGTATTGCTGTGTTATGCCGCGTTTCCTGGCGGCCGGCAGTCCGGAATATCTGAGGTGTCATGACGACCAACCGCATAGCCTTGAGGAGCCGGAGTTTCCTCGAGGCCTGGAGTACATGAATCGGCGGTCGCGTGACCGGGCTTTTGAAGACTGGGATGACCGCTGGCAACACTGGGTCTTCATGATCGCCACGCAACGAATCGATCCCGAGCGCTTTCGGGTTTTCACCCGGCCCTCGTACTGCTGGGTTCTCAAATTGTTCCACGACGCTGCAGAATTTTGCGAAGAGAATAAAACTCTCAGAGCTGGCCTTGTGCATGCCATGCGTCACTGGGATGAGCTCATCTACGACAATGGCCACACTCAAACACGAATGGATGGACAATACTCTCTACCGGCCGTCCCCCCGTGCCCACTGTTCTTTACGGAACTCGAGGCACAGCGTGCCTTCCGCGGACTCGACAGGCATGACGAAGCTACCCACCTACTCGACAACATGCGCAATCACATTGGTATCGACCCAGATGGATGGGTGTCTCCAAGAGCGTACCTCGAGGCAGTGCATCGGGAGGCGGAGATCAGAAGGGATTTTATGGCGAACCTGAACACCGATGCAGACAGGAAGAGGGCCGCGGCGTGCTGGCCTTTTGCCAACTGCAAAGCCGAGGGATGCAATGTGTTGATGTTCAGCTGAGCCGGGCCACCTTGCTGTAGGTATCGAACTGACGTGGGTATGGAACATTGGTATCATTGTGGAAGACAGGCGTCAGAGGAGATGGACTGTATTCTACAACACGATTATTTACTAGCCGCCCACTTGTCATTGGTGGCTGGTGCCGGACTCGAGCTAGCAATGTGATTGACAGATATCTGTACAAGGAATCAAAGACCCCGTATCATCCTCAATCTGCACCCTCCTGTGCCATCACGTTCCTGTCTCTTTGGTGTCTTGGGTGCAAAGCGCAGCTCTCGCGAGAGAGGATCAGAAGGAGTTTGGAGCGTGCTGCCGGCCAGCTTGGGGTTGGAGAGCCCAGTGTGGATGCCGGCGAGCTGGATGACCTTATGCCACATCGTCATCTCTTTTGTCAATCACTTCGTCTGCCGGTAGCCACTTTGCAGTGAGGGCGGTCATACTACACCTGGGGACGACGACCCGTGCTTCCCTCCCTCTCGCCTTAGTGGAATGCATACGTTCTTCGTTGGTGAACGATGATGATCATGATGCGGTGTTTATGCCTTCCAGACCCGGAATGGAACAGGGTTTCCTCTCTCACGGCTCCTCGGATGTGACGGACTCTCGCCCCCCTTTTATCTCTACACTCCGTCGTGCTACGTCGACAGCGCGCAGCGAGGTACCTCGTAAATCCTCAAGTTTGATTCCATGGCTGCCCAAGGAAATACAAGTTGAATAACTCTTGACGCTAATGGTCACAGTTGATTCTCTAACATTGGTGGAGAATGCGAGCAGCATCTTCGGCCTTGGCCGGTCTGGTACGATGGAGCTCCAGACCGTGGATTGGGCCAAGGGGTTAGCGTTGAGTGTACAGTGGAGAGGATGCTTTACTCGACGAAGAGGAGGCTGAAGTCAAAACCCCACCACGCACGAGCCCGTGTGCTCGATCCTGGACAATGCCATGCGAGCGGCGGAGAGGAACGACGTGCCAAAGGCGCAGACCGGCCTTGTTTAGACTGGTTGGCAGTGGCTGCTCAGTTCAGTATATTTTATGGCTGCTGGCTGAACTCCAGAACAGGAAGAGCCGAGAATACTCTCGTGACGGGTGAAGCAGAGCTACTGGGCGGATGCAATCTTTTTCAAGGACGACCCTTCTCGCAGCACCGAGGACGGCAACGACGGTGGACGAAGATGCTCGATAGGAGGGTGAATCTGCCGCCTCTCCCAGGAGGCTTACCTCCTTCACGATCCGCATGGTTGCATTTGCGATCTTGCTTCTTCGGCTGCACGACTACGAACATCACCGGTGCACGGTGTCAAATGTGGTCAGCACCATGTGACAACAGTTTCCCTCGATCAAGGTACTGGAAGCACGCCTACCTCAGATGTCAGATTCCACCCGAGTGTCATGCGACATACCGACAAGCCCGAACCGGTTTTTGCTCATGTATGGGTACGTGTTTCACTCCTGTTATTTCAACTCCTGCATGAAATAGAACAGGGTGCGTGTGAGAAGGCCTTGTTGGGCCCTCCTCGAATCAAGCCCTGGTGTACGTTTCTCGGGCGAAGACGTTTTGTATCTGCAGTGAGTGAGACCAGATCCGAACACTTATTGGACAATTTGCATCACCTGCCGGGAAGACGCACATGGTGCTCCCGACGAGATCTTTGACGTGATGACTGGGACGGAGAACGAGGCGGAAGGAGACGACGTCGTGGACCATTTGCGGGGAAAATAAGTATCCGCGTCGCACGCACCACGCGGACCAGACTGAATGAAGGCGCAGGAACCTGCGATATGGTTCCTCGATAGGATGGTTTCTCAACATTCGTTCAGGATGTGGCACACCCGGGCACATCCAACATACAGCTCTATTCGTGTCGTCCGTCGACCAATACCCCCTTCAGCCAATGCCACGTGAATGATGAGACGCAAACACATTAGACGATGCCGAGGGGAGATGATTAGTAACTCTTGGTACAGCGGGTAATCTGTCATGGTGAGAGTCTCAGGGCGGCGGAGCAGAAACAAAACCCCGGATATGATCTTCGAGATGCCCGTGCCTCAGGCGAATCTTGATTGCCGCAACACTTGTAAAGAAAGGCTTTTGTAGAATTAGGTCACAGATATCTCTGCCTCATGTGACGGTCAGCAATGGCTGACGGCAGGGTTGAGGGGTTGGTCTCATACCGTGCACCAAGGTCCAGCAGTTGACTCGCGGGCGCGAAATTGAGCCATCCCGAATGAGTGGACGACAGGAAAGCACATCTGCTTGCAGATCTCTATCTCCCCAACAGGGATGAGAATCCAAAGTCTCGCATCGAATCTCCGTAGGGATCAGTGACAGATAGGCCTTTGGAGGGCTGTAAACTTCCTCCCCACCTGGTTAGAAGCCTCTCGCGACTTGCTCCAGAGATGCATCTTGAACTCTATTGACTGACAGCATTATTCACCTGTGTGGATGGCGACGGACAGCCCCCTTAACTAAAGTTGTCGATCCCGTTGACCCACGGCCTGCCCTGCCTTCCTCGGCGGTCTCCCACCCTTTGGAATTGACTTGGTGGTCTTTCTCGTTGTTGTCTTTGTGGATGTTCCAGGTGGCCGTGTGAGAAACCGAGTTGGACGAGATAAACGGATCTTATCTTGGCCCTTATGGAGACCGCTCATGCTCCGCGGGTGCGTGAGGTGGACAAACAGGAATTTCGGCCATGCCTTGATCAATGTGCAGTTGTTGCCGTCGGATCTTCTCCGTTGAGTACAGGCGATGTGCTGTGCCGTGATCCCGCCACCGACGACGCCCAGTCCCATCAACACCGCATATAAATCGGGCGTGTTTTAGGAATTCCCATCCTTACAACCCAAAACCACACACCTCGACAAAACCCGCCTCCCCAATCCAAGGACATGGCTCCCGATGCCCTGTCAATCGTTGCCTATCTGCTTCATGCCGTTCAAGCGGAACGAGAGAACCGAGTGCGAGTGACTGGAAAAGAACTCGCTCGAGACGGTGAAGAAGCAGACGTCGACGCGAACGTAGAAGCGAGATTTCAATCAGTATAATCCCTGTCTTGTTCGTCTCTGCTTTGACATCGTAGGCGACCATGCCCATCTAATTTTCTGGGTGGACAGGTTCAATGCATTTTGATCCCCATACACTGCCCTTATTCCATCATCAAAACATACATACCTGGAACCACTTATGAGGTATTGTCCTTCTGGTTCTTCTCGTGAGGCGATTGATCCCTCTGGGTTCCCATCCTCATTTACTTGACATACAAGCCGAAATCAGCATAGAGGATGGCTGAGAGTATCACAATATTGGTGCAGCCGCTGACAAACGGCGACAGCGACACACTCGCACACCTGCCTCAACTCTCGGTGGACTTCTTGTCTTCACTCGGGTCATTGCAAAGAGGCATCCCTCCTCCTCCATTGTCTTGTCTGCAGACTTTTCACCGACACGAGACTGTCGTAGGTCATCTGAAGTCGAGCCCTCCGATGATGATGCAGGTAGAAACTTAACTGCCCACGCTTGCATATGTTGGAAACTCTGCATCGGTGATGTTTCCAGCTTGAATTGTGGCAGTTGTCAGCCGTCCGGGCAATTTGAAATGGATATAGGTGTTGGCCCATCCTATCTGCTGTGTCAATGCAATTCTGGATACATTCTCTGGAAGCTAGTTCCGGTCTCCTTGGGTGAAGACCGGCCCTACTGGAGGAGAAGGTCGTTGTTCAGGACAAATGTCCCTGGTGCACCGGATTACACCTTGAGAGACCTTATCTATCTGCATTGTCTCAAGCGACCACCATCCCAGCCTTGGGTATGTATGCATCGGGCCCATTCCGTCTTGTGCTCCCAGCATCTGCCATACAGCGGAGTGCGCCATGATTTTCTTCTGCGTCAAACAGCTCCATTGATGCGATCGTCCGCCTTTGTCGAACTTGGTCCTTCGCTCGACGTGACACAGAGTTACGGCCATCGCAGCAACATGAGATTATCTGCTTCTGGATCCGGGGCTTTCACACGTTTCATGCTCGTCAACGTGGCGCAGGCCCATCATAACAGACTGCTGAACAAAAAGTATTTCTCCGCGCGATATCGGCACCCTTTCAAGGGTCTCTCTCGCAATGTCTCAAGAGTCACTCACTGCATCGCACCTTTTTCCTCGAAACAGGAGCGACTTGCCCCATCTACTGGGGCCTTCTCGAAACCTCTTCAAATACAAGCCGTCGTGGACTGTGTAACCCCTGTATCCCTGGAACACCACAAAGCGGTGAAGGCAGAGAGAGGCTTGATCTCGGCCCTTGCAGCTGAGGTTATATCTCTCGTCTTCTCCAGCAACAACCGCGACCTCAGCTCTCTGGCTTTCACAGCTTCCTTAATAGCTAGCCCACGTTGGGAAGGGGACCTCCTGCAGCCTTAACCAGCCGGGGCGCTGACTCTGTGTCTTCCCGTGCCTCCTTAACAGCGCTATCTCGGCTACTCTCACCCTGATATGAGACGTGTCCCGCGCCGGATAAGGCTCACGAAAGCGCGGCAATGCTGTGAAATCAAAGTGATTGAATTGATTGATTAATCTACGAAATCTCTGCACAAAATGTGCGGGCTAAAAGCGCGGTGGAGACGCTCGGCAAACTTTCCTCATGAAGGATTAGGGCACACACTCGGCTGACCTTCCTGTGTCAGATCCTCAGCGAAGAATCAGTGAATGGGTACTTGAGTCCTCTTTAGGTGGAGACTGTCCGATGATTGCGTCTTGTGTGTGATGGTGTGATGTGATGTGTTGCGATACAGTTGAGCCCCTGGAAGCTGAGCCCGCAGACGTACATGTCCTTATGTATCCCCAAAATCCCAAGGTTCCCAGCGTTCCCATCGTTCCCATCGTACCCAACATTCCTAACAGTTCCAGCGTTCCCGTTCTTCCTAACGTGTCGAGCTTGAATGAATGTGGCAATGTGTTCTCTTGTTGATCCTGTGTGTTCATAAAGCAGCCCGATCAGCGTCCACGCTTATAGACTCTCTTCCCATTCGGTCACGACCTGGTGCAACTGGACATCCGAATTGTGCATACCTCGGGCTCGTCAGGGTCTGGACATGCGCTGTATGTTGCCCGGCGAGGTCCATCCCTGACCAATAGACGCATAAACACCCTCTACACCTGGAATAAAAACAAATACTGGGAACGTCGCCGAGCCAACATCACGCATAACACACTCAAAGTTATCGTCGGTTCTCCGCGCCAGAGTTTGCGCCGCGCATGGGTCCAGGGTTTAGCTCATGAATCAAATCCCGACACGGTCCCCACTCGCTTACAGTCCGCTTCCGAGGGCAAGGAAGGGGAGGCTACTAGCCTACCAACGCCTTTGGACGTTACCCAGATCGTCAAGCTCCGTAGATAGTGCGATTTCCGACGGGTATAAAAGTAGCGAGAAGCAGAGGCTCCGTAGAGCTCTTAGTGCGGTGTCTGCTGTCACGGCTCGGCAGCGGAGTCCATGGCCCTTCGCGAATACTCGTCTGACCGAGCCCAGGTCCGTGCCTCCTCGGCCCAGTGTAACAATGCGGACTTCATATCCAGGTCCTGATGCCACTGAGACCCAGGGCACGGTGGCTGCAGTGGCTTGGTGGCATCATTTTAGCTCTCCATGTATTGTCATCAATCCTGGTACGGCATTTAACGGCACCCACTCTCACCAAATGGAAAGGTCACAAAGGTATTGCAAAAACGTTGCTGAATCTGGCAGCGAAAGGGCGACGCGCTTGGTCAGGATCCGTAGATATAATGCTGACGAATGACTCCTTACTTCGCCGCCCCTATCTCTTCTTCACTTCTCACCGAGGTAGAAGCCATACGGTTGAGGTGGCGGCGAGACTAGCTGTATTCGACGGATTGCTTCAGAGGGCAAGCAAATCCCTTGTCTTCCACCAGGCGTCGTAGACAGATATCGAAATGATGTCATGCGCAGATAGATGGTGGCTCTGTTCAGCTTGATGCAGTTGGCACCTGAGGATCACAACTCGGGGACTGTCAATGTCGGTTCAGTGACGAGGTCAAAGAAGGTCCACCTGCTTCCAGGTGGCAGCAAGCACGAAACTGACCCACTCTCTTGTATGTCCGGTCAGTCCCGGTTCGTGGAGATCGAGGATGGCTGCAGTGATGCCCTGTTGATCAACATTGTATTCCTTGGATCGTGTGGCTTCTTTTGAAATGCCACGCCCACTTCCACTTTCTTCTGGGATGCAAATGGATCCGTCAATGCTCATTAAGATAGCGAGGGCGGACACTGTCTGGAAGCCTTTCTGCCACTGGCTTTCCACGGGCTGTGGAAATTCCGAGGGACCCGGTAACTCAGGAGATGCCAGTCGAAATGGAACCAAGCAGACCATAGGTACAAGGAGGGTGGACCGGCGCTCACGCCGCCCTCAGCAGGCTAAATACGTCACGGAGAGGAGGGCACCAAAATCTTGAGAGAAGTGGGATCAGACAAGACTTGAATCATAACTGGAATGTGGTCTTGATGAGCACAGAGGGCATTGTAGAGCCTGCCTTTGCCGAAGTCGTTCCTTGCCTTTGTGTGCACATACATTCACTCTCATGGTGAGCCTTGTGACATGGTTTCTCATCTTGTCGACCTCCCAGCCCAAAGCCGAGTGGTCTGTCACACCTATCTGCTTGTGTTCCACCTCGTGGTCTGCATTAGATTAGAATCAAATCAACTAAGATCGGCTGAATCAGGCTGCCATTGTTACACTGACTAGGAAGGTCAGCCGAGTCTGAGCCCTAATCCTTCATTAAGAAGGTTTAGCGAGTGAAACTTCGGCGCCTTTCATCATGCACATTTTGCGCCGCAGAGATTTCATAGACAATCAATCAATTCAATCGCTTTGGCTCGACAGCTATAGCTTTCAACAGCCAATCGATGGGAAACCATAAGACGTGGGGAATCAGCAGCGGGGGTGTTGGCGTAGAGACGCCGGTAATACCCGCCCAGCTTACGCTTCGCTGGATCATTTGAACGTGCTGCAGGATGAGCAACAACAATTGTCAGACATGTTTGTTGTGGCGCTGGCGCGCTATCGCCGTCACGTTATCGCCGTCACGTACCTATCGTGACAGCATGTGCCAAGCCAATATAACAACGCATCCCCAACTTGGTCTCGGACGGACAATGCTCTCCGTTGCATCGACCGACCACAGATATTCATAATGTGGAACCTGCTTCAGTCTTCTACCAGACGGACAGCCCATCACGCAAGGTTGCCGTTGGCGATGTCATCAATCTCGGCGGTCCGAGATGCTCGAAGCGAGGTTTCGGAAAGTCTGCGTGAGTCCAGAAACCCATCAACTAAAGGATAGAATCTCGGTTACTTCTAGGCTACAGGGTTCCGACTTCTGGACGTGAGAGAATTTCTCGCCGCGACGGGATGCCTGTGGCGATTGGGACTCTACTCCTCGATTCACCGAGCCCGGGAGGAGGACTGCCAATATTCTCCACCGTCGGGCCCCAGGTGATTGGACACTGGGAACGTTTGCCCCAAACTCCGCGATGGCACGTGTCCTCAACAAAAGCCCGGTTCCACTCCCATAGAGGCGGAGAAATACTCCGCCTTGCGTCGCATTTAGTTGAAACTCAGACGGAGATTTGGGGGACAGGGCATAGCGGCTTGGCTGCCAAGACGTTTTTTTGGGCCACTATATATACCTCCCTTTTTCCTTCATTGCCCTCCCTGAATTCTTCCATCCTTTGTGCCACCACCGATAAAGGCGATCGACCTCCTCCGGTCTTGTTCCGAATATCCGAATACACCAAATGGACACCGTCACGCTGTCGGACATGAACGGCTTCGTGAGCGTTCCCATCGAAGTCGACGAATTCTACGGCGAATTGTGGCTCAGCAGCGGCTGCCACGAAGGATTCGACGTCGTCCTCGACGTTCCAAAGGCGTATGCATCCATCGAGACGTATTGCGTGGCCGAGCTGCGCAAGCGGTTCAAACGTGGTGGTTTCTTGGTGACACTCGCCCCCCTGATCGACAAGCCCATGGTTCGCACCATCAACAATGTCTATCTGAGCCATATCCAGAGCTTGGAGCAAGGACTTGGACATCAAGCCGCCCGTTCATCGCTTGCTCAGCTGATGGCTCTCCCGGGCATGGCCACGACCACCTACCCCCATATCCACAGAGATATGGACTACCTGGAGATCAAGTTCAGCAAAGTGGCCGACGATCTTCAGGCCGCACGCCAGGCCGCAGGCAGACAGCTCAGAACGAAGCTGGTCCGCCACCTCGACGAAATTGACGACATCGTCGCACGAACGAGAGAAATGCCGGAAATCCAGTTGCACGCGGCCCATGGCCAGGCGATAGCCCTCCTCCTCCCCTACCTCGAACATCTCGACGAGACAACGCAGCAGAAGATGGTGGACGGCGCGATTTCCCACCTCCTGAACAAGACTAGTGGGTTCGAACAATTGGATCGGATGAAAACGTATGTCGGGAGCATGCGAATGGCCATGGACAAGGATGCTGAATCCCACGGCAAGGTTCTGGAAGCGTGGCGGACGGAGCTCCTGCGCGAGGTCCTGAGCTTCAGTTCCAGGCCGGAGCAGGCGGAGCTGATGACAATGGTCATAGATCTCAAACTGAGGATTCAGTCCCTGGGCGAAATGCTCAAAAATGTAGAATAGAGCACGGAAAAGGACGCATGTGCCGAACAGAGGCTAGGTTCACAGTGCAGAGAGGAGGAGTGGAAGGATGGAGTAGAAGATATTTCGATTTACTTTCATTTAAGGAGCTCTAGTTACCAAGGAATAAACAGCCGGTGATATCTCCCATGGATCAAACTCACTTGATGTGGAAGATCACTTCCTCCTTTTTATCGACCATTGTCGCATTTCATTCTTGGTCAGTATCCGAGCTTTTGGGGTGCCCGAGGCCAATCAGCTGGGGCCTTGATTCAGAAGAGCGTCTGCTGGAGGTGGGAAATCGGATCCCCGGGGAAACCCTCAAATATATCCAAAGTGTCTTTGAAATTCCTCCATCTTTGAGGTTGATTTGTACCATTGGGATGGCGTTCCAGATCTCTGGGTTCCTCTAACAATGGCGGACAGTGGATCGTGACTGCGCAGTAAGATAATAGGATCGCCTCATCCTTCCCAGCTCCCAGGAACCGTAGGATACATTAGTGTCACCTTGTCCGAGAATAGAGTACATCCTATGCCAAACCAGTTTCCTGAGTTACGTGCTTCCTGCGATAGGTCGAGAAGACGTTTTCGAAACGAGGATGATCACAGTCTTGATGTCGTCGACCCTTTTGCTAGGTAGTTCACCCGAAATTTCATATCAAGCCAGCAAGGGAGACAGAATGATGGGGCTACTATCTGCGACAAACACCTGGGCTTGGAGCAACCTGATTCTGGCCAGAGGCAAGTGTATGTCTACAGAACCCCATTAACCGCCTTCCTTTGTCTGTCCTCCAAAGGATTCTCTTGTTCCTGAGTACTACATCATTTACATACGGGTACAGTACGTGTCACATGCAGCCTATCAGAAGCTATCTCTGAATTCCGCTACACCATCTTGGGTGTGCCAAGAAACGCACCGCACAATCACAACACTGTCGATAATTCTACTGTGAGACTGACCGTCTACAGCCGCCATCCAGCAGCTTGTGGCAGACCTGTACCGTCATTTTCACTGGTGGCCTCTCAGGAGTCTTCACAGTAAGAGTTACCCGCAATTCAGACATCCTCCCTCGCACACCTTTTTGCGTCGCTGTTCTAGCCCCTCATTTCATCGCGTCATGGCTTCCAACCACGAACAAGAGAGCTTGCTCGGTTCCTCACCTACGGAGGATGATTACATACCGCCATGCATACCCCTTGGGCTGATTGCAGTCAGCGAGACTCTGGACCCTGGGCTCGTGGATGGACCCGAGCTTGACAGGTTACAGCGGGTGGGTGCCTGGACCGATGGCAGTCCACCACCACCGGAGCAAAACAGGGGGAACCAACCAGCCAGAAGAGTTCGATTCGTCATCATTGGTATTATCGCAATGGAGCTCCTTGTTATCGTCGCTCCAAGGTTTGCGTCTCTGGTCGCTTGGTGGATAACTCCAGCTTGCAATGAAATTTGTCGCCAAGGGGCGGGGGCGCAAGCACCATCGGGCTTCTAGATTGGCCTTGAAGGTTTCAGGACCCCCAACAAGTTCCATCTCCTGGCGAAACAGCGCGTTGTCCTTCTCGTTTCGTGCTCTGATAATCGGTGCGTACTCACAGAAAGCAAGTGCGCGCGATTAGTAAATGAAGCCATTGACAACCTCCTCCCTGCCAGAAAGCCCTCTACCACCTACCGCGATCGGCAGATACGATCCCCATTACCCCGTTGGCGACACTTTCTCTCCCAAAACCCTCATTCGAGACACCTTCAATGACCTTCTCATCGATCCCGAGCAAGAGGATAACCTGCCGGTGGTTGATGATGGGGGTTGACGGTGTTAATATCATCACGGGTGCGCTTGAAGGAGGGCATCAAGGAGATCTTAATGGGTATTTCTTCATACACATCGCTAAAGCTCGCCACAACTAGCCGGGGATATGAACAATGGTCAGGGTGCTCTGCAACTAGGTTCTGGTGGTGCTCCTGGGTTGCGAGCCGAGGACTGAGGAACTCCCATCCGCGGCCAACATGCCGGCGCGTAAAAGCACAGATCCAATACAAAATCCATTCTCCAATCTACTCTTGTGCCCCAGCGCCTAGAAAAAAGCCTCTGCAGTTCTCCATCTCAGGTAATATACCCGCCACCACTTCCCTTGCTTGGAGTTTGGACCTTTCAAGCCACCATAAATATCTCAGAGTCACAGATCTCTCTGCACCCGCTCTCGGGTTGGTCTAATGGCGTTTGAAATGATCTGAGATGGAATTAAACAAGCTGGAGAGTCCGAGGAGCATGGGCATAAGGGCAGTGCAAGATACTAACAGACGGACTGATTGTGTAAGGCCCGCGTTGGAGAACGGTCCTCTTTGTGATGAGTTCAAGACAAGAGCTGCATGCAGTACATCAGTTCCCATCTTTCCCGACGACCACACTTTGCCTGATTCTTCCCATCATTTCATTGTCAGGAGAACTGCAATTAACAGATGGACCTTTTCAACCTTGTGTATAAGTTCCGGGGAGTTCCCGCCCAGAAGTCGTTAGTCGCCCATAACATTCTGTTCAAAAGCTTTGGGGGTGCCGGGCCTGTAGTTTACCCAGCCCGCTGTATTCTGGGCGGGCTGGCTACGCTCATTTCGCTGGCACAGGCGGGCGACTTCGGCTGTCGATTATTTCTGCTGTGACACGCCGGAAGCTTGGCAATTGTCCTGGCTACAGCCACTCTGCGCTTCCCAAGGTTCCCAGTCTTCCCAGGATGCTGCGGATAGTTTTAACCATTCTCTCCAGCAAACTAAGTGTCAGCAGGAAGAAGACGGCGGCCAGCGTTGTCGGTAGATATACATCGATACATCGACGAGGTTGCGGCGATGGATGCTGGGCCTTGACCTTGGGTGCAAGTGATTTGCCCAGCACGGCACGACAGTACCTGTAGAGAGGCTCAGGATTTATTTGGCCGACATCTTGGGAGGTTAGGGAGTGCAGGGACACCCCCCGAAGGGCGCCCCGGAGTCTGTTGGGGGGCCTCTTGGGCCGTTCGCCCGCCGCCCGTGAGCCGCTCTGCAGAGCCTACGATCTTCCCCAGATAGGCTCTTTTCCGATTTCTGACCCCGCAACCGCCTTTTTCTTTTCTGTTTTCCAGGCCTTGCCCTGCCTTATTCCCTACAGCTGTCCCCCATTTCTTCCCTTCCAAGACCCCTCTAGGACACTCATTCCCCAGTCCCATCCCCCTTTCGTAATGTATTGATTGAGGAGGTGGGAAGGAATGGAATGCTGGCGCGTGTCCATCAATGAACTCACTCACTCACACTCGCACCCATCTTTGATGCTATCCTCTCTCGTCCGCTAAAGTCCCTCCCACAAGAATGCAAGGGGTAGGAATGCGCCCACATACCACTCCCCCTCCACTCTATGCCTCGCATTGTTGTGTCTCGCATTCCTGGTCCCGCATAACCCAGCCTCTCGCATTTCAATCCTCCCACTCCTGCCTTCTGCATTGGCAATCCGACTCCTTGCATTCCAATCTGTCGCACCACTACTAATCTTTGCATCCTGCCACAACATTCCCTTACATCTCTTCCCTTGCAATGCGCTTTCGTTGCATACCAATTCCTCGCTTTCGTACCCTCTGTAACCCACCAAATTTCCCTTACATTACATTTCCGTTGCGTTCCGTCTGCGTTTCAGCCCACCCCTCGCACTCCACCGTCTGGCGTTCTGGTCTCTTACACTGCACTATATTTCCTTTCTCTCTACATTTTTCATTTTCTTCGTCTCCTGTATGTCCCGGACACTCTTTACTCCTTTGCCGGCTATCCCCCTGCATTCCAATATCTTGAATCCTACTTCCCGGCATCGACTCGTTATTTTGCCATCCCTTGCAATCATCTATCCTTTCTGGCATTCCAATTGTATTCTGTCCCTTATACCCTTCACACCACCTCCTTTCTGTTGACTGCGTCAATTTTCGCTTCTTTGCATCCTGCATTCCCATCCCTCACACTCCACTCCGTTGCAATCTCCCCCTGCATTTCAAGGCTCCACATTCCCATCCCGTGCACCCCCGCCCGATTCCCTTCCTCATTACATTTTCCTGTTTCCCTCCATTCCATGTTTCTCCCACCTCTACTCCCTGCAGCATGTCCCATCCCTTGCATTCCATCACATTCCCTTTGTCGCCGCGCTGTCTGTTTGTTGTTCTCCTCTTTCCCGCACATTCCCTCTCCCCCCGCCCACAATATTCCCGACACTCTCCCTACGCATGATTTCTGAGACAGTTCCCCCTCCCTTCGTGCGACAATTTCCGTGCTTTTGTCTGGACTTGCTGCGTTCCCTTGACAACGCCCTTTCACACCCCTTCTCCGTCTATTCGCCCTCTGTCTCTTAGAGGAGCTGGAACGTGCAACCCGCCTCCACCAGGAAATTATTTATCCGAGGGTTCCCGGAGTGATCTGTCGAATAGCCCTTCTCTCGAGATTTGCACCCCCGGGCGCCCTCTTGTCGCCCGGAACTTGGTTCTCCTCTTCCTTCCTAACCAGCCAGAACCTCGAGCCCCTTGTTCCGTCTAAGACTCATCTCTCCCTTTCCGGCGAAAATTTATCCCCACTTGCACAACCTGACACAAACAATGCGGCGGACTGCTCTGGAGACCAGGAGTCCGATGAGGCGGCGGAGTGGCCAGTCAGACAGCAAACACCAAGACAGCCTAGCGTTTTGAATCGCAAGGAGACAGGTCCTGATCAGCGCCGCCAGGAAGCTTGTCTGATTGTGGTTTTGCCGTCACGGTGGTACAGATGTCACAAGAAGCGGGAGGCAGGTGTTTCGGCGAACAGGGAATTGGATTGGAAAGAAAAAATACTATCTAAGATGATTAATCCTTAAATGGGTTCGAATCCACACATGCTGACATCTCCCCGTATCTCCATACTCTCATACCAAACCACAGTCGTACCATACCACGCTCATATCATACCACGTTCATACCATACCACTAACTAAAAGATGCCACTTCTTGTCCCTCCAAGCGTGACTGTGACTCGCGAGCCCTTCTCATGGGGCAATGGTGCGGCAAGCTGGGGAAAAATTCATCCTGTCGTGTGTGTTTTGCCACATTCGTGGCCTTGCCAGGATTTTTCTGAGATCGCGGTGGTGGTGGTGCAATGAGTGACTCCTCCACCGATGACTTGTTGACAGCTGACCTCTTGACGCCGGGCCTATTTTGGGTTGGTCCGGCCGTCATGCCAGGACAGATACGAATGCCAGAGAGTTACTTCTCAGCCGGACTGCGAATGGGAAAGGCGGTAGCGGAGCTCCCAGGGGCGGAGGCCGAGGAGGCTGGCGCTGCCAAGTGTCCAACGTTGCGGGAGTCGTTGATGACCGTCTCGGGTCCGGCCGTCACCAGTTTGTTGGGTGTTTCAAGCTCTTGCATGGCTGGTGTCTCGCTCATCTCTGCGGTCAACGTCTCGACGACAAGCCTAGACATTTCCGTATCGTTCCGGACCCACCTCCGGCGGTACCAGAACGTTATCTCCTCCTGGTTTTCCCCTGTCTTCTTCTCTTTAACGAGTATGTAGGCCTGACGCTTATAACCAGGACCCGGACAGATATTCTCCTCTGCGGCGTCCTCGTAGTCATCCCGGTCGTCATCCGATATGTCGGTGTTGGTTTCGATCAGCGCAACTTGGCTCGCCCTGTAGAAGTCGATGATGCTCGCATGCTTATCGATGTCGTCAATCTTTGCGAGCCACTCCGTCAATGCGGTTCTCAACTGGACCGCTCGGTCCTCTGCCGATCCATCAAGATGGAGTGTCTTGAGTTTGAACGAGTTTGGGAAAGGCATTTGGAAGATGATGGATGTGCTCCGAATTGTTGGAAAGGCACGTTCTTTCGTGGTGGGCTCGTGGACGGCGGCGTGGAATTCGCTCACGCAGGGGCCTGTATCCAGATGTTGTATGTTTCTCTTGTCACGCGTCTGTTGCCTCGTACGCTCTTTCCATGCCGGCGAGGAACTACGCGTGCGTTGTTGTCTTGTTCAAGGAGGAATGCTCGGTAGGGCTTTGCAAGGGGCTTGGAAGGACAGCGTGGAAGAGGTGCAACGGGAAAGCGTGGTTGTTTAGTCAGGTGGTCGCCTCAGCTCGTATAGGAGGACGGCAGGCCGCGGAAGGATAACAGAGTCAAAGATCACCAATATGTACCCAAACAGGAGATGGACTGATGCAATTGCAGGATGAAGGATAGGGGTTCATCTCAGGGGGTTGGGTGAGACACAGGTATGCAGCCAAGAAAAACAAATCCAACTTCGGACTAGCTCGGGCCGTCCTGATCAGGTTGCTCTCGTGACAGGGAACTTGTTTGTTTTGCATGTGCATCCACATCGATGCCCAGGCAACAGACGAGAGATGTCGCAAAGATCACAAGTTGGCCTGTTTCCCGTCCAGGATCTCGCCACGGGGACGACAAGCGTGCGAGGCGATGGCCTGTGACACTGGAATCCGGTATCTGTCGGTGGTGAAGAAGGGATTTGGCCAATTGTCCCCCCTCGCCATCCGCTCTGACCGATGATATGTCGGCTTACTGATCCCGAGGCTGAACTCACATTCTGGAGTGGCGAATGAATGCCCGCGCACGTACCCAGAGAAGCAAAAACCATTGTGGCGTTTCTGGTGCGCTGGGGAAATAACATTCCCAACATTCCTATTTTCTTACACACATGCCAATCTGACTCTGTCCGGTGTCGTGTCATGTCATGGCCATTTCTTTTTTCCATCCACCCACACACCATTTTGGATAGGTTGACTTAACAAATTGCATTCCCCCTCTCTGTCGTGTCGTGTGGCAAGAAATTGTTCGAATTGCCTGAGCACGTAAGACATCATCAAGCAAGTGTCTCCAAATGAAACTCCATTCGAACTGCAAGGTTTCTGTGGCAAGGGATAGAAGAGAGGTAAGGTGAGTAGTTTAGGTTAATATTGGCCGCAGCCAGGCGCCACAGGGCTCAAGGGAAAGGAGAGGCTGGCTGGCTCCGAGCAGCAACGGAAACAGGCGACAACATGACTGACACACGGGCCGCTTTTCGCAAAAACAGAATCAATGCGTCTGCAGCACAGATCTGGTCTTTGAATGCCGACGTTCAACAAGTGGTCCAAGTATGTGACGGACAACGGCAGTGGTCCAAATGGTGCATCTCATGCGGGCCATGGTCGACCGCTCATCCTGCATTCGGATGGCTGGCTGGCCGGAAATCGCTTGCGATAGTGTGTGCGTCTCACAGGTGTGCAAATTTGCGCTGCAGAGCAGAGGACACGGGTTCATCCTGCCCGCTTGCTCCGCGTTGGACATGGGGACTACAAACGCCATTTATTCCTTTTCATGGTATCAATACACGCCTGACAACAACATCAACACCATTCACGCTTCCACTTCCTCCACATATGCTCTAGCACACCGAAGACAAGACAGGACCATGCTCGACCCGCGCACACACTCCAAACATCTCCCGCCCGGCTTCACGTCGACCAGCAGGCCAGGTTCTCGTCCACCTCGCAGGCGCAGCTGGGAGCAACAGCATATGCCGGTACTAATCTTTGTTCGCTTTCCGTCTCAACTCTGCTCGCCTGCGCATTTGATGTTTGAGGGACGCCGTCAACACCCTCATATCTCTGTTTCCGGTCTTTGTTCTTCAGACCGTCACCCCTGCTCTTAGAATTGGCCGCTTCACTGACCGACCCGAGATTCAGTGCGTTCTTGAGTGGAGAGTGTTTTCATTCGGCTGGGAAGACTGATCCGGGTGCATTGGTGTGGCACGCTCTCGTCGTTCTGATCGGTCAGGCCAGCTTCTTCATCCGGCACAGCCCGATCTGTCGATGTGTCCCCGACAACCGTGGCAGGGAACTCTGGATAGCCCTCATCGGACAGATCGAAGCCGAGGCCAAGGCCATGGGCGTGGCCGGTCTGCGGAGGGAGGGACGCTGCATCGACGTTACGGAGAAAGGCGTCAAGGTGATCTTCGTGCACATGCCAGACGGGAAGTGAACCACCCTGCCTGTGCAGAGTGATCGTCCCCTCGCTGTCGCCAGACTCTCCACGTTGGTTCCCATCCTCCTGCGAAGTCGGGGCGATGATGAAAACCAAACCTCGACAACCAGAGGGGATCTGCAACCGCTGTGTAAGGCCTTCTTTTTTTGGTGGAGGATTTGTGGAGACATCTCTTTCCTTCTCTTTTGCGCCTTCGTGGTCGTGGTTCATGCTCTCGGCCGGGGGATTGGGACGAATCAGATGGCTCCGGGCGGGCTGCAGCACCTGTGTGAGGAACATGGAGGCGTGTTTGGGGGTGGCCATTACAGTGCGAATGACGGAGAAAATAGTTGCAAGATGAAGCGTCGTGATCGATGGAGGTTCGAACCTCCACAGAGACGATCAAAGGGATTTCTTGCACCACCTTGAACGAAGGGCTGGAAGTCAAGTCGGAATCAACCCTGAAATTGTTTACCGGGAGGAATGCGTTTTGTTATCATTGCCCGCGAAACACGAAGCGCGGGCGCAATCTGATCACGGGACCAACAGCGCGGGTTGTTGTTATTTTCACGTGAACACGTCAGCGCCCGTGCGCCTACGCTGCCATGACCATGTTGTTGCCGTCGATCCTGCAAATACTTCAGATCATCATTCGTATTACGATTCATCAATCACCTGAGGTCCACTGCGTTACCCAGGCCACCCGTACACGGACATATCATTCTCCCCAGCAGTATTCTTTTCTGTCTTTCCTTTCGGTGCCTTTGGCCTTCATGCCGCCCTTCGCTGTCTGCAACTGGCCGGAGCCAAGAGGTCCCTATACACCGCCTGCAGCGCGCCACATAGTCTGTCGGTGGGTCTGCCATGTGGACATACCAGTCCAGAACATCCCGCTCTGTCATGAGGCTCTACTAACCGTTTGCAATGAATATTAGCTGCCGCTGCACGTCTTCCGTCGTCGTTGTGGTCTTCTCCACTGACTCCGATCCTCACCAAGTCCTCGCACGATGGCCGCCACATCACGTCTTCGAGCTCGCCGCAGGACGGATCTGGTGCTTGAGCCCTTGCCCGCCAGTCCGATCCACGCAAGCCGGACGCACCTCCCGTGTGCTGAGTCCTCCGTCGGTGGCCCCGAGTGGATTTTCGCATTACACGGTCTTGGTCCCGATGAGCCTCTTCTGTCCGATCCACGGAAGCCCCAACGGGCGCCCTTCACAATGAAAGAAGTACAGAGTTCGTCCTGGAGGAAAAACAACGATCGCAAATTTCTTGTGCTCACGATTGTCGGCCAACACTGGACAGAATGGCGAGTGGGACGAGGGGAAGAAGAGCCTGTTGGTGATCCATCGAAGGAGAAAGGTCGGTCCTGTGCCACAAGAACAGTGTTATATGGGTAGTAAGGAGAAGAGATGGCCATTCTTATTCCCGGGCAGTCACACAAAATTTGACCGTCCACCGTCCCCGAGCGCAAGCAACATGAGAACTCCTTGGGAGACCTCGGCCCATCTCCAGAAACCTGGGTAATGGTCGTGTCCATGCCTGGCTTGACCGATGATTCAGAGGCCATTGATGCGCTCTCCTCTGTCGACGGAGAGATGAGACTACTTCTTCCGCAGTGTGTCTGGATGGATGGACTTGAGCAGCATCGGGGGACCAATATTATTCGGACCTGCTGCTGTAGTCGATACACGCCACAACCAGTTCTCATATCCTTTTCCGGGCATACAAATATGAAGCGTGCAGCCCGTCGTAAAGCAAGAGGGTCCGAGGCCGCAAATACTACCAAAATACGACGTGATCCTGCCCCGCCCTCCACATGAGCCGCACCAACTTATGTGTCTCTTCCAGCAACATCTACAGCTCCACACCAGACCCTTGAGCAAAACGAAGTAATGCCAAGGTAGTTCTCCGGTAATTTGTGGTAGACGCAGAAGATCCCAATGAAGACGTAACCCTGTGTGGAAATTTGTGGAAACATAGAACGGATCTTGGCATCCTTCGGCGAGGGCAATCAGGCTCTTGGTGGTGTAATCGAGCATTGCGAGCGGGATGTCTCTTTTGTTCGGGCAGGCTTAGGGCGCAGCAAATCTGTCGTCAGAACTATCGGTGGTGTTCCCAACGTTATTGGCGGCTGTCTGGACGGGATTCCGTGGGCTTAGTTGGGGATCCAGCCTCATTCGTCTCGACCGGCCAGAGGTCGACCCATGGTATCGGACTGATGATGTTCTCCGAAGTCTAGCCTACTGAGAGACGAACGGGACCAAATGATGGATGAGCCCAGTATATATCCAGATAGTTGATCCAGTATGATTCCAGTATGGATCAGGATGTTAACGGAAGATAACTCGACTACGAAGCTGCGTCTGAGACAGAGATGTATCTGCTCCTGAAAATATACCAGGGAGTACATGTATGAACGAGAAAGCATATTGCGTCACTGGGTGGTTGGCCGAATACAGCCAGCCTCCGACAACTACACAAACCGCACTGATTCCTGGATGGTGGGTTCATGTGCTGTATGGCGCCAGGACCTCCACTGTTTCCCTGTCCAGGAGCGTGATGCGACTTCTCGAGGAGCTTCGTGCATAGGGAGGAATGGCGGAGATAATTGGGGTAGAAAGAAAAGACGCCCGGGCTCTCATTGCTGAGAGGCTCCAGATCAAGGGAAGTAAGGGGGACCCCCGGTAAGGGGGACCCGGAAATTGTCTGATCCTTTTTGAGTAGGGTTCAGTCAGCTGGTCGCAAGGAGCCAGGCAACGACGGTACAGCGTAGTCAGTGTGACGGGGAACCTCATAAGCTTTTGGAAGTCAACGAAGTTTCAGAAGGAGAGGAAAACCAATGGAGTTTTGGCTGAATGCAGCTTAGTGTGGAGGAAGGGAACGCGTTCCGGCTGAATCCGGCTTAGCGCGGGTTGAAACTCGAACACTTTTGCTTTTGTCGTGCCACGAAGTTCCGCATCGGGCTTGACGTGTGCGCGTACGCGTCAGAGCTCGCTCCGCTGTCGCCTTCTGTTTTTCAGCCTTGTCTTCGCCGTGGGAACTTCTTTTCGCGCTGTTATCTGCATATGACAAATTCATTGCATTATGGATTCGTCGCATCACCATACATGCATGTTTCGATTCTATCGAGACGCGTCCTCGGAGGAATCTCTCAATATCCGCATGATACAACACAGTGTGACGATAACAACCAGACGATCGGAAAGCATCCAAAGCCAACTAATGGATGAGTCGGAGTGATGGTTGAGTGCGGCGATTCAGGAAGATGGCCGGCACCACTCGGCGCAAGTCGCAACATTTATAGGATTTGATTCTCGTGGCTGCACACAAAGAGCCTCAGCTCTTCTCGATCTCCCTGCGTACTGCATCTGCAATCCAACCAATTCATTGCTACCGTCTACCAGGCCCAGCACAAACACAATAGAGAAGCCAAGGGCTACACGCAGACGTGTTTCTCGCTTGCCTAAATATTGCAACCAAGTATAACAACAACAATATCATCGTCATCACCATTATCAACCTCCACTGGACGCCGGCCGTGAGATGATAAACACCCAGTCGTCTCGAAGGGAGTGGTTAGCCGGGCGTGTGCCCTGGTCCTTCATTAGGAAGGTCTCGCAACGTGACACACATAATTTCTGCCACACAGATTTCATAGAGACAATCCATCAATTCAATCAGTCCATTCCATAATATATACATATCTACGTTCCCAAACTCAGTTGAGGTCTTCTTTTGTCGAACTTTTGAAGATTGTTCCGCAATATGGCTTCTGATCGTCCCGCTCTCAGCCCTCGCCAGGTTCCCTCTCCCGTGAAGGATGAGCCCGTGCCTGAGAATCGAGCTTTTCCGTGGTGCCAGCGTTGTGTTCGGGCTCTGTAAGTATGCTCTATCTCTGCGCTTAGCAATGCTTATCACCTGATTTCTTCTTTCTGACCTTGGGTATAGTTCTTACAAGGAGAAAAGTCTGGATCTTCTGCAGGAAGGATGCGTGACGCCTGCCGGCGCCACTAGGTGTCAACGTTGCACGAAGGGCCAGCATCTCTGTGTCCCTGTCCCTCGTCATTTATGGGCGGCTGTCGACGGACTTTGTGGTGCTGTCGTGTCCAGGGGTGGTAACAACTCTACCCCCACTACTTCCGGTAGACCCCTTGGGCTGCTCCCCTACTAGGGACCTACTCACTGCTTGCACAGCGCACAGATTCGCAGGAGAGCCGATCAGCTCGCCAAGGCTTTTGCCAAGCACCGACACGAAGTGGAAATGGCCGCCGGGGCCTTTGGTGATTCGCCGAGCGCGGTTGCTGGTCGTGGTGCCGTCATCGGCATTACTGAGCTTACCGCTCAACGACTTGTGGAAGCTGTGCGCGATCTGACCGCTGTTCTTGCTCAAGTTGTAAGCATGCTCTTTGCTTGTCGTCTGCAAGTTCCCTTCTGGTCCAACCTGACAGCATGCTTTTGGTAGCATGGCATCGTGCCACCCAGACAGCCGGGCCTGGGTGAATACAGAACTGGGGACCACCCCCAAGATGGTGAAGAAGACGGGAACGACAAGGAGGTTGACATGGACATATCCGACGGCTAAGCGTCCAGATGATGGCATTTTGTGGCCTTGTTTCTGTTTCCTGTCTTTTCTGCGCTCGTTGCGCGTCTCCCTGCCCCTGGCAGCAGACATTATATCGGAAGTGTCTTTCGCATGCGGAGTAGAAATGAATTCCAGTCGTAATCGCCATCGCCATGGTCGAGCGAGGCTTGTGAGGATCCTGTGTCCCGAATCTTGTTTGTACTGTTTGTTGGCGCACCGCACCGCCTTAGTTTGCCACTTTCTCTCCTGACTTGGATCTGTATTGCTGGGACTGGCGAAGACGGACGGGCAACAAGGTGTTGGAGAAGGATATCCGGAGGCTCAGTCGGAAGAGCATCAATGGAGACAAGGCAGGAGGGAACACGGACGTGTTTTTCCTCTCCATTGCGTAGGTCAAGAGACTTGGAATTTGCCCCTTGGAATTGACCGATTGAAAAAAGGAGCATCTTCCTCGGCGGAACATCTGAAGGATCGTGCTCACCGCTGCTGACGAGTGTGACGCTGATGAGAAAGATGTTCATTTGACGGAAACTCTTCGGAACTAGACTACAGGATACCAACGTTGTGTGATATGGAAAGTAAAATTGGTCAAACTTGAGGGAAGGTTATAGCTCACAAACCCAATCACATAGTTCATATTGTGGCTGTGAACATCCACTGCACAACCCTCCACAGCAACCAAAATACCAGAAATGAATCCGAAGGACTTTATCCAAGGAGAAACTCCCTCGCCAGAGCTTTGGCTTTCAACGTCTGGAAATCTCCGAGTCCTTCTGGTCGTCCGTGGTTGTAAGGAATCACATCTCCGTACTTCTTTGGTGTATGTACGAGCCCCTTCATGTCCGGCCGCAAGATCTGTGGTGACGTTGTTGCTGGCTCATGCAAAGCTGTTGGTCGGAAACGCAGAGGCCCGTAGACGCTGTGAACCATTCTTGCTGACGCCCATCTCTTCAATGGTCTGACATGCTTGGTCGAGAGATGCCCTGGACGGCCTGAAGGTGACGACAAATGCCTGGCTTTATCGACGCCACAGTTCCTGGAGGTGTCGAAGTTCCGGGTGGCCCCCTCTGTCCAGGACTTGACCGTCTCCAATGGGTCTGGTGTAGAGGTCTTCGATCGTTGGTTCATGGCTGGAGTAGGACAGGTCTCGAGATGTAATCTGCATGACAGGTCAGTCAGGATGAAGCTTGCTTGGGCTCCCTTGGAGTGGACAAGTCTGATACCTGGCGAATAAGTCAGGTCCTGCTGGACGAGAACTTCCCAAGACCCACGGCGCAGGAGATGGAGAACAGAAGGAGGTTCGTCGCTTGATGAGTTGACTCGGAGTCGACTGAGCGGTATATTTAGTATTGACAACCGCAAGCTTTCGGAACGAGGTGTTGAGATGAGTTTAACTGGTAAGATGCAGTGGCAGAAGGTCTTGTCATAGGAGATGCAGATACAGGTGCAGCAGGAGCCATTGTGCATGGCCACGTGCTACGATGGAATGTAGCGTGCGTGGTCCTGTCGGATCCAGCAGCTCGGGTGCTCTCGGATGGCAGGTGAAGGGGATCAGGGGAGGGGTTGACTTGCGGCACTACCTGCAACTTTCGACACGGTAAAAGCCTCTTTGAAAAAGAAGCAGCAGCCAAACAAGGATTATCTCGGCCCCATGACATTGTCGTATTCCATCTCGCGCGAATGAACACGCGAGATGAAGAACACCTGGAGTTCATACCGAAGGAGATTGTGTGAGACGATCATCGTCCCTCTCTACCAGTGAAGAAAATGGCAGTTCACAATCTCAGTGTAGATCGGCTGTCCAGACCTCAAGGCCAAGTCCAGGGGATGATTTGTAGTGGATTAGGCGGTCAGTTAGGTGATCCTCATGTGTTTTGGTGGGCGCCTTTAACCAATCTTAAGCCCAATCCCGACTAGCTAGGCATGTCATGCCCCAAAAGGTGGCCCTTTGGGGCTTGTTACACCGAAGACCCTTACTTAACTAATTACACACAGGCTTCTTTTTAGTTTGTCCTTGCGGATGTCGCACCCCAGATGTTCAACTCCAGGTACTCAACCTTCGCCAACTGTCCTCTCGCCTCACCTAAATCTCGCCCCAGCTGGCTAATCTAAAGGCAAAGGAATTCGTTATTATATTTAGATCTTTGAAGACTCTCTCCCATCATCTGAAGTGTCTTTCTTGCGGACTCGGTAGTGTCCTTGGAGCATCGACCTCTCAAGTGCCCGGTGCTTTTCTTGAGCCTGTGCAGCGGCGTCAAGAGACGATCGTGTTTCAAGAAATGTTCGCAGTAATCAGTTACGAGCCCTTAGGCGGGTGGCGTTTGACCCGATGGTGGACAGGTGTAGAACCAAAGGATGTTGGACTGACTAGGTAGGTCAGCCGGGTGTGCCCAGATCCTTCATCAGGGATCATTAGCGAGCGACATTTTGACCTTTTTCGGAAGAGTCGCCATCATACGGTGCAGGCCATCTGAGCTCTGCAATCCTCGTACTTTCTCTAAAGCATACCTCTCACGCTGCGTCGTCGCGTTCTATCCTAGCTCGATATTATCACAGAGTTCAACAAGCGAAATCTGAATAGCTACGCCATGTAGGGAGGGCGGTAGTGAGGACGGTGGTGCGACATCAACAAACAAATTTGAGGAGGAGTGCCTAATATTTTTTGAACTGCAGAGCAGCGGATATCCCTTCTCCTGCCCCCCATCGCCTACCCAGCCCAAGTGGTTATCACCAGCAAAAGAAAGAGAACGGAAGCACACACACTGCGAGATGGGGTCGAAGGTCAGACCATGCAAAAGGACTCGGTGAGCACACTTGAGGTCAGCGGGCACCACAGAGGTATCGACCGCGACAGGCACTGACCTGGATTAAGGGTGTGCCGTTGAGAACCGGGTCTGCATTCTCGTATGGAGCACGGCCTTCCTCACCGAACCTATTTTCCTCTGCCCGTCCCAACCGCCGTCACGCACCTGCGTCAGAGGCGAGCTCTGCCACCAGCCGAGAGTTCCAGGAGATTTATACGAGAGTTCAGTCAAGAGAAGAGGATGGCTCCGGGGCTCGACCACGAGGAGAGCTCTTTATGTGCACCTCAACTCCGTTGTGGCCTTAAAGTGACAAGTCATGAAATAGAGCGGAACACTGATGGAAGGGGGCTGTTGTTGTTGTTGTTGCGGATATGTCACAGCAAAAGGAATCAGTCGGCACGAGTCACAGTGGAGGCACCAGTCGGCCGCTGTGCAGGACAGGACGAGGGAGGATAGACTTCACGGCCGCCAGGAGCCCAAGGGCACGGACGACATCGCCAGAGCGGGTCGTGCGGTGCAGCTACCTCATGAGATCTGCGGCTTCAGCTTCACACCGATTGCCGCGAGCGAAGCTTTCCGGGACCCAGCGCTCAGCGCTCAGACCCAGCTGCGCTCGTCCGAACCCTTGTTCCAGCAGGAAGGACTCCCTTCTCGTCGGGTTTGCCTTCGTCGTCTTCCTTGCACATGGTCACCCCCCGGAGGTCTTCGGCGCGTTCGTTCTTTACCCCCCCCCTTTTTCTAGCTGCCTGTGCGCTTCAGAGAACCGTCCTCTCCACACCCCATGGTGTGGCTTTTTGATGTGGATATCCCCAGGAGACCCATGGAGAGAAAGTGCAGAAGATGGAAGATATTACTCACATCGGGCTGGCTGAAGGCGCAGGGGAGGAGGGAGGAGGGAAGAGGCCGCATTCGACTCGACCCCCGCGGCCCCCGTCTCCCAGCGCAGACATCCACAATCATCATGACGGTTGTGATAAGTCAGAGGGCATTCACATACATCGGGAAAAAGTGGGCAGAAGGAGGGAATGTTTACACCATGTAGGTGGGAGATGAGAAGATGTGCGTAATCCAATGCCCCTTGCAGTCTTTCCTCAGGCTGGATACATAAATAGATGGGATCTCATCGCCCGCCCCTGCGGTGGTTTTAGATATGCTGGCAAAAGACCCTCTTTTGAAGAAGTATTACTGGGAAAAGCCAACGAAAGATTGAAAGGGGAGTTTATTCATGGCGTCAAATGACATGACATTTTTTCTCTATCGGAACTAAGATACATCGTCCTGGCCCCGAGGGGGGAGCTGCTTGCTATTGCTGTTGCATATGTTTTTGTCAGAATCAATCCCTGAAATCCATGCCTGTTACAAGTCCATTAGTTTTTTCTGTTTTCACCATTTTCTCCTGTCCTTCCGCGGGTGTTGAAGATTGTTTTTGGTGGATCTCGTTCCCCTTGTCCCGTTTCCCTATTGCCGTCCATGGCGATGTTGAACATTTCCGTTGTCTTATACCGTGCTTCCCATATTTCCTATTATCCTATTGTCCTATCACCATAATCCCAATAATGTTGCTTGCTGCATGCCCGTTCCCCCATGCATCATCGCCCCCTCTTCTCTTTCACTCTTTCTTTCTGTGTTTACCTCCGCAGAGCTTCCTGCGCTCGAATCCTCAGGCGGCGGGCGCGCCGGGGACCAACAGCTCTTCCAAAGATTCTTCAAGAACGCGCAGGTTGAAGGCGCCGCCTCGCCTCATCTCTTGCGCTTGTTCCTCTCGTTCATTTCCATCGAGCATGAGATCATCTCTTTGTATCTCCCTGGCCCTCGCCGCGAGACTGCGGTCAGGAGATGAAAGACTGGAGAGAGAGGATGGTGAGTTAGGCACGGGGCGGGAGGCTGCGGCCGTGGTTGCGGCTGCTTGCCGGTCGCGTCGCTTGCGGATGCGGTTGTTGTTGAATTGGCGATGGATGCGTTGCAGCCGACGTTGCTCGTGTCGCATCCTGATGCGCACGCGGTCGTCTCGTGGCGTGTATAATAGCTCCATAAGCTCTTTCTTGTAGCTAGCGGAGATGACGCCGAATCGGTCCAGGTCTCGGAGCAGGGTCGGGATGTCCAAGTCTCGGCCGGCTCGTGGTGGGATTGCTGAGTGTAAGGAGGCTTCAGCTCGCGCTCGTGGAGTTGTCGGGTAGTCACTGGACATCTGCATCAGCACCAGCGCCGCCTGCGAGTCCATGTCGTCGTCGGTATCCGGGTTGGGATTGTTCTGCTGCTGCTCGCGGGACAGGGGGGCCGAATAATTGAGCCACGCTACTCTGTTGGCGGAGGTCATTTCGTCGGTGGTGAGGGCGGGGGACAGGTCGCGCAGGGCCATTGATCTCAAATCCCCTCCATCCTCGAACACGTGGTTGCGGTCAATACCAGCCATGATGCTGTACGAGGGTAGCATGTTCAAGGCGGATGGAGGAGGAGGAGGTGGTGGTGGTGGTGTTGATTGCATTAGGTACCTCAAGACTGGTGGGAGACGCTCCGCCGGCTGCTTGCGGCTATCTTCAGGAGTAGACATCGTCCGAGCGCAGGGTAAAGGTATTCTGCGGCTGTAGGGACGCGGGAAGGGAGGATCTCGGGTCGCTCTCTGTGGCCGGTGTTGCTGTCGCTGCTGATGAAGGAGGGTGAAAGGTGGATGGAGGTGAAATGGCGAGTGATGTTGAGGCTGGGAGATTTTGTAGAATTCGTGTTTCCTACTATGCCCTTTTAGGCCGCGGCGCTTCTGCCTGCAGGTCCTCCCAAAGGTCCTCAACCACCCACCTCTCCCACACGATTCTGCCTAAAGGTCCTCATATAGGTCCTCGCAAAGGTCCTTAGAGGATGTTCGCTTCTGAACCACCCACTTCTCCTAATCAAACCTGCATATAGGTCCCCACAAACGTCCTCAATCACCCGCCTCTCCAATCCTAACCTGCCCACAGGTCCTCAGAGTGTGCTTCCCTTCCCAACCAGCCACGTCTCCCATCCGAACCTACCTGTAGGTCCTCACAGCGTGTGGTCTCCTCTCAACCAACCACTCGCGAGGCCTGGCCTTCACCACGCCATGACCCACTGGCACTTACGAGCCACACGGTGAAAGATCACCCACTCGCCCGAGACGCTGTGACGGAAACAAGGCAACGATGCACGTGAGCTGGCAGAATACAAAATCGCAAAAAAGGGCAACGCTGCGTCTCGTCGCCATCAGTGACTTGGTGCATCTGGCAATGGACTGAGGTCGAGATCACAGCACTGACAAAAGAGGAGTGAGTCATACTTATAGAAATTTGATCCGTTGGCGGTTCCGTCTGTGCCCATCTAGGAAACTGGAATTCTTGGATGTCGTGAGTTTCCAAGGCTCCCCCAACCGTGGCTAAAACTCAGTGCTCCATCTCCTAACCGCAAACAAGTTCAGCTTCCACAACTGTCCGCTGGAGAGAAGGAGACGGAAAATGCTCAGCGCGATCAACTCGCCGGTTCGGCTGTGCTGGGGGCTTTTCGTCTATACGGCTGAGAGACAGGACTCATTACGCTGTGACGAACCATGGGATAGACAGAAAACCCGCCAGAAAAAGCTTTGGTAAAGGATTATCTGAACCAGTCAGGTGTCCGAGGACCTGTTGTTTCCTGGCGGCATCGAGTTTGCTCGAGACTTTTGCCACCAAAGCCCACCGATTCTCGCTTTTCGTGCTCAGTGTGTGGCAGGGAGAATGTAGAGGGGGAGAGAAACTATTGAAGTTGTGGAAGTCAACGAGTAGTACAAGCGAGAAACTGTTGAGGTTCTGAAAGTCACAGAGTTTTGACATTGTCGTGCCACCAACTTCCCCATCGGCTGGAAAAGTGCCTCATCCAGGTCAGCGCAGCCTGCCAAACTCTTGTAGTTTGGAATTCTGATTGTTTTTGTTTGCACTGGCCAACCCCCGATGGGATGGCAGAAATGCTCGCCCACACATTAGCCGGCTTAGCCTATTTGGTGCAGAAATTCTTGATTTGCTTTGCATGTGGACGAAATTCCTGAGAATCAGAGTGAAAAGAGTAGCTGGTCTCGGACTCTATCTCCAGTCTCGCAGTTACCCCTCTCTTTGTCCCTCGAATTTCCTGACATTCCACAATCTCCGCCAAGTTGATGAACCAGCAACTCTTCCGCTAAATCGATCAACCTTTTCGTATGACATCACTTCTCTCACCCTCCCGAAATAGGGCCATCTGCTCCCGGATCGGGCATCTGCGCCAAGTTGATGTGCCGACAACGCAACGCTGAATCTCTCCCAGTTTGCACACCCCCCTCCACCTTATTGATTTGTATGACATAACCTTTCTCACCTTCCCGAAATAAGGGCGCCTTTTCCACGGATCAGGCATCTTTGCCAAGTTGATATACCGACAACGCTGAGTCTCTCCCAGTCCGAGACACCCCACTCTCTGCCGGCATTCGCCCTTCTGATGTGCCCGGCCACCCGAAGGTGGCAGACGTACCTGGCGGTTCCTACATGGTCGGGGACTGCTACTGCTTGACAGTACCAGCGTTTTGTTGACACCGTCTTGAATGTGCCCAAAGTACCCGACAACCCCGCTCGTGCGTGCCACTTTGAATATTATATGCACACTCGCACACATAGAACCCTCTCAAGCCTTCCCGGTGGCTCGTCTGTGCCGATAATCCTCAGTCGAGTCTTGTGTGCTGAGTGAGGGGTGTGCCAGGCCAAAATTCGCGGGGATCTCACCCCATCAAAGTCTTCCAAGTACCTATATCTGCCTTCATCTCGCCCGATCACCAGGATAATCCTATGAATTTGGGACCGATCAAAAGCACTGGACGTGACGAGCAACATGGTGTTCTTTGCACTTCCACCGCATGCGAGGATGAAAAGTTATGCGACGGAAATGTGGCCGCTGCGCCGTCTTCGCCACGGCCCAATCACGGTCGATCGGGACAGGCTCCAAATTTTACAATGTGATGACTCATGAGGGATGTCCATGACCCCGCAACTGGATTTTTCGTTTCAGAAGAGACTAGTGTACGAAGGAAACCTCGCCGTCGCTACACCTTGCCGTCGTCACCTCATCGCCGCTTCATAAAAGCTCATTTTTCTTGACCTTGCTGCCGCCACCCTCGTCGTCGCTACTATCTCGACCTCGTCGCCGATTTTACACTTCTACTCTTGGAGGTGAAGGACTCTTTGCCACACCTCGCCGCCAAACGCATTCGGTCGACATCGATATCGACACCAATGCAAGCCCCACTCTGTGTTCTGTGTTCAGAACCCACGCACGGCCCATATTGACCGATTGGAAATTTTTGCAATGTGAAATTGCATCTTTCGACCCGAAGCTGGCTCTTGCCACGCATGACATTGCACACAGATGGGGTTTGGTTGTCATGGGAATTTGGGAACCCAAGGGCGGTAAAAATGTGGGCGAAAAGTTGTTTGTTTATCCAAAGGGTGGTCGGCGGGGACGTTTGTGGTTCGAACCATCCAACCAAACACGCAGATGTGGGTTGGTTGCCGTGGAATTTCTGAACCAGGGCGCCAACACACCACACCGGTTAGAGCGGGTTCTCCACTCGCCGTTGTCGAGGTGTTGGGATTTTTCTGTGGGACTCATCCCCTCACTTCGTCTCCACTCGGAGTCTTTGGTGGAGCCCAGGCTTGGAGAGTTGCCAATTTCCCTGCCTCTCCCCTTGCAGCACCCACCAATGTACGGGTGACACACTCACTTTCCACATGGTTGTCCGTGCGCGGTAAGGCAGGTGAAGTGATTGGCGGAGCAGCCGCCGACAAAGGGGAATGTGGATCGGCTGAATCCCTCATTCGGTCAGTAGGAATGCATGTGATATATCATTTTTTCTCCGCCTTTCTCACTGGTCGTTCCCCTCCCCTGCTGTGGTCAAGGCCTGGTTCGGAAAACCGGCACCAATGACAGCACAGAAAAGAAAGCCTCAGCTGAAACAGCTGGGGTCTGTGCCCATTTCCAGTGTCCTTTCCCGTCGGGAAAGCGTTGTGCGTTGTGTCGTCGGCGAGAGCCATGCCCGCCCTTCCCCCTTCCCAAATTTTGGCGATTGTGTCTTCTCGATTTTTCTTTTTTCCCCTCCTCCTAAATTGCGTCTTGCCACCATTTGTGCCCGGACGTATGGGTGTCATTCGCCCTTCTCCATGAAGGGTAGTGCTACATTGTCTTTTTCGGGTGAGAGTGTGAGCGACATGTAGTTTGCAAGAACCGGATTGAACTTACTATCGACATATCACATGGTCAACCCCCTATTATGTTTTCCCATGTCGCGCTAGCCTCATCACGCCCATCCTCACGTTTCAGAGATTCGCTGCACGCGCCAGGTCGAGACAATAGCTTGAACCACCGCCCGTCGTCCCATTCCGGAGGCAACTCCATGAAACGTATGCAGCCTGCGCTGGCTTGCCCAGAACATCGGCAGAAAGGATAATGTAGCGCCAAACGCACTGTGTGCAATGGTTGCGCTGGCCCGACTGTTGTGGTGTGGAATGGGCATTCTAAATTGCGTACAACTCTGTACCTTGACAAGAACCCCTGACAGTCAGGAAAGACAGAAAAGGAGGCTCCGATACAACGAAAATCAGGATCGTTGCCGCCGCAATCCGGATAAAATGTGAATACCCACCTCTTTTCAATATACCCGCAAATGGCAGTGGCAAATCTTCTCAAGAACATGCGCTCTGGCTCTGTCATATGGTTTGTGATCGTTTTGAACGCATCCTCCATTATTAGCGTTCCCTCGCACGCCCATTGCATAATAGTGTCAAGCGGCCTCATGAACAGAGATCGTTGAGTTATGCCTTCCAGGATACCACTCCAGACGTCTTGACCCAGGTGAATGTGCAGGTCAGAAGGTCCAGCTTGCGCTGTGGCAATGTCGTCGTGCTCATTCGGTACGGGGTACCCATTCGGTGGAGGGTGCCCAAGTGGTATTGGGGGAGCGGACAATTCGGGTTGAAAAGTTTTGACCAACACATGAGGGCCCACGCGAGGGTTATAGGTCGGATTTTTCATAAGAGGAAGATGCATGGCAGGCCGCAGGATAGGAGGATTGCTCAGAGGAATCCCTGACCGGACCGGAGAAGCCGTTGGAAGGGGCTCGTTCAGTAAAGGCATTCGTGGGAGCCGGGCAGAAGACTGCGACGTCGGAGGATGTGGCACAAGCCTGTCGGGGCGGGGGGACACGATCATTCCAGCCAACGGGACTGTGAACGGAGGGGTCCATAGCTGGGGATCGTTGGGATTTGCCATTGGCACGTCGTGGATGTCGCAGGCGGCCATCTGAGCAAGGCTGGCGGTGAGAGAGTTGAGCGTGGTTGAGGGTGAAAGGGATGGAACAGGAAAGATAAAAGAAAAATAAAACTGGGAGCGCAGGCTGTGGTGCAGCTGAAAAGGAGGCGCCTCCCGGAGCAACTGAGAAAGAGACGCCTCCCTCATTTGCTGTGTAACCGGGGACCTTTGCAATAGGCCATATGACACGACCTCCTGACCTGAATCCCAACTCCACCACCACCTAATGTTTCGGAACAGGATGCATCTTGATTTCCACACCCTCTCATAGTCCATAGTCACCGTGGTCACCAATACGAGCAAGGGAAAGAAGCGCTCAGGCTTCAAGGGCGGTCCGTGCAGCCCAGTCACCGGGTGGACTCGGAGGGTTTTTCGGGCTGCTGGAACTCCTCAGCGAGTAGGAAGATGCAAACTGTGACACAAGGAGGCTTGAAGGAAGATGGCTGGCTGGCTCGTATTCTGGGAGGGGCATGTTGTCATGTGTCCCTACATCTGGAGTGTGCGGGGCATGCCTAACCAGTCTGCGAGTCTTTAACTAGAGGGCGCTTAGGCATGTGCCACGCCGTACCCCGCAGTGCCCCCAAGCCCCAAGAGTCCATAATTATAGGCCTTTCCCTCAACGTTTAGGGTGCAAGGACAAGGGTCCGCGCCCTTGTTCTGCTTCTTCTTCTTATTCCCTCCACACGTTCCCCAAGAACAAGCTGGCGATGCTTCGCTCGTGGTCAATTGAGCACTGGCAGAAGAGAACTCACGATTTTGACTCAGTCGTCCGATGTCACGCTGCTATTTGGCTGAATGCTCGCTGCAAAAGCGGTTCTTCTTCCATTCGACGCTCATTGTGTATGTCCTTGTTCAAAGGCCAGCGTCATGCCCCAACCACTGGGATGGGCCAGCAGCTTCGGGGGATTCGAGCAAAAAACGACCCCAGAGTTGACTCAAATGACGCCAGAAGGAAAGGAAGTAGAAATAATTGTGCGAGCCGGATCATCTTGAAACGAGACCGGGCCATTGGCAGCAGCAGCAAGCCTACTTGGGAGCGTCCACTCGGGCGCCGCATATGCGGAGCAGCTGAGGAACCCCCGTGAGGAGACGCCATACATAGCCTGAGACCCCGAGATTCCCAACCTCCCCGAAACTGTCGTGACGTCACAGAAGGGACCCTGACAACCACGTGGCGGCCAATGACGCCATAACCGGGAGAAGTTTGAATCACAAATTATTTGGAACCCCAGCATCTATCTACTGTACATACAGTATGTCAATACCATCTTGACCGACGACGGCGGGAAATAACAGTTGGAGCTGCACACTCTCGATCCTCTGTCATATCTCCGTCCTGAAAGAAAGACGATTTCAGTCATTAGCTGGCCTCTTCATGGGGGACTACAGAGTCCCAGTGAGTGCATGCCGATGTACAGTTTCATGTCATCCTCTCGTCCTCCCCTGATCGAATCCACAGATGATTCGACGGCAGAACAGAAGACTCAGGGCAACACCAGGCTGTTGTCGTTTCCTTTTTGGTGCTTTTGGCTGCTACGGACGCACGTCCCGCATATGCGGTTGCTGAGGGGGCCAGCGGCAGCGACTGAGGAAGACATGGCACCGAATAGGTTTCATTCTTCCGTCCGGAGCCCGTCACAGCCCGCAAGGGCAACTTGCCTTATCTATCGTCCTTTTAAACGTCGTCGACCTGTTTCGTCTCGGTTTCAAAGTCAAAGACGGCGTTTCTGTTCAATCTATTGGTTCACTCTTTTGCTGTTGGTGGCTTCTTCGACAGCCGTTCCACCGGCATTACCGGTTCATGGCTCTTATCATTCGCCTGTATTACAAGGATGCCATCCGGCTCGATTACAGCTGTCATTAAATCCATTGATTCAATCTCTCGGTAGCGTGGAGGAATGTTTAAGTGATGAATTAGATGTCGTCCTTTGATCCAAGAGGCCTGCGCCTGGTCGTGCTGCTGGCGCAAAAAAGAGACCAACAATTGTTCAAGCGGTCTGGCCGTCGATGTCCATGCCCAGTCAGCTCCGGAGACGCTTCCTTCAACATCCCGGTTTCACAGAATCTTTGGGGACGTGTCGCCCCTCGCTCTAGTCCGTAGTGATTTGCTGTCCTCGGGCGTTGAGGATCAACAGCCATTTGATCGTACCTCATCACGAGACCTCGACCAAGGACATCAGTAATCACTCCTCACACCGTGGTTTGCGCCCTCGTTGTGAGTTCCTTCGGCAGTCGCTCTCGCTGTCAAGGAATCGCAACAAACCGCTGCCGCGACACATCTAAAACGACGCCTGATAAGTCATGTGGAGGTCAACATCCTCGTCAAGGCCGAACTCCTAATGGCACCGGTCTCGACCTCGACATGCATCATCCCCGATAATGTCGCCGGCAGTCAGACTGAGGGCCAGCTGCTCCACTTCTTCTGCTCCCAGGCGCCTGCGACCTGTCCAACCGCGCGGTTACGGCGCTGTGGACGTGACTTTAAGCCATCAGAACTGAGGTCGCGTTGGTGACGTCCTCGCCGCAAGGCGTGATCACACCATCGTCTGCCGAGTACCTCGGACTATAACGCTATCGGGCAGAGGGAATCGGTATCTTCTCAAGCGACTCAATCAGTATCGTGTGCATCTTCTACCCGGATCATCGCAGCATGGGTGATGTAACGCGAACGCACCCTGCTTGTGGTTGATGCTCGGTCCAACCCAAGCTATATTCGCCTCCTTCTCGTGCGTGCGACTGATGGCGCGTCCACGCTCACCGCGGCAGATTACCCGTGCATCTCTCGAAGGTAGTAGTAGAACACATATCCACTGTATCGTTTCTGATCTCACGATCAAGCCACCTGACCGCAAAACGCACGACCTCAGCCACCACGCGATATTGCAATTGGAAAGAGGACCTCCTGGAAGGAGCCGATAGCGTCTATCTGGCTCACCTTGAATCCCGTTATCCGTTCAGCCTCATTGAACTGGTGAAATTTCTTGATGTCGCTGTTGATCATATCTAACAGACCTCCACCCGGTTTCCTTGACATCGACAGTGCGTCACGGAGACGCATCACCCAGTCTCATCGAGACTGGCGGAGACTTTGACAGAATTTCTTACCCGGTGCCAGGCGGCTCAAATTGCCCACGCGGCTTCCCCCATTCGATCCTTGGCTGTGTTGGCCGAACCTGGCATTCCGGATCTACGTCGTAACTCCGGTGGGGAGGCGAGTGTCGCCACAAGGGCATTCCAAGGTTCGTTCGCTGCCTAAGACAGTTCGACATATATTATTGTGGTGGCGGGAATGACAAAGCCGGAAATCGTAGTATCGTGGCTCCGCCGGTATCAAGCCCGTGCCGTCGGGCGGGCTGTGTGTTACCTCGAACCCTTCTCCGGAGAAGCCGGCTGAGCGAGTTCGAGACGGATGAAAGAGACATTCCATGTCCGACCATCATCATCATTCAGACCAGACGGGCCATCATCCTGCACGTGCGTGTATCCCACGTCCGGCTCGGCTGCTACTACGAGCAAGTTGTTCCAAGATGAGACTGGGTACATTTCTTCCTCCGATGGCGACCACGCACCACGCTGAGCGATTTGACAGACTTGGATCACGGACGTGGGGAAGACTTGCGGACAGATGACATAGGCTAATTCGAGACTCAGAACAGCCACAGAGCACGTAAACACAAAGGACGTAGAATGCTACCCTTGTCGGAGCTTTTGTGACAATCCTAACCTTCATAAACATCCTGATATTACTATTATCCCCCAACATTCCCAACATTCCCAGCCCTTCCACCTTGCTTGCTTACTTACTTACTTCTCTCCCAATTTTCACATACACGGTAAATTCAGAACGTTGATCGAGCGATTCAGAGCTCATGCCCCCCTACAGACACGTACTACTCATCTGGATCTAATATCCTCTGACTTCCACTCTCACACCGACTCCCAAGTTATTGGATGTGTGTATGTTCACACCCGTGCATGCAACAAGCGGGGACATTATACATATATACCAACTCGACCAGGTGCACGCAGGTGCAGGTCCACAACCAAAGCCACCCACTCCCTGACGTAGCCGGACCTCAAGCACCAACCCAGCTCCGCGATAAAATGTGTCACCGCACCAGTGCCATGGGCCCATGACGACACACGGACCAACCCAGGAGATTTCAAGGGAGATAGAACTCGGTGGTACGTGCGTAGCCATACCAAAGGGCAGATTGGAATGTCCCACGAGAGTATCAATAAACATGCGTACTTGCCCTGCAGGGAGGACTCTTTTACTTCTCTAACAGTGCGAGTAATCGACTTCTCCAGGACATATTTGGATACTCACGCGATACGCATTCAACCCGCATTCCATTTGTCTAACGTTTCCACCCCAACGCTCTCTGGCAGAATGGCTCTTGCTTTATTGGGACCTTGGTGGTGACCCCTGCCTACTACTCATTCCTGGTGATCCCGCTATATTCTCTGCACGCAGCTTACCCTGACAGACGGCTGTGTGTGTGTGTGTGTGTGTGTGTGTGTGTGTTTATGCTAGCCCTCTCACTCTGCTTGTCGAGCCACGAAAACCGCTACTGGCTACCCATTCGGGCCCAGACCCTAAAGATCGATCGGATTCCCATCAGTCAGTCAAGTCATATCCATGGGGCAAGGGCGTGGGCGTGGGCGATGGATATCATCAGTTAGCGCCGGGTTGCGTTGGCGGGGAAGAAAGGGGCGTGACGGTATGTCTATCTACAATGTGCCAGCTACTGTAAATTCCAGCCGGTCAGCGGGATTTACGCCACTTGTCACTCGCTGCACTGCCCTCGACGAGAGCACGTATCCTGGTCTTTGTGGAGCTCGAAAACCCGCCCCGTCCTTTCATCCATGATGCCTTGTTGCCTGCCCGCATTCCTGTTTGGCATTTTGCACAGTTCTCTCCTGAAAGAGACACACATTCTTGTTTGGTTTAGATCGTGGGATACTTTGAGGATGTAATAGTGGTTCGCCCCCGCCATGCTTGCTGCTAGCTGCCCAGCCATCTAGAACGTGTCACATACAGACACACTGATGGGCGGAGTGAGTGAGTAAGACAGCCCTTTCGTTTTGCTTTTATGGTCCCATGACTAATGCCAGATCTTTATTCCCACTTTGTCCGTTCGTCGAGAGCTACTCACTCTGCTCAGTTGTGACAAAGCTCAGGCTGTTCCGATTACTCGTGTCGGCTGCTGCCGTGCCCAAAAGTCTCAGTCGCCCTCTTCCTTTCGGGCTTCTTGTTCTTGTTGCTAAGTGTGCATGTGCCATGTAAGACGAGACAGTATGCGGCCCATGATGTTGGGCGTCTTTGAAGACGGTGTTGGGGTATAGGGTTGCTACCGAGTTCGCCGCGGCGGGAGCGAGCAGTCTGCACATGTATGTCTACCTGGGACGTGGGGGGCTGTTTCGTATGTTTCGTAGTAAGGGATGAGTGGATGGAGTAGGTGCACGCTGTATGGAGAAATATGACGGGACAGTTCGAGCGGGGATGAAAGGGGTCATGGACTGCGTGTTGGTGCTGGCCCAATCTATGTAGTTCGAGACGTGCAGACAGACTTTGCTATGAAGCCACACCCCTGTAGGCACTTTGTTTGCCTGACGGAAAATCCCTGCCCTATTCACAGCCTATCATCATGGTGCAAACAAGGGGCCCAGCAGTCGAGATGTTCAACGCCCAGACAAAGCCTCGCAGCCCACTCAGAACGCTGTGTCGCACAAATTCAAGGATTAAGATGATGCCAGGTTGTTGTCGTGCTTATTTCGCCGAAGACCTGTCAGATATGAGAAGAGATGTCCTTTTCGGCGGGGATAGGAAATCTTGATCTGCTGGGAGAGCTAATCAGTTGCCTCCCCTAGACCAAAAAAACCATTGGCCAAAATGGCAAAAACTTATCACAAAGCAGGTCAACCAACCTGGTTTGTGATAAGCGAAACTCACCCTTGCGGGTTGGTTTTTCTCGGCCGACCGGTTATACTACAATTCGCTACTTTATAGGTTGATGTCGGTGGGATTCGAACCCCAGGTCCTGCTGCCGACTAACCCCGGTGGTAGTCTTGACCTGACAGGACCGGGAGTCGACAATTCGCCCTCGTCGTATTGAGGGGGTCTTGGTGTGGGAGAAATTTGGAGAGACCAAAATATATCTCTATAAATTAGTCGCCGGACTGACTGGGCAGGTCAGCCGAGTGTGTGTGCAGAAATGACTCTATCCTACTTTCCAGCGAGGGGAGCACAGCACCAACCGTCTTCCATCACCAGTCCTCTCCTCGATCTTTCCATGTGCTTGCGGCTATCAATCGCAGCAAAACATACCCTCCTACGGCGAGCAATGCTGAACCCCCCCACCGTGGTCTTATCGTCGGTGGTTCTGTCTGCTGCTGTGAAGGCGTTCTCTCATGTTGGGCTACTATCGTCTGCCCATCTCTTGAGGTCGAAGCTTGCTGGGGCTGCGGTCAGATTGCAGACTAGGGAACTATTGTCACAAGAGTTAGACAACCACTTCATCCACATCTTCTTTGCTGGGGCCTAAGATTCCCCGAGTACTTTGCGACCAAACCACTGAATTTGCTACCGCTGCTTGCATTACCGTGTCGGAAGACTCTACCATCGCCAACGATCCGTGGATCTTTTTTACCCACCAACCCCCACTATGTCGGGTGAATACAGATAATGTGAGGAGAGATGCTAGGGGAAATCGCGTGATGGGACGAACCCCCGAAGATCTGATCTGGCGCCTGTTGTCTCGACGAGTACCGGTCTCAGATTTTATGTATCGTGATGTCGAAGTCCGTCTAATTGCCTGAATAGCGTGCTCTTTGTCGAGCGTGTCAAACCACCTATCTATCTTCTCCAGAGGTTTTGCTGACACCAACCCATTTTCACGACCTACGTCCGTATCCTCCTGTGAAGAAAGAACGCCCCTGGCATTATTGTCGCCCTATCCGGTAACCACCAGCCCGAGCTCGCTGGCGTCGTCGGTAGCTCTGGCTCTACAATGAAATCTTCTCCCTCCGAGTTGTGCCAGGAGTACGTTCCGGAACCGAACGTGCCCTGGCAATCTACCAAAGCTGGAAGCACTGATGGACCCTCGTCGGGTGCCCTCAAGCGACTGCAGCGGCGGTGGACAGGGACCTCGACCTCCCTGTCCAAGAACGTAATCTTATTTATTGCTGCGGACGAGAGTATAGGCCACTTGTCCTCCCATCACAGCAAGGATGGTGGGTCCTGACGGGCTTGCTCAGCGGCTGAGAAACCGGATTTCTCTTCACATAAGGGGCCTCGACGGGCTTGTCCGAGTGGTAGTTCCGAGACGGCGGCCTTTACTTGTTGTATTGCCGGACCCACTGAGAATGATGCAGATGACGCCCCTCTCAGTGCTCAGGCTGGACCCGAATCAGGAGATGATACGGAAGATAGTCGCTCTCCATCAGATCAAGCGTGGGAAGATTGGGAATGTTGGGAATGTTATTTTCCCGAAGGATATATAGGCGCATTGGGACAAGATTTTATGAATGCCCCGGCGACGGCGAGTTCCGACATTAATGAAGAGGAAGATTATTAGGCGGAAGAAAAGAGCCCAACAGGCAAAGAAAGCCGGCAAAGGGAAGGCCGCGAAAACCAAGAAGAGTATCAAAGGAACGAGGGAAACGAATGACACTTCTCGAGTCGGGAGTGTCCTGCCACGAAATCATTTCCTCGCCCAGGACTCGCAACACCTTGCTGGTGAGGCACTTGAACAGAAGTTTGTGCTGCTACCTACGATCGCCGCCTATAACAATTCGCCGAGGTTCGGTGCACTTATGCATCTTAATACCAAGAGATTGGTTTCCTCTTCGGCTGCAAGAGTAGCTGTTTAATGTCCATGATTGATAATAAATTGGGATTCAGCCTGGGGATCACTACCCTCGCTTGCAGTGGGCTGCTCACTGTCCACGGGTCCGCCAGCTGCACGACGCACACCATTGACGGCCATGACAAGCCCGTTTGAAGTTCCGGGCTGGCTGGAAGCAGGCAGACGCCCAATTCGAGCACTTGATGTGTCAAAGGCAGTTATTTCCCCTCCGAACAAGTCTCTCCTGAGTCACAAGGCGATAACACATCGGTGTTGCGCGTGGCGGAGCAAGTCAATCGATCCATAGGCTTTCCAAACCGGTTCGTTAGTTCGTATTACATAGCCACTCCCTTTTCTCCCGGGTTGTTGATCAATCAAAAGCAAGCCTTGGAGAAATGAAAGCGTTATCCGGTGCCGTCGGGCTCCAAACCACGATCTCGAGCCCGCGTCGACCGACTTGCCGTGCACCCACCCATGTGTCACCATCAATGCTGCTACGGGGTAGGCAATCGAGAGTTCTGCTGCGCATCGGATGCGGCGAGGAGACGGAGAGGGAGGACGGCTCCCGTAGATTGTGATAAAGGCCATTGAGTATCGAAGACCTAACGCATACGATCCTCCATCACAACATTACCAGGAGGAGTTCGACGCAGAAACCATCTCTGGTGTCTCTCTAGCAAGGCAATCTCCCATTTTGAGCTGTATCTTGAATGGTTCTCCAAGACTTCCAACCGGAACAGGCAAACGAATGGGCGTGTCACCCGGGAAGCAGGGCTGTTACAATGTCTGTTACAATACGCTTCCCGGCCGACAACACCCCATGGGGCGAATGGCCCCCATCAGGCGCTTGGCCCCCATGGGGCGAAAAGGGCGAATGGCCCCCAATAGGTATACACAGAAAGAGATAAATAGGACCTCTATTCTCGCACTGCTGGAGAGGCCCTCAACAGTGCGAGAAGTCGATGTCTAAAGGACAGCTTTATACAAGAATCAAGATACGTGTTCAACCCTCTGACTCTTCGTCTAACGATCCCACCCCAAGGCTCTCTGACAGGCTGACTCGGCCACAATAGGAGGCTCCGGTGTGGGTATCGGTCCCGTATTGAACCGAGCAAGGAAGACTTGTGTTCTAGCCTCGGTGAAGACATGATCATCTGAGCGATACCGCTGGATGGCTTTGGCTCGGTTATCCTAGCGAGTCTTGGCATCAAGGACAGCAACCGCACCACGAGCCATACCGACAGTAGAATCGTCGAGCATATTGCGCATATAAGGGTCCAGCCGAACCTGGGTCCATGATGTCTGATTGGCTTTCCAGCAGCAAGGATGAATTGAAGGTTCGATAGCTTAGTTAGGATGGACTGAAAACTAACGGCCAGTCGACGGACAGCCGCCTCTCGGTCTGGTCGGGTCGTTGATTGACTGAACGAAAACCCAAGTTCGGTAAGCGTGTGGTTTCTCTACTTAGAGTGGTCGAGTCTGAGTCCTGAGTGCTGGGGAGAGGGGTTGGGTCTCTCAGTTGCTGAAACGCCGGCGTTTGATAGGAAGCAATAGGACGAGCTGCTGTAGGTAACGGAGCGATTCTTGGACGAGGAGTGTCCTTGACGTTGTATGGGTAACGGTTGGGAAGATTTATCCTGCCACTAAGGATGACAGCTGGGTTAGATGGAGGTGGCAACGATGGCTCTTGCTGTGCTTGAAGAGGGAAAGCCCCAATCACTTGTGGTATGACGCGTCCCACTCTTTCTTAGTTTTCCTCGCCTGCAACTGTTCCAGGTCGTGAGGCAGGTACTTCAGCTGATCGAGGTAGGGGCGTTCCAATAGCAAGGGCCAAGTCGGAATCAAATGTTCTCTGATATGATCGAACAGATGTTCGTGGCGCTGAGGGAGATGCAACCGGGGGAGGGGAGGGTTGAGCTGTAGACTGCTCTAACCTAAATCTCTGAGGAGCTTTTGCGTTGCGTTTTCCCAGTGGCTTTGTATCGATGTTCAGGCTCTTGATTTCCTTGTTGCTGATGTTTCTCGGCATGAAGACGACAAAGGAAATGAACGATTGAAATGAACAAAGGAAAAGGGTGTCGAGAGGAAGAGGGTTCGACGAGTAGGTGAGGAAGTGGGGGATCTGAGAATAAGGAAAACCGAGCGCAGTGCCACGGAAAACCTAGGAGGATCGTCTCCAGTCTTGCAACAAGACCTTTGGCGGAGTAAAGCGTTGCTACCGGATTGTTGCGTGACACAAGTAAATGAGTCTCGACGCCAGCCCACAACTAGGAAAAGGGAGATTGCCACAATGGCAGGGGTTGTTTGTTGAGTGTATTCTGTCTATCTGAGTAAGTACAAGTGAGAGTCTGTTGATGACTCGAGTAGCTAGAACAAAAGGTAGGCAGGCGGAGACAGGCTAATCCTGTCTTGGGCTAGCGCCGCACGTGACAGCGGATTCCAAGTTGGGAGTCCCATATGCCGGCTGGAATCATGAAAGGCGCCATGGTGTGATTGATGAACTCCGTGCCATCCTCCCGGTGCCTGAACATGATATTGGCTGAGCACAAGTGTCACCCGGGCTGGCACCCGACCCCCCGGTTGACAACACCCCATGGAGTGATTGAGGCGAGCCGCCCCCATGGGGCGATTGGGGCGATTGGGGCTAACGGCGCCCATGAAGTGCACCCAGAAAGAGATAAATAGGACCTCAATTCTCGCGCTGTTATGGAGTCCTTCAACAGTGCGAGAAGTCGATGTCTCAAGGACATCTTTATATAAATCAAGATACGTGTTCAACCCTCTGACTCTCTGTCTAACGATTCCACCCCAAAGCTCTCCGACAACAAGGACCAGGCAAGTAAGTTAAAGGGGGTGCCAGCAGAAAAGTATGGTTTTCTGGAATGAACCCTTCCTGAGTATCAACTCAGCTTCGAAGATCAACGTTAAGACGCAGAAAAAGCAGCTTCTTCCTCCCTCGCTGCTGCTGCCGTAGGATGATGACAGCAGACAGCAGACACCAGCCAGTGGGCAATCGTGTCGGGATTCACTCGTTGCACGAAGCTTTGGAACAACTCTCTCCTGCTGGCAAGCGCCAATAACTGTATCACACCTACGGCACGCTTTGCCAATATCTGGCCAACATCTCTGTCTGAGAGTTCTGAAAGAAGCGATCTTGGAAGTGCAAGGTCACGTCCTGGAGACCATTCGTCTTCAAACCCCTTCTCGGAAGTTGCCAGTGATTCTTCCGTAACAGACGACCAGAATTGGTAGAGCTGGGAATGGATTGTCCCTGTGGTCTGCTCCATGAATGCCTCTCCTCGTTCATTGGATTCCTTGTGGAGATCATATCTGACTGTTGGGGCTGAGTGGCTGAGCTGGAGGATGTCTATCGCACACTCGGACTCCGCCGTCTTTGGATAAGAAGGGTCTTTCAAGCCGGAGTCGGAGAATGACGCGGTCATCACACCTGATTGTTGGCAGATTAGATACCCATCCAAGAGGTGAACAACTCCTTCACTGACTGTTGATGCTTCGGGCTCGGAATGATGCCTCATGTAAACCTCTGGTGTCTTCTTCTGAAGAGAAGAGATCCAGCACAGACAACGAGCAGAGAGACCACCCAGCGCAAAGAATCAGATAATGGCAGACGTAGAACATATTTACTCTCTGGCAATTGTAGTGTTTGCTGCGTACCAGCCCCGAAAGCAATATGTCCGGGTACACACGGTCGATCAAAAGCCCGTAGCTGGATGTAATGAGCAATTGTCCATACGTCGAGCAGCGCTGATAGTGCTCAGCCATCTCCTTTACGTAGCTGCCGAGACGAGGGGAGCGTACGGACTTCTCCTGGTGAAGAGTCAGCTGCTGTTCCCGTATTTCAACTGCCGTTCGTCTGTTCTCCCTCCGCCAACAAAACATCATGGGTCCTCCTTCGCCACCGCTCACAGCGAATGTCTATGCAATGGAGCGAATTGGTCAAGGGAACCTTTCCAACACCGTCCCGTCTCGATACCCGTTACCTTCCTTGAGGACCTCAACGTGACCCACCTATCCCCTTCCTGATTTAACTTGGGTGCTGGATATCGATGGATCACGTTCTGAATGTTGACAATCGAATTCCATTCTCCCAGACAGCAGATTCTTCACATGAGGCCAAGTGGAATAGACCGAATGACGTTCCGAGTGAGCCTACTCCACGACGTGCCGGTGATTTGAGAAAAGACAGCAATGCATGTCAACAGGTCATGGGACGGGCTAACTGGCTAGCCCCGGTCCATCAGGCTATGATATGGCCTCATCGAAGCCTTGACTGTGGCCGGCGGTGGCCGTGGCTCCTGCGAAACTGACGTCACCAAGCATCAGCTCTTAGTTAGCTGGCAATGCTCTCTGGCCGTTTCCGATATCGCGCTGAAGTCCCCATGCGGCCGCGCACGAAGCTGTTAGTGGACAAGGACATCGAGCATCGGCTGTCGGGCACCGGTCGACAGATTTGAGTCACAACATTTTCAGGTCCGAATCCAGAGCCGCGAGTTCAGATGCCACAACCGCGTTTCGTTGGAGAGGTGACCCACATCCCTCTCCCTGTTGTTCTCGCGCGCCTTCAACTTCAGCAAGGGATGTCTCGCGGACGTGTCGAAGTCCCCTTCCAGTATCCGCCGAAAAACAGCTTTTTTCCATCCACCCAAACATCTGCCAGCTTTTTGTTTATTGCCCGGGTTACTGGTCATGAATCAGGTCAATCAGTAAGCGTCAACCGGACTCTCACCGGATTCGTTAAGATGGGACATCGGAGCCACAATGTAAACGAAGTGCAGCCGCGAGGAGGTCCATGCCCGCCGAAATATCCTCCACTATCTCAAAGATGAATCTGAAGACCCCGATGAGACGTTTAGTCTCACACACTGAGCTCGGCTCCGTAATCTCTCGCAAGATCGAGGCATGCGCTTCGGTTCTCATATATGTAGACATAAGACCGGGCTGTGATGCTGAAACGGTTGGTAACCGTCGGAAGAAGCTCGAGGGGAATATTGAAGTTCTTCCTATTCACAGGACGATCCCTGGCTAGCCCAATGGCCGTGGTTTCTAGCGAATGCGACACCAAACAATGGCTGCCAGAAGGACGATGCCACCTTCAACAACCCCCTCCAACGAAAGGTGGCAGCCGGTATAGACCTTTTTCGGTTAACTGTTTGTTTGGGTGAGCGCCTCCAGCTTGCGTCTCCGTCATCTACCTGGCCGGTATCGAGGTCGACGCGACCGCCGTGCGAATAATGGGAATCCCACCGGCGAGAATATGTATTAGGGGTGGCACTCAGGATTCCTCTCCGTAAACATTTTTTGCGCGTCCAGAAGAGAGGTGCCACCGCTGGTCGAAGAAAAGAAAAAGCCCGCCTTGCGAGCACCCCTCCTGCGATATTGTATACTCTCGCAAGCACATGGCAGCCCTCATCCTCCAATATGATCTTCGTATGTACGGTTGTCCCCGCGAGCCCCAACAACCCTTCGTCCTCGACTGTCTGATCCTTGGGAATATCAAAGACTTGCTGAAGGTCGGGTCGACCGGAGCACATCCAGGTCCCGCAGTGGCCTGGCCACACAATCTCGCAGCCATGTCTGTAAGGGAGACGAGGAATTGTGACCCTTGAGAGATTCGTGTGAGCCACGCATCAAAGGGCCACGTCCCAATCCGCATCGTTGTAAAGATGGACGCAGTTGTGATCCTCCCGCACACTATGTCCTCATCGACGTTGAGGGCGTGCTTGCAAGCACCAGCAGATTATTTCAACGTTTTGACGCATAAGTCTGAGTTAGGTTTCAGTGGAAGATTCTTTGGTTAGGGACAGGCCACCACGAATGTAGGTCCCTCTCTGAGAACATGTGGGATCGTACGTGTTGCTTTGGCGGCTCCGTGTGGCCGTCTGCCTACACCCTCCATGCATGCGGGGTGTACGTGAAGAACTAGAGATAGGTAGGCTGCTTGAACGGCGAGGGACAACACATTATCTTGATTATCGCTCCGCGAGATCATGTAGATCTTGTGAAATCCTCGTGCCTGATTCTGAACACTGCGAGCTGCATGAAGATCCACTGATCTCGACGCAGGAGCAGGCAGCTGATGAGCCGAATTTCGATGTTGAGAGCAGCAACACAGAGGACTCTCCGGTTTGATGGGCCTAAATAAGTTCCGACTCAAGAAGCAGACGAAAACAAAACCATCACGACACTAACGCATCACCGCGCTGGCAGTGCTGGAGATACTGTATGCATGCGAACGAGTTGGATGGATAGGTGAAAACGAAAGCTCTTCCTGTCCCCTGGAACCGAGAGAAAGATGGACACATAAACCAACGGTCATTGTCAGCGAGGATCACGACGTCCGCGACGTGCGCCCGGCCGTGCGTGACTACGTCGAAAGAACCGACAGATACATTGACACCATCGCGTTGCTCTGCATTGACTCTCTTCCCTGTATTTGGGGTTATCATGCAGCGACTCGGTTGCCCGGAACCCTATATAGGTGTTCACTCCCTTCTTGTGGGGAGTTCAGTCTTCCAGCGGATTCGCGTGATAGATAGATCGGTCGTGACAGCAAGCCTACGCGTCTCCACCTCCCCAGCAAAGGCCGGGCGGGTCAGTGTTGACGGAGGAATGCCAGGATGAGTAGAAGAAAGAAGAATCAGCCGTTGAAGAAGGATGTGTCGCCGATCTAGTGATGAGCGGTGAGAATGGATGTAGGAGATCGATCAATCAATCGAAGAGCTGGAAAGAGGCAATACTGCTGCTGAAGTTGACGCCCACTTGGATCCATCATTCTCAACGACATACCACGCTGTATCACATCGCCATCTCATCAGGTCTGGCCTCCTGCTGGAAGTCAGGGACCTCAGTGCTGCGTCATGGAGAGCTGAAACTCGCTTTTCCTCTTCCAGATGGATAAGCTGGCTCTCTTGCGTTGGACTGTGCTATGTCGCGATGTCTCGATGCGTCTGTGGTAACTTTAACAGTCATGTCGACGCCTGTTGCCGTCAGCACAGGCCGCTCATCAGGAAACCAGGATGCAGTCGTCTCGATAAGATGCGATCTTTTGGCGGATTGATTTGAGATGGGGCACAGGAGAATGCCTCCAGGTTTGTTAGAGAATCGTCAAAGAGGAGCGGAGACACGTCTTCGGAGCCCTGTTCATGTTCGGCTGCTGAGGAAATTAGTTTTTCAGACCAATTCAAGTGCTATTGTAAAGACGGTTTCTGGCGGGCCTCATGTTATGGATCATGAGAGCCAGGTTCCGCTTCTGAATGCACTGAGAGCTCAAGTAGGCAGGCCTTGACTCGCACGACATGGTGGCCACTCACTCCCGCGCGCGGCAGCAGCAGCATGTGGTGGTGTCTCGTACTACTGGGAATCCAGTGAAGGGTTGCGACGCAAGCTTCGAAGGTCTGCGCCTTCGCAGCAGTGACCAAGACGAAAAGGAAAATCTCGCTCCGACCAATGAAAGGTATGTTGAAGACTGAAGGGACAGTGGACAATTGTAGATTGTTTGCGGAAGAGATAGTCGGCTGGGGCTCACGAAACTGAACACACGCATTGACCCTGCAGAACCATAGTCTCACCATCAAGAAAACTCGTGTCGCACAGAACGAGGAAGAGGATCGCCAGAAACCTTCCAGACCAGCGTGCGGCGGGTCATTGAGCGAGGCCAGCGGCTGCGAATCGATCTTGGACGTTGGTGGCAACGGCGCGGCATCCTCCTACGCCGAGAAGAAGCCAAACTGGGTCAGAGGGTGGTAGATGTGATACAGCACCGGTTGATACGACAACATATAACCGCGCCGAGAATACCACCAGAGATCATTGTCCAACTTAACTCCAGCCAAGGATCCTAGTACAGGGACCCCCGCCCCGCCCCAGCCGCCCTGGATAAGCAGAAAGGTACATCCCTTTGGAGTCGGTGAAATTCCTCACAGGGTAAGATGAGACACCGGCCAAGCCTAGCAGCGTCAGATTGCATGTTCGATGGAATGTTTGCCGTGCTCTGGGACGTAATTACAGAGTTAGTTGGCCGAGGCAGAATGATTCTTGACGTGGCTTCTCGGGGTGTAAGTCTGGCGGATAAATGAGCACTCTGCGTTTCGAGAGACCCATCTCGAACTAAAACCTGAACCTTCGCCTCCGAATTCGTCGGTGGAGGTCGTCCTGATAGGATGGCGTAGGTCCGAAACTCAGCAATCGATTGACACCCAAACGGAAAGAAGACTTTTGTGAATTGCTGATGACAGTGACGGCCGTGCAAGAAATAGATCCTGACTACTTATTTTGTCTTTGCCGTACTGCCCTGTATGAAATAACAAGGCTCACCACGTTGTAGCAACTGCGAAAGGCATTACCTCCCCAGAAGCGGGAGTCAGGACACCGTAACTAACGCCAGCCGACTATTGATAAAGTTTTACAGGTGAAATCAAAAAGGCAAGCAGTGCTGGTGTCGCAGCCTTGAGTCGGCATTGCCTGCATGCCGGACACAAAGGGCTTGAAGTTGGCATACCATTCTTTGAAAATGAGTTGTCGGGGCGTAATGGTGGTGTCAATGACCCGTTTTGTGAGGACGTTTGGCCATGGTCAAGAACGGAAAGAAGACGCACGGGAAGAAGCGAATGTGGTTCACGGGGAAAAGAAGGTAAAAATCCCGCGAAACGAGGCGGGTGCAAAAGGCTGGTAGTGGAAGCTAAACGGGGTTGACCTGATGAAAGGCGGAAAAAATTGGTCTCTGGCTTTTACTTTCACCAGAGCTGTTCTGTGTTGTCTTATGATGTGTGTCAAACAGAATACTCCAAATACCAGGTCCTCGAAACAGAGCTCAAAGGCTTAAGCACTCTGTAATGGACCACATGTCAGAGATCGCTGAGGCCCGGCCGCTGATATTTGATTTGATTCGCGCTGAGCGTCATCAAAGAGACGTCCAGGGTTGCTCAGAGCTGCTTGGAGAGTTTCATGGAAAGCGACGCATGACACTCAAAGATATGGAAGACTTTCTTGAGTATTGCTCTCAGTTAGTCATCCTTTCCTTGAAGGACCGCGACGCTCCCGCCACGCAGCCAAGTCCCCAGCCATTGATTAAACACGAAAGGAACCACGCGGTCATCCTCTCAAAGATGCTACCTCATCTGAAGACAGACCCCTGGGACGAACAGGACAGCTGGCGAAGACAGGCGCGAGCGACAACGCGGTGGATGAATCTTCGTCTCTGCAGCCGGAACATCCGCAATGCTTGTATTCAGCCCGGGTTAAGCCTCTCAATAGGTTCGAGAATGGGGCGCATGGGACGTCAGCGACCTCTAATCGAGACGAATATGATGCTGCCTCACTTGCAACGAGGATACACCTTCAGAAGGTCCGTGTTTTGACAGCATTAACGAGGTTGTGCCTCCTTTTACTTTCCAACGACGCATCTCTTTTGTGCTGACGCCAACGGCATCGCTCTTGTTCTTGGTTTGGGGAAGCAAAAATAAGAATCGAGAGCGAAGGAATGACCTTGCTCCTTTGTGAGTACTTCTTGCGCTCGCAGTCTGCAGATGTCTGTCCTGTGAGGCGTAGAAAGCGGTCGAAGATGGGCTTTCCTTGATAATTCAAGCCGCATGATTGGAAGTTTAGCAGGTCTTCGAGACAGTACTTTCGGGATCAATACTGGCCTTTATGCATCCTTCACTCCGTTCGAGGAGTCCACTGAGACCGGGTGTGTCAACCTTCACAGCGTAATGGAACACGCCGTGCTTTCCCTTGGTTGACACTTGTGTCGGTTTCAGACTCGCATGCCGGCTTGTTCCCCATGATGATATCACGTAGCGCGTTTGAATCAATCCATGTGTAGGACAAAGGACTGTTTCCAAGGTTGACAGAGTTGTGGCAGCGCAGACAGCGCAGGCAGCGCAGGCACGCCACGTGCCACATGTGCCACTCGTTGTTGATCACACGATTTGACGACCAGGAATCACACATTCGCGTCAAACAACGCGTGAAAAACCGCAGGTTCAAACGAACGCCATTCCTGCCATTCAAAACACTGCAAAAAGCAACGGCCGCAACTTACCGCGTCCACCTATCCTCCCTCCACCTTCCAAAGAGCCGCCGTCGAAGAGCAACTTCGACCCTCACTCTCTGTTACACTCGACTCTCCTCCAAACTACATATCAGAAAGATTCGAGCTCCAGCTCGGCCGACCTGTGACCGCGGCGCATCATCGGAGAACAGTATGATCACGACGGAGTTCCAACGTTGGTGGCTATATGGCACAAGTGAGTGGAAAGTCTCATCTGCCCCTGTGGGCACATCACCTGCTAACCCACCAAAGTCTCTATCAGGTCTCTGTTATTTGCCCTCACTTGGTTCATGACATTTTGTCTGGTCATACACATATACGAATGGGGGAGATCGGCCAGGGTGAGCCTTGTGAAGATTGTCAGCGTTTTGATGCGTGCTCATCAAGGTATAGCGAGCCAGGCGTCGTGCCGCCTTACTGCCTCAATATCGTACAATCTAGATCGAAGAGCCAGAGGCTCTGGTGCGATGGTGCTGATGCAGAAACACGCCAATGACGATGGAGCTGTTGGCATCGACAATTCATGTCCTCCACAACTGCCAGGCTTTTGGAAATGACCACTTCTACGAGATCCGTGGGGGGATGAGAGCAGGTAAGGACCGGCCCAGATCAACTCTTCGAAGCTAAATCTATACAGCATGTGCTTCTTCAACGCCCATGGCGGAATGAGGACCTGGGAATGTTTGCAGAGCTGGCTTTTTTGACTCGAGGCACGACATGTACGATCTTGTGGGCACGACTGAAAGATCAAGGTTATGATCCCGGGGCACAATGAATGCACAACCTCAGCGCTCCACGGAGGGTGTGTCGGATGAATACTGCTGAAGTATGATACTCGGGCCGGTATCCCAGAATCTTTCTGTTTGCTATTGAATCACGATGCTTTTCCCCGGTACCGTGCTGTCCTGTTGACCGGAGCCTTGCTTCAGATGGGCAATACTCAAATCGATGCCGTCGGCACCGCCGGTGTGGTGTCATCCCTGCTGTGTCTAGTTCCCGCCTGCGTCTTGCGTTCTAATATTTGGCTTATCACCAATTTGTTCGACGTCACGCCCTCACCGCCTTAAACGAAATCCTCTATCCAGTGACCATCCTGTTTGTCTATTTCTAGGTGTGGCAGATGGTCTCGGGCTATCTGTCATGAGCGGGGCACCCCTGTGGCTACGCCTCGTTTCCCTTGCCAGCTTGTTGGGATTATCGTAAGACAATATCCGTACCGTCTGCTGTTTGGACCAGCCCAAAGTGGGGTGCCTCGTCAGATGCCGCATCCTCGTTGTCGCTGTTGCCGATGAGCCTGGTATTCAGAGGGAAGCAGCGGTGCCGGCTGGGCGCACCATGAGATAGCAGCTCTTCTGCACCTCCAAAGCCGACTGCTCTCAGGCTGCTCTTGATCACACCGCGATGTCTCTTCCGAAAGCTGTCCTACCACGTCTTCCTTCGACCTGCTCAGCTTATCGAGGTCAGGGAGGGGGCTTGTTCGATGTGGCGGCAGTCGTCCGAAAGTCAGTCACTTTCCTCGCATTGTTCTTGTTCTGTATAGTTTCCGCAGACTCCTCGGCTTAACGATTGTCGTGGACATCGAGGTCGTACTCTTCCGAAACAGATGCTCGCTCATACCGACGAGGTTCACAGGTAATCTTTGCGTTGATATGTACAACGGTCAAACTCATAATTGAGTCGAGCCAGCACCGAGATCTACGCATACCCTCCTTAAGCCTGGGTACAGTTATCCAGCGTCATCTGGGAGAACCTCTTCACCTTGGTTGCCACGGTACGGAGTTCGAGCGGCGTTGGGTTATCTTTAGCGGACCCAACGGCCAGACGATCGGCGGAGAAGCACGCAGAGGTCGTGACGTTAGCCGGTGGAGTCGGGATCGTGGTCCTACTAACCTGCATTTGCAAAACTTTATCCACGAACAATATAACATGCGACAGAGGCTCACCCGCACGAATCAATCTAATCTGGCAGGCCGGTGACATTGAGGGACATCGAGGTGGTCTGGGTGTACAGTACTGACCCGTGTCGATGTCGGGACTGCCGCATATTCTTACCTGAGCGCTCCCGTGGACGAGGACAAGCTTGATAGTGGGGTGGTGGTGTACGTGGCTCTTTCTTTACTTGAAGTGTACCTGACGAAAGTCGGATTCTCCAGATTTCTCTACCTACATCAACGTACACGACATTGTGGCAGTGGAATTTGACCGACGGGGTACTCTGGATCATGGAACAGCAGATCCGGGCGACCTAGGTGGTCGGACAAATAGTTCAGCACTAGCGGAGCGCGTCGAAGGAATCACATTTCGAAGCTCCTCAACGAGGTCGTTCTAGAACAGCTCACAGCCCTCCGTCGACATGTTTGATACGGCTGCAGGGTTGCGGAATGTCAGGGTCTCTCCGCGTGGTTTGGAACTGACTGCTCGCCCATATTGACCCATGGTCAAGGTTGGATGAAGGCCATGGTGGCGTGACGCTCTACGGGCTTTCTGATCTTTCCAGCCAGCGAAAAAGGACCACACCCACGAGCAACAGGAATTGGACACAGCAGTTCGAAGATCATGTCCAGAGTGTTTGGGCTCCTGTCGATATCCATTCAGTAGCGCTGTACCTAAACTGCAATGGAGCCACAAACAGGCCATGTCTCTCCGTGAGGCTGGATGACGGACAGTCGGCGAATGATCTGGACCATGAGTTGGGTGATGGATGGTACAGGTAGAGGTAGACCTGGAGTCAACAACGAAATGGGAGCACAGGCTCCTCGCTAATCACAAAGACCAATCGAGGGATGGAGGGCGCGGGTTCACGCCCATTGACCGACATGATCATCCATCATCATGATTTTTCAGAGGTGACCAAAGAATCCGTCGTCTGCCAACTCTCACTCGAGAGGAAGGGCTCGTCAGTCAATCGGCAGGAGCTGGACATGTGGTATAGATTTTGATGGGGCCAAGACTCCGACGACGGTGTGATACGGAGGAGGGAGACTGAGAGTAAGAGAAGAAAAAAACATGATCGCAAGGCGCACGACACGCTCCAACCGCATAGCACCGGAAGTAGTCGGGTGTGAAAGAGATGTATTGTCAGAGAGCCTTTGCGTGGAACCGTTGCGCGAATGGAGTGCGAGTTGAATGCGTATCCCCTGAGTATCTAAAGCTGTGCGTGCGACATAAACTACTCGTGTTGTGGGAGAAAGACAAAGGGTTCTCGCTCCAGCGCGAGTATGAGTGTTTATTCATACCCTCGTGAGACATTCCAGTCCGTCCATTGGTATGTACACGCACATACCACCGTAATCTATCTCCCTTGTAATCCCCTGGGCTGGTCCATGTGCCGTCACGGACCCTTGGCACTGGTGCACGGTGGCATGTACATACAGTAAGTATATAGGCCACGCACTCGGGGATCCAAAGCATTTCACACTTTGCCGCGAATACCTCCATTCATTGCACTTCTATCGGTCGGGTCCGGGGGCGGGGGGGGAAATTGATAACCTTTCTCACGCAGTGGTGGCTGTGTGTTCAAGTTCAAAATCGGATCCAAGGCCTGATCATGTTCATGCAACAAAAAACTCATGCTGTTGTCAACGGCCGTGGTCCTCACAACGCAACTGAGCACGAAGTAGAAATCAGTCACATCTCTAGACGACAGTCATGATTCATCAACTCATCGCTTTGTCCTTTCACCAGCAGATGGGCCCCGTGGCTCCCCGAGTTAGAAGGGTGCAACCAAGACTAGTTATGCGCTGGGATTGTTGGCAGAAGCATGGCCGTCGCTACCCTTGGCCATGCATGAGACACCGTAGTACAATCATTCTTTCATGCGAGCGAGCTCGAACGATATAGAGAACAACATGCCTCGCAATGTCAAATCCACTGGAGACGATTTGGTCTTTCCTACACTACCGACCCCGGTCTGCCTTCGATGAACCTTGCCGGATACAGCACCTCCACCACTGTCAGATAGCGTTGCCTTTGCCTGCCACACAGCCGTCTTACGTATACAGTATGCATGATATCACGGTGCTTACAGTCATACGACACCTTGAAGGCATTAGGGATGGAGCGCTCCCAGATTCAACAGTGATATGGTATGGCAGTTGTACCCATCGCCCCCCAGCTGTCTAAATAGTCCTGAAGCTCCGGCGGCCCACAACCGGTGCGACGGTGGGTGGCGTCTTCGCCCATGCTCTTGGATCGTGGCACTGCTTGTCGGTGGTCCGAGGAAGGGCGAATGCCGTGAGGATGGAGTTGACAGGGTTGACCTGATCCTTAGGAACTAGTCCTATTTGGGACAGATCTCTTGGCAGTCATGCCACTTGGGATATTGACCGCGCACAGGCGCCCTCAACCTTTCAGATCGTCCTTCGTACTTCAATTCATCGCCTGTTGAGCTCAGAACCGCTACCGTGATAGCGGGGGATTGCTGGTGTTGACCGCACCTTCGACGGTGTGTAGGTCGAGCTCAATGGAGGTAGTATCTAGGTATGGTATCACGTTCAGCTCCTTTGATTGGCCTCCCAATGCAATAGCACAGTCAAAAAGCACTGGGTACCGCGGGCACCTCGGGCTTATGACGGGAGCATCTACAGTCAGCCACTGCGGACGCCTAGAGCCCATAGAGTGGCCATTGCAACGGCGCCCTGATAGACATCCACCATTTACTGTCTCACGGCCTGCCATGTTGCTCTACCACCATCTGACGGCCAGGTCACCGATGCTGGTCCCGCAACACAGTGGAATATATCGCCTGAACTTATCAAACTATTACCTACCGGCGCACCTCTTGGAACGATTCCCAGCGCCACATTTATAAAAATGCCATCTAAGAGCGAGTTTGAAGCAGTGAAGAAATATCATCAGGATAAGATCGACGTAAGGAATGGAATTGTCACCCGGCAGCTCAAACTCGTGGCAGATATAATGAAGGCAGAGGCAGAGGAGCGAGGAGGAACTCTCCCTCGTTGCCCTGTATATCCTGTCTCCTTCTTTCCCCTCAACAACAGGAACATCTGTTGCGCTCTGACACAAGAACTACCGTTCGCCTATGGGAGCTTATATTTGTTCAGGACTAGATAGGCAGAGGAGGCTGTGGACTTAGCCCTCCGGCTGTGTCACTATAGATAGAGACGACGAGATCCCTGGTTTCAACAAGCAAGTCTCCTTTTTCGCCTTCTCCGCCTCCTTCCAAGTCATCATCTAGACCCAGCACTGGGTCCCGAGAAAGCGCAAGCCAGAACACAGGCTGCGCAAGATGGTTCACCGGCCACCTGGGGAGAGAAACAATCTGGGGAGAACCCACCCTCCTCGACAAATGACTCGGAAAGTCTTAGTAATGAGGCGTCGTCGCGGTCGTGGACTTGATAAGTCGATGTTTGGAGGGAGAATTCCTGCCCAATGCTTTCCGAGAAGCCAGTAAAAACGCAACCAAGACGCGGGGGCAAAAGGATGAATCGGGGAAGGCGTGCACGCGTCTGCCCTGACGGCAATTGTTCAGGCTCAGTTGAGCATGCTGGAGCGGCGCTGTGATCGAATCTCTGAAGGAAATGGAACCACGGAGTAATTGTTCTTTGGTGAGGATGAGCGTTTCCAGCAAAGCCCCCTGGAGGAAACTGCCGGCGAAAAGGTTCCTGGAGAGATTCTGTCAGTCAGGTCTCCGCCTGCGATTGGTGGGCATTGGGGCAAGAGCGCACGTCCGAGATAAGTGTACCGAGATATAGGTTGGCTTCTGGCAGGCCTCCCGTGCCAAATGTAGCCAGAGTCGAGAAGAGTGGATCGACTCCTGTCACCTCAGCTCGCGAGAAGGTTGAGGATGAGATCGTTGAAGATGAGTGTTGAGGATCAGTGTTGAGGATGAAAGTTTCAGGGTTGAAAACTTTGACGTGGACAAGATGACTCGGTCGGACGACGCTAATCCGTCAACAGCCAATCATATCAGCCACAACGGCCCCACAGAAGGCACTAGATATATTTGCCTCTACCAGTGTTTGCAGTGTTTGCAGTTTTTGCCGTGGCGAATTTGCCCTGCGAGCAGGAGAGGAGAATGGATTTGAATTTGTTTTCAATGTTGCAAGTCCTTTGTTCATTGTCTGTCGAGGCAATGGGATGCAGTTTAATGCTGGTGGTTCAACAACTGGAAGACAGGGTGGAGCTTTTAGAGTGGATTGCCTCTGCCCAGGCAACAGAATACGCACGGGAGTCATCGCTCGATAGATAGGACATGCTTCAAAGGGTACGAGAAACAGATTGCCCAGTGACTGACTCTGAGCTCGACATAAATACAAGCTTGCCCACATGCAGCAACAACAACCCATTCGCCGTCGCGTTATATATATACGCCTCCCAGTAACCTGTCCGAAGTTTGCTCTTTCTCAAGATCCACATCTCCTGGTCTTGGAAACTGCCAGTCCCCTCATCACCTGTATATTTCTCCACTGTGTCGGGGTTAAGTTCAATACATGTCAGGAGCTCGAGAGACCTGGAGTTGGAAGCGAACGCGACGATATGCGTTAACAAATCCACCATATACAATTTCGGAACCTGTGTTAAAACAAGGCCACTAAGGCACCAGGCAATACGGCCGCGCCGAGCACAGAGCGTAGATAAGCAATTCAGCCAAGAAGGAAGGTCAAACTATCCTCGCATATTCAGCCCGGGTGTCTCCAGATGGTGATATAATCTGACAAGTCGGGGACAGGACTTGGACAATGTCGAGCGGCTGAAAGCCATATTCTGTCGGCAAGGATGTCGAACCAAAGTTCATCAACATCAGCCAGATCCTAGTCACCATTGAGCGAGCGTGCCTGGGCAGCCCCCTTGGTCTTCCAGAAATCACCAAGCACTGAGTGAAAACCACTACAGATGTTCAGCCGGAACTTCGGGTTCCAAATGGAACACGTCTGACTTTCCTCGACCGCCGGCACCATGTCAAAGTAGCTCACAACCTGTGTTAGCCACGAGACAAGTGGTTGATCGAGAACCTCTATTACACAGGGACGTGCTGGGCTCTACCAAGATGAATGTCCCACTATCGTCAGAATTCCACTGCGACGACAGCTTCGGGTTGCAGTGGTGGCTCGTCTCCGAGATTGCCGGGCACGGAACATGAAGAGCCTTCTCGATCATCCTGACATCGACTGGTGGCAGGAGATATTGAAACACCTCGAGCATATTCGAAGTGCTGGCACAACCTGTTCGATGGGCAGGACCACTCTGGACCCCGGTAGACGGCTAAACACTCTAGTCCATGGAATTTCTGGCTGAAAGGGCTTCCACTTGCGATGCTGCAGAGAATCTATGGAAGCTCCCGGTGGGCTACATTTTTTGCACCTTCAACGCGGACGAGGAGCGGCGCATCGCCCGACGATTGTGCCAATTGCCATTGCTCATTCCATTGAACATTGTTTTCCGAGATTGGATGTACGGAGAGGCTTCGTTAGGAGAGTCAAACGCCTGGTCAGGCTGTCACGGTGCCTCGTGTGCTTGAGAAACAATTCACCGGCATTACCTAGCTGGCGGATCAAATCCTGGTTCTAGATGACTTCAACTTCGCCGCGATCCCAAGCGCGTTCATCAAGCCATTCGAACCTGGCCAACGCTGAGTTTTTCCTTGCCATGAGGCACTTCCTTGACCTTCCTGCGGGATCTGCACTCATGGCGTGACGGCAAGGGCGCGGGTGAGAACTGCAACATCCTGCTTCGCTAGGTCGCTCAGCTGGTGTGCCGACTAGAGTTCGAGCCTCTGTAAATTCACCACGCCCGAATTTTAGAAGAAGGGCCCCGGTTTCTCGTAACCATTCGCGTCGTAGCAGCCCCGGTCCTAGCAGCTTCTGGACTAGGAGAAAAGGTCAAACACATGAGAATATAGGAGTGACCTGCCCGTCATTGCACTCTTCATGAAGCCCGCGCGTTTCCATCTCTTGTGCATCTGTATGGTGGTCAAGATGTACACGATGAAAGGCCATCTCTTTTTGTACTCCTGAAATCCATATATGTCTCCTTTATGACTTCTCTGACAATTGCCCGGAAATTGGTGATGTTGATAGTGGAGGTAACATGGGACTTGAACCATTCGAACCGATTACCCGGGAGCGAGAAACGGGAAAGGGAGAAGCCAGAGGAACGAGGAATCGAGCGACAATAACGACGAGAACGAGAACAGAGGGAGTGACCTTCGCGTGCGGTCAGCTCACGGTACGTTTGCGTCCATTGCACAATGAGATGGAACAGCATCAAGCGAGATCTGCAGACTTTGTGCGTAGTCGTACGTGCTACAGTGAAGCAATAGCCGGAAAGGGGTGCGGCCAATGATACGACGATGCACCACTCGAGGCCAGATGTTTGTTTCGAGGCCATCATTGAAGATAGGACGCACAGGATTGTCTTGTTACCTCGAAGTGAGCTGCGTCTCGATCAGCAGGCGCTCGACTCTGTAGCTGAGAATGGGGGTTCCAGCTTACCGCAAAGCCCAGGAAGGGTGCCCCGGCTACCACTGGATCCCAGCAATACTCTCGTGGGCATCTCATTTGATGTGATTCCTCGAGAATAAGATTCTGTCCCTTGTGGCCAATTCGTTTGTCAGGTCATACACCAGCGACGCTGAGGGCGCTAGTCCCAGTTGGGGAACAGCCTCTCTTTCCTGCACCTAACGCCTCGATTCTCGACATGGTCCTTCTTCCTGCAATTGCCCATCTCTTTCACAAATTCTTTTGTCTTGCAACCCCTTCACTACATTCCCTGGTGAGGCTTCATATCTATGCGATTTGTGACTGTGACATTCCTACCGTTGCATCAACCCTTTGAGATGGAGTCCATCGCCCAGATTCCGGAATCAAGTCAGAGCCAGAAGGGTCCCCAACACCGGCAGACGTTCGCTGACTACCTACGAAAGACAAAGCCGGAGAAGAGGCGCTGGACGAAGCGGCAAGGTGATGCTGGACTGGCACAGACAGAGACCAAGAGCGAGACAGAGCAAGAAGAGAAGGATCGACGAGAAGATCACACCCACGCCGATCAGCGAGTCCACGCAGTCAAAACTTTGCTCGATCTGCAGTCAAAACAGCTGTCAAAATTGGCCGCCTGTCACAATCGTGCAATACAAACAGAAGCCAACCAGCGGCTGGCCCGTGAAAAGATGTGGAAAGAGCTGTTGCAGCCGACGGAAGCAATCCTCATGGACTTCCAGAGGGAGCTGACCTTGATACGATAGCTTTCCCTCGATTGATCACACCGCCGTGCACGACTCCCCTTCTGGACTTTCCAGGTTTCTCTCGGTCTTTTTGATTCTTCTTCCATAATTTCTCCATTGTTACCTTCGCCCTTTTCATTCTGGCGACTGACGCATCCTTTGGGGTTGACTCACCCCGAATCGAAGGTGGAGATCATCGTCCATTCTGCAAATGGTTATTTGTGACTGTGTTTCCTCCTTTGCCGGTACATCCTTCGAGGAAGCAGGAGGATCTCACCAGTGACCAGTACCATTCCCAATTGCGCATAAAAGGTAGGGTCCGTTCCTATGTTTCGTCTTTTGCTAACTCTTTCAAAGCTACTATTTGCATATGCTCACTGCATTACGGAGTCTTTCCATCACCATACACTTACAAATCTATCAAAACGCACCCTCCGGGCACGCTCAATCTACGTATGAAAACACCCCAGTGGCGATGGCAACCCCACTGACTGTTTAGCTTTCGGACAGTGAATCAGACCAAGGCCGTGGCGGAACGGGCCTCTTTCATGTAGACCCTCATTTCTCGACGACTGCCGCTATTACAGGGACCGAATCACAAAGACCTCAAGAACACCAACCACACAACCCACATCCGGAGCCATATACTCCTCAATAGTGGTCATTACGATATCCAAGAAAATCCAACGCAGTCGACTATCCTGGAGGCTCTACGCCCCGTCTGGAAGCATACTTTTGTGCTAAAAATGTTACATCTCGGATTTGGAGTCAGCTTAACATTCCTCTCTGAGATATTTGTGCAGCATTCTCACTTGGAGTCGCTCACAGGAGAGCTCAGGTGAAAGGCGCCATGACATCAATCGGCTCCTCAGTTCAGTCTGGTCCCGTGTATGGTCCTGTAAAATACCACGATGCAGACGTCCTCGCTTATCATCACCGCAGCTCCCTCACTGTCCAAAGATTTTCTCTCATGGACCTTTCATTTTCGATTGAGTTGCTGAGTGTTGGGGACCTCGGGTCGAGGCCACACAACAGAGAAGGAGGGACAGCCGCGCGTACCCAAAGCCTCGAAGAGACTCGAGTCTCTGTATATAGGGATAGAACTAGCAATACGAAGTGTGAAAACTTGGCTTAAACCGCCTATCCCCCTTTCTCTTACGCAGATTTGCCCCGATTACCGAACGACGACCGAGCGGCCTGGTTCTAAGCTTTTGAAAGGTACGATGTATCTACGACTCTTATCGTGGTCACAGCGATTCGTCTTTGCTCCACAGCACAAGGGCACTCGAACCGGTGAAAACAGATGCGTGTATCCCGGAGCAATCCCCTTTTGGCGTCGATAGAAGCTCAGGCCAAGTCCAGTGACTACGTACCGGCCGTGTGCGAACACCTCCATATCGAATGCCAGACTGGTATTACCGTTTCCTTACCCTGACAGCGGCAACCTCCGGATTACAGGCTTGAAAACCAACCTTGGTCTTCTTGTGGCACCCAGGAACCTGCACACGGACCACGATTGGCCAACCCTTCGACAGGCTACATGTCATATCCCACGTGTATCGCTGGACGGGCGTGTCTGCCCAGGTTCGAGGCCGAGGAATCAAGTTTGCAAATCGTGTTGCGGCGCGAGAATCACGGAACTGTGCAACCTACGCGAGGAACTTCAGAAGACCACGGGCGCGGGTACGACGACGGCCTCACGTCAGAGGATGTACGAACAACAACAGATGCGATCCAGGTCTAGCCCCAACGAAGTGTGCACAGAATAACCATCTCAGAGCCGACTCACAATATTGCTGCTCGCCGCAACACAGGCTCTGCGAACACGTATCAATAATCTCTGTCTCTCTCTCACTGTTCTTGGCCTTTTGACGGCGTTGCACGGCTCTTCTCACTTGATGCAACTACTTCAGGTAGAATTCCGGAAGTTCGACAGAATGAAAGAGGTATGCTGCGGCCTGAGTAATTGTGATTGTGGACTTTGTGTGATGAGACCGTCTGTCTTACCTGATGGCATCCTGCCCTCGCCGCCGGCATTTTTTTACTTCTGCCAACCAAATCCATTGTCCTTCCTGTACTCAACAGACTGATGCACTTTCTTTCGACATCTCTGTCGCCTGCAACCCAGACTCTCACCGAATCTCTTTCATCTTTGCGTGGTTTTCTCAGGACTGGTCAGCCGCTTGCCTTGTCTGGTAAGGAGCGGATGTCTGCTGTTGCTGCTGAAGGATGCCGTCCCCGAGACCTTCACTACCTCCATCCACTTCCCCATATACCGAGCCGCACCACTTGAAGGTTTGCCGCCACAGTGATGGAGAGAGCCAGTTCTGATCGATCAATCACATCGTGGGAAAACCCTGCAATGGAGACCAGATTCAATGTGAGCCTCTCCGGAGGAACAGGATAAAGGGCAACCTGCGATCGTCCGCCGGCAGGAGGAATTTGAAACGGCCGGGCCTGTCTTGGAGAAGTGAGAGAAGGGTGGTCTGCCTACATCGTCAGCAGTTTGGTAGTACCAATCGGCCCACGGACAGCACGAGGAATTGAGGAACAGAAACAAAAAGGCATAGAAAGTCACCAGCCAGAAGGTGCATCGAAGTCGGCACTATTTGCGAGCACTGGGCGAGGAGTAATTGGTGTGAGAAGCTTCTTGCTGCACTGCACTGCACAGTGATTCAGTCCATTTCCTTCCTTCGTCTCCAAATCACTCCTACATCCCTCCGCCGTCACAACAAACAGACAAGACACATTATGCCTCCAACGTTAAAGGGACCCGTTACCGAGCCAGGACATTACCAATTCGGCGCATAACAACGGGAAGAGCAACTGGGCGTACGTGAGACCGGACGCGCATGTCCTTCACTAACACAAAACGGAGAATACTACAGCGTGCCTTACGGGACTCATATCACCTATACACACAAATCACTCGCTCTGCTGTCATAATAATGGCGGGCCCTGTATGGATGGACTGGACGGGTTTGTCACAATCGTGAAACAGTATCTGATGCATCCACTGGTCTCTGGGGCTGGGTTCTCGCTGCGAACTACTTCGTCGAGAAGTGCAATAACAATAACGACGAACACGCCGTGATAGCGTGTCCATTGTCAGCGGTGAACAGAGGTGCTTGGCTCAACAAGGTCCTCTTCCGTCCTCATAGCATAGGTAGGTGATGATGAAGACTCGGACACTTGGCAAGTCAATCCGGCATATGGATCCTGGCATCCCTGCCAGCCGGCATTTTCAGCACCCTGAAGCGTCTGTCTCTGTTTACTGAGTCCCTTTGGTTTTCCTCGCGTACTGACTGTCCATCTCTGGCTTATGGTCACGGTCTCGTCCAAGTAACTGGACTTCACGAACATGGTCGCGGATTCGTCGTGGGCGTCGTCGTCTTTGGCCGACACATACATTGCGAGTAGCAGCATATTGGACGACACTGTCAGCCCCCATTGAGAGAGGGACTCCATCACCCTGAATAAGAAAGAAAGAATGCTCCATCGCATATGGTTCGACCTGTATGTATGCTGCTCGCATTTCCTTGTCGGCTTTTAGTTCCGTCAGGGACCCCAAATGGCTCCGATCTCCAGAAAGGCAGAGGTATAGGTAGACCATCCTCCTCATTGTGTAAACCGTACACATGCGAAAGTGGCTGACATATAATAGGCCGGGCGGCCAGAATCGAAAAGAATCGTCCATTTGTCCAACTGTACAGGGGTAGCAAGCTGCATGTGAAGGGATCCATTGCCATTTATGTGATTGTTCCTCACGTACCTGCTCTCGTGAATGGAGTCAACCAATCCCGCCGTCTGAGTCTACTCGCTCCTCTTTCGTGAGCGTGAAATGGAAGGGTCATCGATGGCCGCCGCGCTGGTGCCAACGCACAGGATGCTGAGGTTGGTGCGATGGCGGAACAGCTTGGTCAGCCATGTCCTTGGGCCGTGTGTGACGCCCTGCCTGTCTTGAGAAAGATAAAGATGAGTGCCGGATGGGGTGTCCTCGCCGCCAGAACAGATGAGCCAAACGCTGTCGTCGAATTCCAGTGGATAAAGCTCTCCTCACTTTGCTAGCTAGCCCCGGCAACAAGACATCGAGATACTGCGCACCTGCTGTCACCGTCCCCCTTGTCCGCTCCCCGCAGTAAAGCAATGCTGAGACCTAAGACAGTTCTGTCTGGCATGGTGAGTGTTCCCGTGCGTATTCCACTCCTTCCGACTACGGCAGAAACTGAGCAAGCAGCGACGGAGCAATCCACATGACACGGTAAGGAATGTCAAGTCAATACAAAGATTTGGAAAAACCGACACAGTCGGTTTGGTGCAGAGCTGCTACAAGCAGGCCGCAACAAGTCCCTGAAAGCAGACGATTATTCTCCCCTACGACTATCTCGACGGCTGGCTTTGTTTATTGAATCAAAGAACCAATGCATCAGTGTATGTCCAGCCCGAGCTCCGTCTAGCCCGGCCTTCGTCAAGCTGGCAGCCCACGGAGGCGGAGGGAGGCAACGGGATCGGCCGTTCGCTCCTCCAATTGATTGATCCTCAGCCGACTAGCTGGGTTCTTCGACCTCCCGCATCGGCGATGTGGTCTCCCAGTCGATGCGTCCTGCAATGACGTTCCCGCTTTGCCGGTTCGAGTTCGAGCGAGCCTCGTCGTCGAGAGATGAAAGTAACGGCTGAGAGAGAGAGAGAGAGAGAGAGTAGCCATGGGGATATTTTGGGGCTCCATAGTGCTATTCTCGGCTGTGTAGACTCAGGTTAATTTTACTGCGCGACAAGGCGCACAGTTGGATCGTCGGCGTTTCCTTGACAAAGACTCACTTATCTTCCTCGACCCCTTCGAGAGAATGTCTGAGAGAGAAGCGCTCAATTCCGTTGGCATGGCACTGTGTGCGCTGTTCCACAAAATGGGGCTAGTTGAATGTTGTTGGGCTGCTGCGACCGACCTCTTTCACCGCGCTGACCACACAGAGGAGGAGCCTGACAATGTAAGAATGAAAAGTACAATGTGCCAGAGTAAGCGCTCGGCCGCCGTGGCTTGTGGTCTCGAGGAGAGCAAAGCGCATGCGCAAACAACAATGGATAATCTGCGGAGATGTCGTGTACTTGCTTGCTCGAGATGCTTCCAAGGTAGTGGTGAACTGAGGCATGCATGACAATAAAAAGTTCAAGATAGGTGTAGTTTCTCTACCGGGAAGACATCAGGTCCAAATATGTGATATATATATATATATCCCGTTCAGCAATATCCAACCCCTTTTTGCAGGAGAAAGGTCCTCCTCCTGCAGGACTGGGAAAGATGATCGTGTGTGCCATACACTCACCCACCCACTGTGAATGAATGTATCTTTCCACCACCCATCTTCCGTCGCTGTGTGGCTTCGAGTACTGTTGCATTCGCCACCAGGACGAGCCAGGCTCCTCTCCTCGGCTTCATCTCATGCCGGAAAGCACGAGTAAACGGCGACGTGATGATAATGATGATGCTCATGTTGTTCTTGTTGTTGTTAGAAGTCACGTTCGGCTTTCTGACAATCCTGCATGAAGCAGCCCATCCCTCCCCTTCCGTTCCTCGTATCCACTGGGCCAGACAGATAATCGTGTATTCTCCTGTGGGTGACATGTCAATACTGACACGGGGGATCCAGTTCCTCCCAAGAACGATCATTCCGAAAACGCCTAGGTAGGTTGATGTGGGTGCGTGATTTCAGAAATTGATGCCAGCGACACCCCTTTTCGCAAACCGTATCTCGCGAGCACGCTCTCTCTGTGTGTAGATAGAAGGTCCGAGTGAGCAGATGAAGAAGAAGACTGTGTAGAAGATGAAGAAGGTCCGGGCCAGCCCGACCGCCAGGCCAGACAGGGCAACCCATGAGACCCAGGTATGTAGGCAAAGGGGGGAATTGGTGTGTTTGAATATGGTTTTCACGGTTGGCGTGGGAAGAGGATCTCTGTCTCTGGGCAAAGACATCATACATCGCGCAGTAAGTGATCTGATCGGGAGGATACAGCCTTGACTGATTCATTGCCCGACTGATGAAAGATCGCCTTCTCGCACGTTAACAGGCTCGCGACTCTGGGGAATAGAAGTAGTGAATGAACCCTCGTCACTCAGTCACGGCAGGCGAAGAAAAAGGGGAGTCGAGGCGGCCAGAATGTGCTCGCAGCACGCTTTCTCTCCCTTGACCGCCTTCACATCATCAGCAGCCAAATACCGTAGTGGCAGGGTGGGTTGAAGGCTGCGCGACTGAGGCAACCTGTTGTGAGAGCGCGAAAAAAGAAAGCTAATCTGACTGCATTGACTCAAGGTACTTTAGTGACAGAGTCCAGGTGTCAGCGGTAATCGGCTACCTTGACAGGCGCAGGTGAATGTCACTTTCAATAGTGTCAGGCTCCAGCCGTTCTACGCCGACGCAGGCTGGAACTGTCCGCGTCCTCTGCCAGGGAGGGATTGGGTCATCGTACCACTGGGAGTGGTGACCCTGATGGCGTCTGGCTGGCCTTTTCGCTCCCGCATTCGATTGGGCGAGCTATCAGCAGCAAGGGTTGCGAGGATTGAGTTCTGACATAGGGAGTATTGTACCCAAGCTGCTCACGTTGGCTTAGGAGGGAGACGGATGTCTCCTGGGTTGATATGCCGTGCTGACCAGGACAGAAACACTCCTGTGATAGCTTCAATAGGGTTCCAAATTGCGACGACGCTCAACAGCAGCATCGGTCCTCCTCAAAAAGTGAGCACGAATCAGACTCTGGTACCAGGAGTAGCTCTGCTCGTTTCTCTGCCAGGTGACAGTGTCGTGCAGTAATTAGAGGGCGCAAGGCAATGGCGTTGAATGGGCCCTCTAGAGGAAAGATTAGCGGAAGCGAGACACTGTGAGGTATTCACAGTGGCTTACATGTGCCACAACCAGTGCAGATGATCAGTCTGTTGACGCCTGCTTCTCTTCGCCCAAGAGGACAACGGCACGGCACCATACACCGGACACAATTTGCTGCCACAGAAACCTCTGTACGGTCGTCAAAGCAGGGAGAATATGAGATGCCGGCAGCTCGCATCATCAGACTGTGTTGATTAGCCTGCCCCACAATGGCTTGTCTGAAAGTACCCTCTGGTCTGTCTGCTGCAGTTAGGACAGTCGGAGGCACGTTCAATCGCGACCGACCAGCGGCTTGTGAACCTTCAACGGCTGTTTTCCTGTGGATAGAATTGGGACTGCACACTCTCCTTGTCAGCAGAACTCACTGCTGTGAAGTAGAAGGACTGGCTGGACCAGGGAGGCAGGTGACGATCTCATCCCCATATCAAGTTCAAGGAAGTCTCCACCTCCACTGCATCTGTGAGCACGCCTTGCATGGACATGAGACTGCGTGTCAATCGAACAGGAACATCTGACTTGAAGCAGGAAGCCCAAAGCGACGCGAGCTGCAAGCTGACAATAATCTTTGACTAGGAATGCGTTAGGCCGACTCACTGTCAGCTGGATATCTAGGCCTATGCACGACCGCGAAAGTAAGCCTCGTGTTCCATTTTACCCTTACGCTGATCTCTGCTGACCACGATGGCCATAGACGCCGTCAAGAGTCCGGCGGTGCACTGCGAATTCTCATGGCGATCCCACGCAGATGGCCGAGGCGCTCAGGTATTGCTGAACACCATGACGCCAAACTCCCGCTTCCTTGGCCAGTGGCAGCGACTCTCATTCGTCATGAGCATTGGGTACTTTGACGGCTCATCTCCTGCCGCCAGAACTGTCGCAGAAGGATCTGAAGTGCTGCTTCTGGAGTGCTACTAGGAGCACGCCGCACGGGCGACCAAGTGCCTCCTCGCCCTGGAAAGCTTGCCAAGCGGGTTTCGATAAAGTCAGTGGTTGCCTGTCCGCATTTCCCCGGCCATACCTGTCCTGAGACACCCCTTTCCACTCGCAAGGTTCGGGAACCCCCTGGAAGTCCCAGAAAAAGCTTCCTCCGTCCTCGGTATCCCTTTCGCCCTTGACGCCCCTCCGCGGCTCTCGAGTTCTTCGCAAAATGCAGTGGATTTTCCGGGTCGTCCCATCCAGCCACTGGATCGGTCATTGTCATTGTACATGCAGTCTGCGGGCCGCCGGTGATCCAGTAATTTTGGAGGAGCAATTGGGCTAGCGCGGGTTGGTTTGATGCGTCTGAGCGGATGTTGCCGCTTCCAGGCGAGCAGAGACTGGAGGAAGCACTGGAGGATGCTTGCGCCAGGAACCTCGATATCATCGAGCCGAGTCGAGTCGGATCTGGTTCACTCCGTAGGCAGGCGGCCGTCGTGGTAGCCCAGTGGCCAGGAAATAAGAATCTCTCTCTCTCTCTCTCTGGCGCTCGCATTGATGTGACAGCTAACCAGGCAGACTGATAGGCAGACAGACAGACAGTGTAATCCACAAAAACCCCCTGTCGTCGAGGCGGACACTGCTAAGTAACTGTGTGTAATCAACAGAGCGTTGGGGGTGTTTGTTTACCGAGATACTCACCAAGCGCTCGCGCTAACACGTTGCATGGCGAGTTCATTACGTCCGTCGTCTAGCACCTGTTCTGCGACTGGCTGCCCTTCCCGAGCTCCTGGTTGGTCTCGACCTCCAAGTCCGGATATGCTTGCGTACCACAGCAGAAGGCCGAGACAGCGTCTCTATAGACGAGCGAGGAGGCACTGAATCTCAGGGGTCTGAGATATCTCCTATCCTGTCCTGGCTATCGGGCGGTAGTAATTGGAACATTTTACAGACAGGGCAATCTTCTTGTGAAGTCGATCGAGTTGGACGGACCACGCCGCAGCCGCCATCACGCCGGAACGGGGGACTTTCTCTTTTCCATCTCCTCAATCTCTGGATGATGATAACTTTGTTCTCTGCACATCATGAGTTGCAAAAACAAACAACAACGAATGCATGTCAACGGAGACTCGATGGATGGACAGGCTGTGTTTAGAGGGCCTCTAGATCAAGAGCCTTTTTTAATCCCACCGGCTTGAGCCGGGCTTTCTTCGATAGACTCCCGCCATCGTGGTATCACCGCATGTGACTTTGTCTCGCTGTCAACTTCTGTGTTCAGAGAGAGCACAGGTAGATCATCCGCTGGCCTCGAATCACGCAGTCGTAACCACGTCGAGGTGGGACTGCTTGAGCGTAGGGATGATGTCTAACGTGCGACGGCGAGGGCGGACCGTGGTATTCGCGCGTCAGAGATGCGATGGTAAGAAACTCCAAGTTTACCTGGGAGGGGAGGGCAAACTGAGGTCTACCGCACCTTTCACGCTCTCTGTGCGACAGGTCCATCCTATTTCTTTGGTATTGGCCTGGCTGCTAGGCTACAGGGTATCGTCCTTCCGCTCGTCCCGGCCGAATTGTGCAAATTCCACCTGACGTCGGTTGTGGGCTTGTTGTGGTGTATACCACCCGCCGGAGTTCGTGGAGGAAATAAATGGCCATCGATAGTGAGATCCGGAGTCGAATATGGGTTGAGCGTCATCGTCGCTACTGAAACCGGGCTCGAAGCTGCCGCAAGGCGCAGATTAACGTGTTTTTCGTCCGGTTCCTCTCGTTCGCAGTCACACCCACACCGATGCCCTTTGCTGGAAGAGAAGCAGACAGCAGAAGCAGCCAGCTGACGACGGCGAACTAGAGCGGTGGAGGTACGGAGGGGAGGGAGTAGTGGTCCTTTTTGGGAGGGGTCATCGTAATATTTCCGGGTGTGTTGTTGCCAGAGAAAAGTAAAGAAAGACTTCTCTTCGTCACTGGATCGGGCATTGAGGGCAGAGCTGGACGATCCCAACGGGGAAATGGCGGACGCATATTGCCGGAGGTGCTTCTTCACGGGATATCGTAATGAAACCGAAGAGGAGTCCTTGTGAGTTTCTCCTATCTCTTCATTTTCGCCCCTGCTTTCCGAGTCGTTTTGGCAATGTTAGAGTCAAGCCGCATAAGAAGTTCTCCCAGAGCACGAATTCCACTGTACTAGTGCCTTGTGTATTCACGGCGTCACGTCATACGTCTCGAAAAGTGAATTGATGGAGGACGATGGTAGGTGTCGAGCCAGTGACGGCGTGCGATGGGCATTTCTCAAGGATTAAAACAGGATGAGGCGGCAAACACCTCGAGTATCGACAGATCGTCGGGCCTCCCAAGAAGGCTTCCCTCGCATTGTTTGTTGGCCGAGATCTAAGGGCGTCGAGAAAGGGAAGAGCTCGGGGGCTAGCACGGCCTCTTTGCTCTGCGTCCATCCATGTGGCTTGGGAAGTTAGGGCCCAATTTCGTGCCAAGTGACGAAGCCTGCACATGTCCCTTTCCCACTCTGACTGACCCAGCAGACCCTGTCGAGTTCCTACCCTTGAGAGTCTTCGAATCTGCTCGGAGAGCTGACTGAAGGAAAAATGGCCAAGCTTGCGGAAGGAGATTCAAGAACAAGGAGCTCCCATCGAAAAGACAACACAATATTCCTCCACCTCGATCATGATTGTCGTGGCAGGTGGTCTTGCACTTGTGGGTTCCGCCGCGCCCAAGCTTTTGGCACCAGCCGAGTACTTGGTTCATGATACCTGTGATCTCTTCACCAATGGTCACGTTGTCTCGAAGCCTGTGGCTGCTAAAACTTGGCAGGATTTCTTGGGATTTTAATTGAACACGAACGTGAAGTGGAGTGGGCCGTCTCCAAAGACTGGGTTGGGACAATCTGGGAAAACCTCACCTATGAGCCGTTGCTGTGAGGAACTGTCGGGGGAGTACGAGCAGTGACCGTCTTCCCGTAACATCAACCAGCCTCGCCAACATGCGGATACATGTTGTTGTTGGAGGATGCATGAGCCGTGCGGTGTTTGTCCTCGTTCCCCAAAGTGACATTGTCGCAGTCTCGGGCATTCTGGCCGCTTCAGGAATGATACATGTCTTGCAGCTCACTGGGTTGATGTTCGCAGTGGAAAATTCCCAAGTGGCGCAACAAGGACGGTAGAACCTTCCTGCCACAGGCCTCTAGTAATAATGACCTTGCGGCTGCGAAAGTAAAGTCACCAGATCTCAGCGCAGTCACTTTGCCCGTGCGGTAGCTTCGAACTGTGAAGGCCGGCGTGTCGAGCCGTCTGCGGGACGAATTATAAAGACTTTATAGGTAGAGAGTGAATAAAAGATATGCCGGATATTGAGAAGTTGCGCGTGCAAATTGATCGTCAGATCTGTGTATATGAGTGTAGAACGCCGTTGGAACCCCGGATCCAGATTGGGACCTGCGCAAATGCACTGGTGCCAGCTGCTTTCGGTGCAACGATCAGCGGCAGCGACGATGACAAAGAGACTCGTGCACAAGGCGGGATTTGTGTCTCGGAGACTACCTAGGCTTGGGAGAGCAGTTGCGCCATCGACTGACAACTCCGACAGGACTTGAAGCCGGACAAGTCGAGTCTGGGGTATTCCCAGGAGAATGATTGCATGAGGGCTGGCTGCTGTAGATCCTCCTCAACTTCTCGATCATGCACACCCCAAGTGGCTTTGACGAGTTCGGTATAGCCGCTCCTGTGAGTGACGAAAGCTGGTCCGGAGCCGAAGAAAGTGTTGACAAGATATTCCACGACAGGGTTGATGTAGCAGGACGCCTTTGTTGGCCGTACTGCGATGCAAAGTATGATCTAACGGTTTACATCAATTCACGCGCCAGTGTGTGTATATGAGAGATATATAGAGACAGAGACAGAGACAGAGACAGAGACAGAGACACACACAGAGACAGAGACACACACAGAGAGAGAGGGGGAGAGAGAGAGTATCATTTTCTATCCACTGCTATGCACATTCATTTCCTGGCCACTACCATAGACTGTCATTTCCTAGCCACTGCCATGGACTGTCATCTCCTGGCCACAGCCATGGACTTTCATTTCCGTCATTTTCTAGCCACTACTATGGCCACCAAAACGACCACGACGGCCACCACGACAGCCACCTGCCAGTAGAGTGCACCATACTCGACTCGACTCGGCTGGATCGACAAATAAGCTCCTTTCGCTCTCAGAATACCCAACGGTAACACCCGTCTGTCCGTATCTTCCCAACACGCGATATGCCAATAGTCTTTCCAGAACCGCTTCATCATCTGCGGTTCAATGGGACTATCTACTCCTCTCCGAAGTGTTTTGTCACCATAGATACCTTTAGATATCATCAAGAAAGGGAGTTTTCTTGATGGTATCTGTCCGAACGCGAAGGTTTCCTGGAAGGTCATCTCTGCGATACCAGTAGTATCCCGCTCCCATATCTCCCATAATACTTCAGTCTCTCCGATAATCTTGACGTTACCGCACCAAATTGCACCCGTTATCTCGTCAATCCGAAAGACCTGAGAGTCTTGGATTGATTTCGGACATGTAAATGTTGGTTTTTCGGTGAATTTGATAAGGATAACGCGTTGGATATTGAGGTCGCCGTCCATGTATAGTGGGACGAGATTTCGGAGATCTTTGAGAGTTTGGGACACGCCCACTTCGACAATTGTATGTGTTCTACTATCATCCTGACTCTTTATCCAGTCGATATGAAAGTCTGGTTGTTTTTGCGATGACTGATCTACAGGAATAGCTGAATTCGAATTGATCAGGATCTTAGCCGCGAGAGTAGGTGTCATAGCAAATTTAGCCTTGTATGCGAGTTCCGTAAGGAATCCAACGAAGGCCTGGTGTCTGAAGCTAGGAGGAGGCATAATTGTAACAAGACAGCGCGAGCTATCGAAGAAGACTCGAAATAATTTCCTGAAAAGATCAGCGTACCGCTAGATAAATTAACGAGAGTGATCAGGTACCGTTCTGTGTATAAGTCAAAGTTGGGGTCTTCTTGCAGTTTCAACCACGACTCTCGAGAAATCGTGAATTTGATGGGTTCATCATCTGGTGTGAGATGCAGTTTGTCTGTCGCAACGGCTTCTGCGAGATCCAGCACTTCCTGCAACTGATCAGAGTGAGTAGGTGGTTGAAGGCGCGACTGATTTGGTGGTGGTTGAAAATTTGACTGTTGTGGTGGCGAAGGCTGCAGTGCACAGGCCGTACCGCTATACTCCAGCGTGTCGCTTGAGCTTGAATCCATTCTTTGAGGCCAGTTACACAATCTCTTCTGAAGGCTTAGTGGATGATCGATGAGAGAAAGATGACGGAAGAAGACGAAAGATTTTTGTTTATTGTTTGACTTTCAACTTGTGAAGATGCGGAGGCGTGTCAGGATGCGGAGGAATTTGTCACCTTAGTGTATGATCTAGCGAAGCGTAGCCTGAGCTAGTATCACCGGCAAAACTGACAAAAAGGGCGTAATTTAATTAGTCCGTCTTCTCGGAGCTTATCGATTGGCTGCTGAAGACACAAAGTACGTGACTTTCGCGGATCATAGTTATTCCACTCCTAATCTCAATTGCCATCTGCGCCACTGCCATCTCAGTTTTCGTCAACAACTTCATCAACAACTCTACCAAAACCTTATCAAACCTTCATCAAACTGTCGCAATCTGTTTGTCTAGCAACATCCATTCCTCTGTGAAAAGCCTCTCTGAAAAAACCTCTGTGAGCCAAGTTGTGGAGCCACGAAACTGACCGATTTACAGGCCACTTAAATCGCCTCTTGCCCATCTGAAACCCGCTCCTCTCCCCCACTCAATCCTTGGCCCTTGAAGGCCCTGCTGGCGTTCGTTACAGAAGGTGGAACTGCTGGCGTTGCAGATACTGGTCAGACTCGCGGTCAAAGTCGGCGTAGTAAGACCCAGTGGGTTCCTTGGTGCGCCTCCGGACTCGGTAGTCATTCGTCGCGGTTAGTCGAGCATAGGTCTCTGTGAATGTTAGCAAAACATACCTGTTGGCTGTACACTTTGTGGGCGGCGATGGTAGCGTTTCTGGTGCCGAGCGCGTCCCCAGGTAATTAAGAGCTTCGCTGGCGTCTTCGGGTGTTTACGCGGCACAGTCCATTATATCACAGGACGCCTTTGTTAACTGCACTGCGATGCACAGTATGATCTAATAGTTCACATCAAGTTACGCACCAGTGTGTGTGTGTGAGACAGAGATAGAGACAGCGAGAGAGAGAGATTTTCATTTTCTAGCCACTACTATGCACTTTCATTTCCTGGCCACTGCCATGGACTTTCATTTCTGTCATCTCCTGGCCGCTGTCATGGACTTTCATTTCCGTCATTTTCTAGCCACTACTATGGCTACCATAACGACCACGACGGCCACCACGATAGCCACCTGCTAGTAGAGTGCACCAGACTCGACTCGACTCGGTTCGATAATATCGAGGTTCCTGGCGCAAAATTCTTCCCATGCTTCCTTCAATCTCTGGTTACCTAGTAGCGGAAACATCCGTCGCCTAGCGTCTTCATAACTAGAATTAGCCCAATTCTCCATCCAGAAGTTCTTGATCATCTGTGGCGTGATAGAAGTATCCACCCCCCTCCAAGTCGTCGCGTCGCCATAAACACCTTCGCTGGTGATTGTCAAGAAAGGAAGGCTTCTTGACGGCATCTCGCCGAACGCGAAAACCTCCTGGAAGGTCGGCTGCGGAACACCAGCAGTATCTCTTTCCCACACCTCCCACAGAATTTTCGTCTCCCCAACTACCTTAACGTTTCCGAACCAAATTGCACCTGTTCTCTCGTCTCTACGAAACTCCTGAGAGGTATCGATAGACTTTAGAGATCGAAATCTTGGTGTTTCGGTGATATCGATGAGGATAACACGTTGAATATGCGTATCACCGTTTAAATATAACCGGGCGAGATATCGGAGATCATTTAGGGGTTGGGTATTGCCCACTTCGACAATCGTGTGATCTCCGATGTTGTACATATCCTTTTTCCATTTGACAACTAAGTCGGGTACTTTTTCCGAGGACTCGTACTCTCCTGTGATTGTTTGAACAACCATACCAGTGTCGATCAAGATCTTAGACGCGAGAGTAGGTGTTGTATCAAATATAGTCTTGTACCCTAGTTTCGTAAGGAAACGAATAAAGGACTGGTGTCTTTGACTCGGAGGAGGCATAATAGTGACAAGTCGGCGCGAGCTGTCGAAGAAGACTCGAAATATGTTCCTGAAAAGATCAGCGTACCGCCAGAAGAAGAAGAAGAAGAATCAACGGGGATAATAGGGTACAGTACCGTTCTGTGCACAAGTCAAAGTTGGGGTCTTCTTGCAGTTTCAACCACGACTCTTGAGAAATCGTGAATTTGATGGGTTCATCATCTGGTGTGAGATGCAGTTTGTCTGTCGCAACGTCTTCCGCGAGACCTAGCACTTCCTGCAGTTGATCAGAGTGAGTGGGTGGTTGAGAATTCGACTGTTGTGGTGACGAAGGCTGCGGTGCGCAGGCTTTGTCGCCAGAAACGGAAAGCGAGTCGAGCGCCCGCCAAGGAGCGCCAGGCTCCGGCGCGTCACTTGACCTTGGATCCATCCTTTGGTTGATGCGAGTTGTACAATATCTTCACCGCGCCGGTGTGGGATGATGGAGGAAGATGACAGATTTTGTTTGTTGACTGACTTTTATGTGCGGGAATTTTTCTATCCGGTCGAGCATTTGCATCTGCTCATACAACAACGGAGGAGCAGGAATCACCTCCGTGCATGATCCAGCACAACGCCTTTGTTGATGGCACTGCGACGCACAACAGCCTTTGTCTGGGTCACGAGCCTGGAAGCAAACACGACAAAGGCTTTGTCGATTGCACACAGATGCACAACAGACCATGTCTTGATGGCACGGTGAATTTGCGGATGGCACTGCGACACACAACAGACACTGCTTTGATGGCACGGACACAGAACAGACACTGCTTTGATGAGCGGACACACAACAGGCCCTGCCTTGATGGCAGAGCGATCTTCCGGATGACACTGTAACACGCAGCACTGCGCTGCAATGACAGGCCGACGTTGTGGATGGCACTGCGACGCCTGTGAGCAGACGCCTCCAGGGCTTTGTTGATCGTACACGGATGCAGAGCAGTCTCTTCTTGGGACACAGGAGTGTGGTGACGGCACACAGATGCACAGCAGACTCTGGATTGATAACAAGGCGGGTTTGTGGATTGCACTGTTTGTCTTTCTGTCAGTCCTGCGTCGAAAGGGGGCCCGGAGCCCAAGGGCGCTCCTGGACTGTGCATCGACTCCCACGAATCCAGAACCGCTGCTCTCTCTGGCAGGACGAGTCCAGCGGTAAGAGCCATTTTGCTGGATGGGCCTCTTCTGTTATGATGGGAAATTCTGGGTGTGTCGTTGGCACAACATCGATGGTTTTCCACCACCGGCGCCAAAGGGTGCGTGATTTCAAGTCAGAGGCAGGACCAGATGACGCGAAGGAATAAGTGGAAGAGCGGGACCAAGCCCCCGTTCCCTCTCACAATATAGGATATGGAAAGGCCCAGAGGCCATATGCGGCAGCCGGGCCTCGATAAGCGGTGTCTGATCCTTTCTGGGTGGTGAAGGGTAGCTCGGATGTGTTTCAGGCTAAGCCATCGGCGGGCGTCGAATCAAAACTTCAAAAGATCCCAAGAACAGATGACTTGTGGGCCAGAGCGCAGCCTAGTAACCGGAGATGTCGGTTCACGAAGCGACGGCGCTGCCTCCAAACTTTCCCGCCACCTCCACGACCTTGTTCCTTGAACTCATGCCAGTCTCGTCCGAGAGAGGTCTCTTCTATAACAGTGTCGGCTGGGAGCCTTCTATCAGCCTTCGCTGGCGTCTCGTCCTAGCGGCCCTGATGCCTCCTTTCCACCACCACCCCCCCAATCAATCCACCTCCCTTGTTTCTTCCTCCAAAGCTGGACGAACACTGCCCAGATTTCCCTTACTCAGCATTCCATTCCCAGATTTCTTTGCTCAACATTTCTTTCCTCAGCTCGCTATCTACTCCGGCCAGAATCCGTCTCAAAAGAGTGCTGACAGGAGCCATACCTGGACCGCCCGCCACGCTGAGTGATCGGGCGGACCTGATGCTCTTGTACATGAAAGCGAGAGAGTGGCAATCGGCAACATTCTCGAGAAGGACTGCGGCGATGTGACTCTGATAGAGATCCTGGCCGAGTCCAAGATCCGGATCTCAAACGTGGCGCCAGCGACTTGCGTGACGACGGTAAAGCGGATCCCTTCGCAGCCGAGAGACATGAGGAACTCCAGTCGCTAGGCTGGCACGCCTGGGTTCCGGACAACCAAGGCTTCCTTATCTTCCTCTCCAGTCTCCTCCGCCTCTTCGAGATCAGGAGGCGGAAGAATGGCCAGGGCAGGCTCAATTCTCAACGCCACCGGGTCCGGGCCCTCAATCCTACCCCAAAACCAACCTAGTAGGCGACGAGCAGCAAGAAGGCCCAACTGAGGAGGGTTTGGAGGGTGACCCACCGACTCACCGCGGGCGAAGCCGAGGATGAACCCGAGATGAACCCGAGGACCGAGTACAGGCGGCCGATAGCGGGCAGGAACAAGCAAAGATGCTGCATATACTGGTCGACAAGCTCGCATTCTCTTAGGTTCATGGCCGGAGATCACGACGCTTGTGGCCAAGGCCCAGGCCCGGCTTCTGGACCCGTGGTGGTTCAGAAGCGCGCTAATCTCTTCCGGTCTGAGCAGCTTGCCTTCTAGCCCGACCTAAAGAATCTCGACACCATGCCAACTTTAGACAAAACCTGGTGAGTGGCCTTTCGCCGGGGGCCCCGGACGGTGAAGGGTGTCTGCTGTTCGGTGGCTAACATCCCGATCAACTAGGTTCAAGGCCGCCGCTGCCGACTTTGACCTCTCCACCAGCCATGTCGGCCTCGAATTCATGTCGGCGACCCAGGAGGCAGTCTGTAGGCAGGACTCGGCAGGCATATACCGCTCGAGGCCCTCGTCGCCATCTACCTGCTGTAGCGGGTGGGAGCGCTCCCGGTCGACCTCGAGTCCATTGGCCGGGGTAGGCTTTGACATGGGCCGAGTCGGCCCGACCTGGGTCGAGTCAAGTCGGCTTCCGGGTCGGGTCTGGGCCGACTCTTACCTAGCCCGATAACCCATTTATTCGGGCTAGTTCACTCTCTAACTCGACCCGAAAACCCGTGGACGGGCCGAAGTTTAATTTTTATGGTCAAACCTTCCAGGGTATAGGTCGGACTCGACCCGACTTGACCTCGACCCGAAATATATCGGGTCGGGTTATCTACCCCCGAAACCCGACTCGACCCGGCCCATGTCAAAGCCTAGGCCGGGGTGTCCGAGAGATGGACTCTAACGTCCAGAAGATGTTGAGTGCTCACAGCTGTTATCTTGGCGACGATCGGTTTAAGGACGTCATGCTAGATATGTCAAAATGAGCCCAATGGGCCAAGAGGACCCAGAGCTTAGTCTACCTAGGCTGGATATCTGAGATCATGGATGACGGCGCCGTAGTGCTCCCCAGTGATAGCATACGGTTACCGACAGCCCCTCTGCTCGCCAGCATTTGCAATATGGTGGTCTCTCGGTGAGCCTGCCGCTACACCCCACCTTGGAGAGTAATGTAAAATGACGCCGGGTTGGTGCCGTTGGCCTGGCGCGGTTGCCCGCACAAAGACTGACCCGGCAGTGTCGATGGCGTCAGAGAATCGTTATCGTAGGACCCGACCGCCAACGTGCAGTGCGCCCTGGAGACGGGAGGGGGACAAGACGCCAGTGTGCCAGAAGATCCGGAACAGCCGGAACCGGCTCACGGAGGATATCGTCCACCAACTGAATGGTCAGCCGCTCGAACCGGTCCTGAATATGGAGATCATGGTTCCTTGCGGGGACGAATTCCACCTGGTCGTCCACGATACCGTGAAGACATTTCACGGAGAAGTTCAGGAAATTGGACAGGAAATTGGAATTGGCTCCTGGGCAGAACTGGAAATCCGAGACATGGCAGGTGGGTGTCTTGGAACCATGGACGTCCACTGTCTCAGTAGGATAGCACAGGTTCGAAGAGGAAGCTTTAAGGCTATCACAAGTATTCCCTGTGTAAGAAACAAGTGTCAAGCTGAAGAACGAGGACAAATTGCAAGTCGATGCGGTGCGTTGGTGTGTGGTGTGGTGGAAACTAACTTTCCTCGCGACCCTATCCTGTCCAAGCCGTCGTACCCAAGTGGTGACCTTTCAGATTGTACAGACCCGCAGCCCATCAGCTATCAATCAATCAATCAATCAATCAGGGGTCAGTAGCAGCTGAAGTTGCTGGTAGGGGGTTGGGCTGGGATGGTCAGTTGGGAATGTGATGTGATGGAGAAGTAAGTCATCGAAGGGTGATGGACATGAAATAACTGGGTGCGAAGGTGGAGCGGAGCGTTGATGAGTGAGTCAATGGCGTAGTGTCTGTCGGCGGCGACATGATTGATTCTGTGTGTGAGATAGAAGCCCCTGAAATCATGACGACAAGTTGCGGCTGAGACTGAGACACAGTGACATCAAGTCCACATACACACCGTGTACTCACTCACTGCCCATCCATCTACCCCGGTGATTGATTCCTCTTCCTTTTCTTTCCTTTCTCTTCCCAAAACCTTCCCACAGAGTTCGATCTCTTGTCATTCCTCTCCTCCCTGTCCACACGTCCATCAGCCACATTGCCCTCCCACCCAGTACCACCGCACCAGGCAGGCAGACAAGAAGAGAGGGAATCACCGCGGACGGACGCTGTACCTGTCTGCCATCATGTCAAATCCAACCAACCGCACGATAACGCTATTTGACATGCCACACCAGGTAAGATGAGGACTGCTGCCGACGCTATGACTCCCACTAACCGCGAAGAGACTCCTGACGCCGACGCCGACGCCGTGCCTTCGACCAAGTGGAATGAGACTGCTGACGCTGCGCCTGCTATGAGATCAACCAGAGGCCGTGCGATCAGATCCAACCGATTCAAGCACTTCCGTGTCTCACACCAAGCAGGAAGAGGCCACGGGCGGCGTGCCTCGCACCAGGTGAGAAAAAGACTGGTGTGGACATCTTGGCCTCCCTCTCACTCACCACCAAGCAGGAAGAGATTGCTGATGCTGTGCTTCCAATGAAGCGGGAAGGGACTGCTCACGCTGTTTCTCCGATCAAGCAGGAAGGGACTGCCAACGCCATACCTCCTTCCCTCCCCTTGACCGATTTCCAACAAGAAGAGCCAGCTCCGCTCAACCCACAAGATATTATACAACGAGTGACTACTAACTCCTCCTCACCAGGTGTTGACGCTACAATGGATATCAGCTCAGCGCCCACGAGGGAGGAGCAGAGGCAGGGATGGATATCGGAGGCGATTGAGCGAATTGAGCGAATCCAACGCTTAGGCCGGATGTCGGAGGCGGTCGAGCAGGTTGAGCGAATTCAGCGCTTGCCAGTGGGTGACACACTCCTATACGGCGAGATACAAGAATTGGTGACGGTGATGCGCCGCCTCGAACGCGAGATCCTTCTGAGCATATCCTCTAGGTTGGGACGCCTCCAGGCCCAGCAGCAACAGCAGCAGTTGTACCGGAACGATGAGGGGTCATTCAACAACAACAGAAAGATGATGGAATGGTTACAGACCATGAATTTGATTGTGCTGCACATCCTTGAGAGCAGATGCAGTGAGTGGGTTCAGAGGGAGTAAAAGGAGGATATTTGATGGTATGAATGTGGATGATTGAGAATGAGCCCTATCCATACATCCATCCACCCATCTATATATTCATCCAGGAAGCAACCAAAAGGTCCGTTCTCGCTCAGTCCGCCATGGGGACGGGGATGAGGAGGGGACAGGACATCAATCACTCAATCAATGAACCACCCAATCAATTAATCAATCAATCAATCAAGCACAGCACAGCACAGCAGAGCATAGCATAGCATAACACAGGATAACGCAGTGTTTGTTGTCTTTCTTCTTTTTTTTCCTTCCAACCCAAACATCCTCCATCCAGTAGCTAACCAACAGGTCGGACTCCGACACAGTCCGCGATGAGGATGAAGAGGAGGATGAGAAAGAGAAAGGACATCCATCAATCAATCAGGGGGCAGCAGCTGAAATTGTTGGCGAAGGGGAGGGGGGCTGCGGCCGGGGCTGAGGAATGGGATATGATTGGATGGGCAGGTTCATCGAAGGGTGACACGATATGATTATGTCAGTCAGTGACCTCGTTGTCGGCGGCAGGCAATATGATTAATCGATTTGGGGGGTTAAGTGAGTAAGATGACAGTTCACGATATCATAATATTATGACACGATGGGCTGTAACTGAGACTGAGACTGAGACCGTGGCGTCGATAGTTCCAAGACACTGACTCACCGCGCCATGCCTCGCATTTCCAGTTCCGGTTGTGGCCTTTTCGAGTAGCCGTTCCCGTTTCCTGTCCAATTTCCTGACCTTTCCCGTGGACCTATCCGTAGCTGTCACGGCCCTTGTAGCCAGGACGACCATATCTGACCAGATCTGACCCCAGCTGGACAGGCATGGCTGGCAGCACTCTGATTGGGCAACGCGGTTCTGTGCAGTGTGTGCAGGACCATGTCGGCTATAATCATGGTGCCTCATGTAGATGTGTTGCGTGTTGTGTGTTGTGTGTGTGTATGTGCACGTCGGGCCATGTCTCGCTATCTACCGAGGTGCGTGGAGATCGCGACAGATCACGGGGTGCCAAGCGTCCCTGACTTCCCCCACCACACATGTAAATCGTGAACTGCCTCAGATGGACAATCAGATTCAGGTTATTGCCCTGTTCCTCAGCCGCAAGGAAGGCAGCGATGACAAGGTGCAAGCTGGCAGAGGTATCAAAGAAACATCTTTACCTTGCTTGATCTTCACTTTGATCATCAGTCACACTGCACTACTACCTCCTCGTCAACAAAGACATCGCAACCCCACTGCCTGGCCTCACGGCTTCGTCCTATCGTGTTATAAATACCTCTTCGTGTCTGTCTGCACAATTTGCTCTTCTCCCACACAACACACTCCATCACAACACATCACAACGACGCTACGCAACTCATAATAACATGGCGTTCTCCTCTCCTTTGTCGCCAGCCCTTGGGGACGAAGCCACCGGTCTTACACGCGAAGAATACAAGATCAAATCCTTGGACGGCACCGAAGTGTCTCTGTGGAGAATTGCTACTCGTAGCGCAGCTGCCACTGAGGATCCGAAGCCAGCCCTGATATACGTCTCTAGTGGTCCTGGCCCGCTATTTCCCGAAGCCATAAGCGTCGGCACCGTCAACCTCGACATTCTCAACCGCGCACTCATCGATAAGCTCGGACCAAAGCCATTGCACGACGCGGGGATCGTCCTCTTGTCAGTAACGCACCGTTCTGGGCAGGGGTCGCCATTCTCGAGCCCGGTTGCGGACGTGTATGCGGCCTACGAATATGCACTCACTCATGGCGACGACCTCCGCATCCAGCCTCACAACATTGCCATGGTTGGTCTGTACGCCAGCGGCCAGTTCGTGTGGTCGGCTACCCACATTGCTATAGACCTCGGCTTGCCTGCCCCTTGCGGTGTCATGGTCATCGACCCAGTCTTTGATCCGAAGGCGAACTGGGAGACGAAAGAGGGGTTTGAGCCACAGTCGTTTCCTCGCTTCGACGAACAGCGTGAGCAGATTGTCCGCCGCGGGCAGAAGGAAGGCTGGGATGTTGTCTTGCGTCGGGTCGACTTCACCTGGTTTCCCGCCATTGTTCGAAAGTACATAGGACTGTTGCAGCTGTCACGCGAGGATCTTAGTCGACTACCCCCCATGTTCCTGGACGTCGGATTTCATAGCCCCCCCAAGGCAGAGGTGCATAAGGCGCGCGAGATGTTGGCCAAAGCTAACGTCGAAGTGTTTGGATATGAGTATCTGCAGATGAAGTCCGAGCACGGTCTCTCGCCGATCTTCAACAGAACCAAGAACGGTCGGCGCGAGATGGTGGAGAAGATGCGGCAGGATCAGCGCCAGTTCTTCGAGAAGGTCTGGCAGAATTGATTTGCGGCGGGTAAGGAGGCGCATGGTCAGCAAGTGAGAGACCGGGTTTGTGACAGCGGAAGATGGGGAGAGAGAAGCGGTAGAGAGAAGCGTTGAAGTCAGGGCGGAAAGCCGATGGTGGACAGTAGACAACGAGAACATGTGAGAGTAGCATAAGGGGGTTGGTTCCTCAGACAGTATCAGATACTATTCAATTGAGGCAATCAGCCATAGAAACACCATTGTTGTATTAGTCAGTGCGACTGCTGGGTAGGCGTTGAGATGCCGCCAGATAAAGGATGTTACTGAAAGGTGTGCATCCCATCCAGCGAATCAGAGAGTGCCACTCCACTGCAAGAGTATCTTGGCGCCCCATTTCCACAAAAGCGGCAGCCCTTTGTTTTACCGCCCGGCATGTTCCTTTTCGCCGTCTTTAGCCTACGCACTGCCACTTCATCCGCCACAACTTTTGTGTGATCCACCAGCTCAATTCCGGTGCATTTAATTGTATTGTCTACGCCTTGTCAAGGGCCGTCTACCGAGATTCATCAAAGAAAATTATCCCGGGAAATGGTAGTGATGCAGGCAGATGAAGGGCGCTGGAAGCCGCAGGCCGTGCCAGTGTAGCATGTACGTACTGTGACACCGGCATCTTCCGCGATCAACAAAGCCGAGCCTTTGGGAGCTGAATAACCCGGGTGTGCGCCGAGCCAACCCAACAGTCCTTATGTCAGCAAATCAGATGCCTGCGGTGATCTTGTACATGCCATGGTACAGGACCAGGTCGACCACATATATCGCTCTATTCAGTCACTCGTGGCGTGTGTTGGTGCATATCTGACGACATCTGATCGTGGCTGTCGTAACACGGGAAGTGAAAGGAAAGAGGAATGACAAGCTTGGGGTGGGGTAAAGTCTGGCGTTCAAGTTACTGGACCGGTCCGCGGGGGAGGAAGTTCAGAAAATTTGGACAGGAACTGGAATGGCTCACCTCAGGGGGGAGGGAACTAGAACTGGAAATGACGACAGAAGGATGGCGGTGCGAGTGTGTTTCGAAATCATTGACGTCACTGTCTCAGCCACCAAGTCGTGATACAGAATACACTGTATACAGTGTCATGGCTCTATCCCACACCGCCACCAGGGCACGACGGCTTCAACAGAACACGGTTGCGAAGAATTGAGTTTACACTACCGAGGATACCTTGCACTCGCACCTTATACACCAACGCAACGCACCGCAACAACTTGCTATCCTGTCCTGTCCTCTTCTCTGTCTTTTTTTCTTCACCTCGGTGCCTTGTTCGTTACAGAGGGAATACACAGCCATGGGAACTTTGCTCTCTGAACCTGGGCCTGTGCTGCCCAGTCTGTCAGAGAGCTTTGGGGTGGGATCGTTAGACGAAGAGTCAGAGGGTTGAACACGTATCTTGATTCTTGTATAAAGCTGTCCTTGAGACATCGACTTCTCGCACTGTTGAGGGCTTCTCCAGCAGTGCGAGAATAGAGGTCCTATTTACCTCTTTCCTGTGTACGCCTCGTGGGGGCCGCCTTGGCATTTGGGGCCGTTGGCCCCATGGGGGCCATTTGCCCTTTTCGCCCCATGGGGGCCAAGCGCCTGATGGGGGCCATTTGCCCCATGGGGTGTTGTCGGCCGGGAAGCGCATTGTAACAGTCATTGTAACAGCCCTGCTTCCCGGGTGACACAGTCACACTACGACTGAGACAGTGTCGTCGATAGTTCCAAAACACTCACTGACCGGCCTGGACATCCCTCGTGTGTCCAGTTCCCCCCTGATGCATTCCACCTTCCTGTCCGACATCCTAACTTCCCAGGGACCGACTGTCACGGCCGTGTCCCCCCGCCCGCCAAATCGACCCATTCCAGTGTCCTGACCAACTGCTTGAGCTTCCCTGCAGACCTATGTCTAGAACGGCCACGTGTTGCTAGAGGGACCAGATCTGACCGTATCTGACCATATTCATGCAGATCTGGACAGGCACGGCTGACAGCGCTCTGAATAATCCACACGGTTCTGTCCACTGCTAAAATCACGCCAGACTATATCTCCTAAGGAGGATGGCTCAAACGCGTCTGCTGATATCACGACTGAGTAAACACGAGACGACGTGCCAGCGCCGTCCCAACATAAATTGAATATTCCCCTACATAAGAAACCGTCAAGCCTTCCTCGCCCGTTTGCGGGCTTCTGGCGAACTTATCTCCCCCACCCGTTTGCGGGCAACCGGCGAATTCTGCTCACACACCCGTCTGCGAGCATCCGCCATACTCCCCTGGTCCCAATATCGAGTCCAAAATTCCTTGATCTTTTCCGGTTTGACAGAGACCTCCGCGCCGCCAGAGATGACTCCTTGAGGGATCCTGAAAAAAGGCAGGTCCTTCGATGGTGCTGCTCGATATGCAACAGTCTCTTCGAATGCTTTGAAAGGTTCGCCATTGGTATCCCGCTCCCATACCTCATAGAACAATGTGGGCGCTCCTACCACCTTGGAGTTGCGGAGCCAAATTGCACCTGTAAACTCGTCTTTGTACAGTTCTCTGAGGGTTGGCGCTCTCACTGATGGGGCTGTGGCCGGCGACTGGATCGGGTGTCTGGATGTGGGAGGCGGGATTGATGGTAGAGGCGGACCGGTAGAGAGTAACGTTTCGTTGAATGGAAAAGTTGGGATCGTGGAGAGTGGTGTGTCGGGGAGGCGTGGGAGCAGGGGCACCATGAGTAGGAAATCCGTGGGCCTTCGACGCAGATTTGTGAGGAACGGGTCTTCCGGGAGCCTGGACCCTTCTTTCATCTTGATGAGTATGACTCGTTGGATATATGTTGTTCCTTTGAGATATTTAGGCACCAGGGTCCGAAGGTTGTTGAGCGACTGGGATACGCCCACTTCGAGAACAGTATCGATTCTGGAGGCGTCGGTACCCTCGTCCCATTGGATAGTAAGATCTGGTACCTTTTCCGAGAAAGTATAGTCGCCCACAAATTCGGGGATGGACCGAGTACACCTAACCTGCAGCATGGAATTTCTGGTGTATATCAAGTTGCGGTCAGTGCGGACAGCGAGATCACTGAAGAATCCAACGACGGCTTCGTGTCGATCACTGGGGGGAGGTATGACTGTCACAAGAGAGCGTGAGCTATCAAATGATGTTCGAAAGAATTTCCTATAATATTGATTAGCGCGCCGCCAAAAGAATCAACAGGGAAAACACGTACTTTTGTGCGCACAAGTCAAAGTTGGAGTCGTATTGAAGTTCAAACCACGAGTCTGTAGAAATGGTAAATTCGATGGGTTCGTCGTCCCGCGATAGACGAAGCCTGCCTAACGCGACGTCTTCCACGAATTTAAGAAGTTCCTCCAGCTGGTCAGAGTGAGTGGTAGTGTGACTATCCGAAACAGAAGACGAGCCCAGCGACTCCCCTGGAGGGCTGGGCTGCTCCGTGGTGTCTGAGGGTGAATCCATCCTTTGACGCTTGTTGAAATGTCTTGACCTTGTCGATGGGAGATAATGGAATGAAAAACAAGATTTGTTTGTTGCGACTTGCGATGAGACAGTCAGAGCGGAGATGTCTTGTGTCCTGAGAAGGCTGTATATAACAAAAGCGGAGCACGGACCACCTCGGGGTCTGATCTCTCAGGGCGGCTTTGTTGATCGAACAAGGATGGAAAGAACACTCTGTTTCGGTCACAGGCCTGCTTTGTTGATCGGAAAAGGATGTAAAGAAACTCTGCCGCCCTCACAAGGCTCCTTTGTCGATTGATCCACCAGGGCCGCACACCAAACCCTGTCTCGGTCACAGACCTGCTTTGTTTGTTGCACTGCAAAACGCAACAATCTTTCCTTTGGTCGCCAGCCTGTAAGCGAACACCACCAAGGCGGCTTTGTTGGCTGCACTGCGACGAACAGCAATCTCTGCCTTGGCAAAAACCACCAGATGTCACGACATGCAGAAAAGACGAGACACGGCCAGACAGACATGATCAGATGTGGTCAGATATGCAACAACACACGCCACGTAACTGAATGGAGCGATCTGTTTAGTCGACCTGGTCTTATACCACAGCAGGCACCTGGTTTGCTGACATAAGGACTGCTGTCTCGGCGCACACTCGGGTTAGTCAGCACCCAAAGACTCCGCTTTGTTGATCGCAGTCAGCGATCGGGGTCACAGCATTCCGACGGTGTCACGCGTGGCCTGCGTCTGCGCCTTTCCGTGATAATTTGAGGCTTCCGTGCACAAGTCTGGCTGTTTACTCCGCACGGGGCTGACTAGCCGGCTTGCTGCGGCTTTCAGCGCCCTTGATCTGCCTACACCACCACCAGTTCCCGGGATAATTTTATTGCGGCATCTCGACATATAGACCTTGACGGGACGTATATAGCACTGCAAAGTGAACTGGACGCAGGGTGGTTGTTCAAGGGTTGCGGCCGGTGTATTCGTGGATGGGCTGGATGGGCTGCATGGCCTTCAGGCGGCGCAGGCATCGGAACAGTGAAAAAAGGGCTGCTGCCTTGTGGAAGTTGGGCGCCAAGATACTCCCTGATTCGCCAGATGGGTGCCCACCTTTCAGCACTCTTGAGCTGCCTAGATCACCATTTTCCAGGATAACCTTTATTGATGCACCTCGGCAGATAGTCGGTGGCGAAGCGAAAACATTGCGGCAAAGTGCACTAGAATCAGGCTTGTAGATCAAAGAGTTATGGTCGAAGGAGTGTGCTGGTATGGGCTGTATGGGGTTGAAGCGACGACCGTGACCGAGCAGTGAAAAAAAAAAGGCTGGCGGCTTTGTGGAAGTCCGCAGTGACCACTCTCTGAGTCGCCGGGCAAGTGCACACCTATCAGCAGCACCCTTGATCTGCTTGCATCACACCCATTTCCTCGCACATCGGTAGATGGCCAGACATGGCTCGACGTGCACATACACATACACACACACAGATGCAATACAGCTGTACGAGGCGGTCTGATTGGCCGACATGGGTCTGTAAATTGTACGAAACACCGAGGCCCATCAGAGCGCCGCCAGCCACACCTGTCCATATATAGCCAAATGTGGTCAGATACGGTCAGATCTAGTCGTTCTGGCTATATGGGGCCGTGACAGACATGGGCCTGCAGGGAAGTTCAGGAACTTCGACAGAACACTGGAAACTGTCAATTTTGGGGGAGAGGGGGACACAGGGCCGTGACAGACGGTCGGTCCACGGCAGAAGTCTAGGAAATTAGACTGGACCGGATATTGAAATGTCCTCAACGGGGAGGGAACAGGAACAGGAATTGGAAATAGGAGACATGCATGACTGGGTCGGTGGGTGAGTGTCGTAGAACTATCGACGCCACTGTCTCAGTCTCGGTCGTAACTGTAATATCATGATATCATGAACTTTCGTCTCACTCAATCACACTCCCACTCGATAAATCATAGTGCCAGAGCCGACAACGGCGCCACTCACTGACGTAATCATATCATATCATAATATATCCTTGGACAACGACTTTCCCATCATACTACATCACATTCCCGACCGACCCTCCCTTCCCAGACCCAGACAATTTCAGCTGCTGCCGACCTGACGTGTCATGACGTGCCCCATTCTGCGCAATATCCATCCGGATACGAGGTCTGGACAATCCTGCGGACAGAGACGGCTGTGCTTTATTGATTCGTGTCCTTGTCCTCTTCATCGCGGATGGAGTCAGAACGGACTTGTTGCTCGAGGCTGGATGGAGGAGGTTTGGACGAAGAAGAAGAGGAAAGAAACGAATACCGTGTCGTGGTGTGTTGCCCAGTTCATCCCCTTCCTATTTCCCCCCCATGGGACGGCGAGTCAAAGTGCACGACACCCTTGCTGATTCTGTCGGCCGCCTCCGCCATAATCAAGGTCAAAGGTCAGGCGGAGGAGAAAGAGGAGGTCGTCGTGGTGGTATTGGTCGCGCGCATACGGCTTGGCTCGGCTCTTAGCAGTGATGGGATAAGATGAGAGGAATAACGTGGGGAAAAGCACCGACTGCGCCGAAGGTGCGATGGATGGATGTGGCTCATTTCACTCATATTCATATTTCATGCTATTACATTCCTCCTCGTGTCATAGGAGCTGAGCTTGAATCCAAGCGCCCACACCGGCACGGCGGTCGTTACTTCGTGCATAATGGCTTCCGGGCTGTGCGGAGCAAGCCCTTATTGTTGGACACCGGCCGAGAGGATGGGGAGGGGAGGCATGGTGGCCTCGGCAGTCTCTGACTGCTACTCTGTAGGAGGCACGGCGTCGGCTGTCTCTTCGTGCGTGATGGGAAGGCATAGCATCAGCAATCTCTTCCTGCTTGACTCGCGGGGAGATGAGGCGTCCGCAATCTATAGTCTGTTCTTCTTATCTGGTGTGAAGCCGCGGGGTCGGTTTGTTGGATGGATTTTGATCTGATCGCAAGCAATTATAGCGTCCATCCGCGCGGTCTCTATCTCTTCCTATCTGCCTGCCTGCCTGGTTGGTGGTGTGGTGGGTGGTTGGATGGCAGGGCATGATGAGGGATGGAAGGAATAGGAGAGAAGCTCGAAAATCTATTGTCGCCGTATGACCGGTGCCAAGAGGCCGTGACCACACACAGACCAGCCAAACAAGCAAAACACAGCACCATGAGATTGCAAGGGATATAAAACAGGCGCAGGTATGCCAGCAAGGGGGGTTACTATAGGAGGACTAGAATGGCCCCCAGGGGTTTAAGTAAACACTCGCACTCGCACTTGAGAGAGATTTCTTTTGCCTTTGCGATGGGTTGAACCCAGATGAAGGCTCGGTTCCGAAGAATCAACGCTGAGAAAACTTTCCAGCCAGAGCAGACTCTTGCTGTACGAGAGATAGGTTCAATTCCGAACTAACCTAAATACGCAAGGGAGCAAGACATAAAGAGATGAAGGAGAGGAATCCCGGAGCGCTTGAGGGTTACACTGTAACAACTTCTGAGTCTGCCATCGACTTGCCTCACCGCATCCAGCAGAACTCCTGCTGAGCCCTGGATGGGATCGCATCACACCAAGAACCATCGAGCTTTCTGAACGCGCGAGAGCTGAAACACCCATCCTAATTACCATGAGACACCGGCGTGGGATCATAATCAAATCAAATGACTCAGGACCAGTCAAGAGTTTATTCATCCCTCGTCGATTAGTTCATCCACTTTTCAATTAGCTTCGAAACTATGAACGCGTCTTTTAGATCTTAACCGTTACTTAACTCTGATCTCCCTTGACTGCGCTCGATCACTTCACCACTTCACCTTTCTGGTCTCCACCAAGGTCTACCTTCCGCAGGTTTCTCCTCGATCAATTCCTTCACCTTTCCATCGTCCCTCCGTCGAATCAAACAAACTCAATATGGGTTCGAACTCACAGGACTCGGAGATGAACGTAGGGAGTTCGAAGCACAATCGACAAACGTCCTGAGTGGCCCGGTAACAGCGATTGCTCTTACAAATCAATGATCTCTTTGCAGGAGAGCCTCCTGGAGCTGAACCTGAAACCCTTCCAGTCTTCCGCAACTCCCCTGTATCGCCCTCTCAGATAACAAACCCAGAACTCGACTTGGCGAAAGACACCCATGGGGGAAGGGATCTCAAGAGCCTCTTGGGAAGGAGTTTCAAGAGGAGCGAGAATATATCCCCATATCTGAGGATGAGCAAGAAGGCACAACGCAGGGGGTTCCGATGTCTACACCCATCCCACCGGCTACAAAAGTCCCCGAAGAGCTAAAAAAACTGATTGCGTCCTCAACAGCAAGTCCTCCTCCTATTCCAGGTTGCGCCGTGACCATGCAATTCTGTCAGGACTAAAACAACTACGCTTTGAATATGAAGCTCGCCCGTGCCATGGCTACCCTCTCTGAAGATCCTGGATCGAAACTACGGTGTTGTCCGATGGGTGCATCAACTGTGCCAGACTAAGGAGCGGTCACTTGACGAGGTGAAGCAACGGAGACTCGACTCGTGGAATGGTTTATATCCTCAGCGGACAAGGTCTTGCGCATGGAGAGTTCTCGCTTTGTCGTCTGCGGCCGCGGAAACGTCCAAGAAAGTCGCACAGTATTACTTCAGTCGTCCCTGGAGAGTCTATGTTTGCTCTACGGGATCGAAGGGGAAGAGTGATGGCCCAAAGCCATGGTGGCAGCCCTATCATTCAAGGATCTAGTCGCCCTGTTGGGACGACCAACCTATGTTCTCAACCATGCGAAGGATGCGCGTCCACTTCAGTTTGAGTCTAGCAGCTCGCATTTCTGGTGCATATGGTGATCATAAAGACCTGGAATAATATCTGGAACCCAGTCCGCCGCCGCCGTGGAGCAGGTGTCCGTCATGTCAGTGACGAAGTGTACAGAGAGCTCGACGATGTGGGAACTGTCTTGCCTCAATGACTAGGAGCAAGAGATGTTTCCCCCTCTATGTTCGATATTACATGGTGTCGAACTGGCGGTGAAAGGTGAAGTCTCAACGAAATCCACGTCGCTCACATACTCACGGAGGATGGGTGATTATCTATCACCAGCCAGGGGCTTTCAGTCAGAACCAACTTGAATCGAACTACCAAGTTGGAGCTTGCCTACTAGAACAATAGATCCTCGGATCAAGGTTGGATCATAGCCTGATGGGGAATTCAGCGTCATCAAGCTCATCACTCAGTCTGGTTCATATAATGCGCCAGATTTGTCTGATGTAGCTACCTATCGTCGCGGACTCCGGTCGTCCTCTTGGAATGAATCGCTCTCAAATAGGCCTTCAAGTTGTCATTCCTGCTGGACTTATCGTTGCAGAGCGGCACCTAGCATGCGATAGTCTGATGGCGGCTTTGTTTATGCACTGTAGAGTTCTGTCGCGTCAGGTGCCCTCAACGCTGAAAAACTGCTGGCTGTCCACGCCTTGTCTACGCAGGCGTGATCATGACACAAAAATGCGTTGCCTCTGGCGGTGGAGCCTGTATTCATTGTCGAAATTTTCTTCACACTTGTCTCTGTGAGCTGCTCGAAGTAATAGATCTCTCCAAATCGTCACGACGCCGACCCATCGAGAACAACTCGACATTAAGAACGGTCGGCACCGCTACGCCTTTTTGCCGGATTTGATTGCATCGAACGTCGCGTAGAGTGAGTTCAAATAGTTCCGCTGCTGTAGAAGACGTTTCCCATCGAGACAGAGATTCCCCTGCGGAGGAAATTAGTGAGTCGGCCATCTCGGCGCTCTGGAATTCAACTTGTTTCAAGTCAGATTTTTATATCACTTTCAGATCATCGCTTTACCGACGCTGGCGAAGCTGGCCGAGAGCAGATCGCACAATATTACACGATGCTCGTTCGCTTCGGCTCCGACGCGTTGAAAGCGTCGCTATGGCCGGCATGAGCATCTCCTGGATCTGCAGAAGAGATCGGTACTCAATCAACCTCCATGTCTGGGCCTAGGGAAAGTAACTCTCTCGCCTTCGAAGGTGATACAATTATCGTTGGCCACATTGCAGACGAACAAATGGGTATTCCCCAGATATCTGGTGGATCTGCCACTCTCTAGTTGGAGTGGCATCAGATCAGATGCTCACACGGGGCGCCGTTTCGGTAAATACCACGGACTCGGAACAAATAAAACTATGGCCGCCACAGTAGCGCGTTCTCACAAGCTAGAGTATGATCTGGAATGGTGGTGCAACCCCTCCGACAACGGACTGGACTACTTTGAACATGATGTCGTGGTCATACGAGATGAACAACTGGCATGGTCTTCTGAATTGCATCGCAGACGCGCGCGAGAAGATGCTGTTAGTCAAGGGGACAGTGAAGAGGAGAGGACAATGAGTCCTTCGACGTGAGGTGACACCACCGCCATCTTTCCTCTTCCGCCCAGCCGGGCCAGGACCTGTGCGACGTGCAACTGCGTACCTCGTTTCGACGTAGCTGCGGAGAGAAATCCCATCAGACCCCGGAAGGTTATAGGACACATGTGGTGCAACAGCTTGTTAGTATTAGAGCGGAGTGGACTGCGAAAGGACATATTGCAACTCGCTCTGGATTCACAAACACCCATAATATCGACTCGCAAATGCCACGGTCCCCTTCCTCACTTGCCTCGCCTCGCTCAGCCTCTGCTCCAGGCGCTTGACTTATATCCAGCGAACTTTTCCGTCGAGGAAGGGCAAGTCCTAAAAGGGCACGGGAGAGTCAGGTTGGGACCAGGCACGGATTCCCGCAGGGCATCTCATGCGCTCATGACGACTATGCATTCGGTATGTTGGACATGACTCGTGAATTGACGCGTTTCACCATCAAGTATATGGACATTAACGGGGCAGTTGCCGGTCGTTTCACGAGGAGCAGACTCGCCTCACCTTCGGAATCATGGAGAAGACGAACGAAACGGCGACCTTGACGCCAGTCCTGGACGAGAAGAAATTAGCGATGCAGACGGTCCGATGCCCAGGTAGCACCAAGATACCCACGAAGTATGGGCATACTGAGCCAGACAAATGGCTTCATCTCCTCTGTGGCAAACTTCCCAACTTTCTGGACATTCCAAATTCCAAGGTTTGCTGGTAAGCGCAACTAATTTATGCTCGCAAAAACGGGGTTCTCGCTTGCGCAACGGAGAGGTCCAAGGTCAAGGGTATTCCTGACGATGCACCAAATACAACTCTGAAGGCCACTGGAGAATGTCCAACAACAAGCCTATTATGCCAATAGAGTGAGACCATCTCATTCACGGTGCGACCTTGATGTAGAGAGGGTGGATACCATGTCTCGATGGGTTAAATTAGGAAAGCTAGACAGGAATCGATGGTGTATTTCGCTGATTTCTGAGATTGGCGACCGTGTCCGGGTTGTTTGCTCCATCAGCCGCCATGGTGCGCTTCCTATGCAGTACCAACATGCAGAAATCCACAGCATTGAGCGTGGATGGACAATATTTATACAGTGCTTCTCCCCTGAGTCAATGACACGATAACGACATGAAGACCGCGAGCACATCCCACGTCATTAACGTCCGATGGGAGCCGATATCATACTCTCCCCTCTTAGGATGAAACCACCTATTTCACAGGAACAGTTTATGGTCAGTCTGACATCCGTTTGACGCATAGCGAAGGACCTACCAGCGTTTACTGTGCGCACAGCTTCAGGTCCACTCCTTGGCCGCATTGATATGTGTTCTGTTGTGAAGCGCACGCCGATGATTGTCTTGATCTTGTGCTTGTCGACCAGAGCATCGCGCAGAAATGACAGGCAGCTGACCCCGACAAGAATGGCCGAGATGTTCCATCCCGTGTCGGGGTTGCAGACAGACGAGAATGCCCACGGCTACAATAGCCCCGCTGCCTTTCCAATTGTGTCAATGGCGACTCCCTGTCCAGGGTGGGGGGGTGCCAGTAGCAGTAGCAAATGCATTCGGCCAAGCAGTCGATCGCATAATCGAGGCACTTAGTGTGCCCACTCACCTGGGGTAGAAAGTGCAAACTGTCAAGCTCGGTTGCTCGTGGAAGCGCTTGAGTTATCCGTCAATGACGAGGGGAATCTCTCAGCAAAGGAAATGCGGCTGCCATATCGAGGCGTACCATCATGGGCGCCCCAACAGACAAGTATAAAATGCCGGATCGCCACCGTGGATGGGTTGGCCGTCTCAGACGAAGACCCCAGAAAGCAGGTTGTGTGGCAAGTCATCCTGCCGGTCAAAACTATGTTGGAAATCGGCAGGTGATGGTTGATCTTCTTGGGAGTGCTTACTACGGCGCATAGCGCAAGGATTGAATCAACTGAGCAATGAGAAATGCGATATGAATTATAGTACAAGGAGCTATCAAAGAGCTAGGCTGGCCTGCGGCAGGGAGATGGGCGCCTATTCTGGGATACTGCCAAGGGTAGACTGTGACAGTCAATACGTCTATCATCCATCAGTTTATCGACTCCCTTCCTTCGGTTGCCCTCGATCCTTGGTCTCGCAGAACTTTGCACCATCGATGAACCTGAGTGCATCATCAGGTCACCGCAGTCAACCAGGTCGCCAACCTGATCCATCTCCTCCTCGCTTGTCGGCGATTTCGAAAGGATCAAACACACCACACGCATCCCAAGCCAGCCGGCCAGTCTGTTTTCTACCTTGTCCACGGACCAGAGACGGCTTGAAGGCCGACCCTCGAAGCAGCAACATGACGGAACCTAAGCCTCTCGATGCCCTAGCTGGAAGGAAGCCCTCCTCCACCGACCCCAGGGGAAGGAAACCCACGATACAATCACTGTACTACAAACGGAGCAAGTCTGGACTTGGCAGAGAACAGGATTTGGGAAAGAAAAACCGCGTCTCAACCCGCCACATGGCAGTCAAATTGAAAGTTAGTCCCCACAAAGAATAACCGCGGAAGTTTCTCAAGGGCGCCTTCAGCGCTTCGAAGCGAAGGCTACGAAGACGTTGTCGATAGTGGTAGCCCAATTCATCAATTCTTTGCCTGTCGAGGCTGATCACATCGAGTGGAATTGTGGCTGTGATGCTCTCCGTCTTCTCCCAGGCCTGCTTCCTGTTCTTTGGCGGCCTGGGCGGTCTGGCTAGTGTACTCATCGGTAGCGAGAAGACCTTGGCCGTGTCCCAGCACTCGAGGCGACGAGATTCTTCCTATTTGAATGTGTCGGGTTGGAGGCCTAGAACGTGTAGCTGATGGTGACGAAGAGAGTACGATCTCGGACAAAAAGATCGGATGGTGTAAAATTGCCCTGTCTGGTCGCGTCAATTCGATATCTGATCGACATTTTCAAGCAGAACTTTTGACTGAGTTTGCTCTTTCTTTCCGGGTAGCACGGATGCACCTCTCAGTGTCTTGGTCTTATAGATGGAGAGATCCGGATCGACGCTGCACGACGTTGATGACTTCTGCCACGACATGGATCCTGTCGACTGACCGCATTCCGGCATCGAGCCTTCAATGTGTGCACGCATTCGGTGAGCCTCCAGTTGAGAGCCTCGGCGTCCGCTCCAACGACAGGTATCAGTAAGGAAGCGAGGGGACACTTTAGACGGGACTACCCGGTGCGCAGGCTTGAACGTCCTTCTTTTCCGATGGCTCTGGAAGTGATGATGCACCAACCACACACCGTACCGCACCACAGAACACAAGGAATATTGTTGAGTGTGGACTGGGATGCCATCGCACCTCTGAAATCCAGCTCACCAAAGAACCGAAGATTTGATTGTCTATGCGTCGTTTCAAGTCGAGACACAGTTGGGCGAGTCAGCGAGCACGCTCGATGTATGTTGGCATGACGAATACAACCTCCTAATTCAAACATCCCGATCGACATGACTGCCTGAGCGTTTATGTCCTGTCTCGGCTTTCGTTCACATGGCTTCAAACTCCGGCGACAACCACATCCCGCCATACTTGTCCCGCATGGAGTGAAACTCCCACCGACTGTGCCAGGCCAGATCAGTGTGCAGCCTCACGGAAGACGAGGCGGCGGTTGTGTTCATCGCCGATCGAAGACACATTCACTGTTTAACAGGAGCGAGAAGGGATATGTTGAAGAGCAGCACAGCGTCAGTGAAAATTCAATCCCCTTAATATTTGAAGTTGTGACTGGTTCGGAGTATGAACGCGACCTGACACAAGGGTGGAAGGAATCGGGAGACTTAATGACGCGACGACAGAGAGATAGTCTTCCTCTGCGGACCTGACACGCTCGGAAGCCATAAATTACTGTCGGCCAGAATGATTCTGACAGTCTGTCGTCTGGGGTTGTATTTGGTCGTTTTCGGGTGTCGTCAATACGAGCCTCTTGAGAAATTCGTCAAAAGGAGAGTCGAAAACATAGTAACACACGGCGGATAAAGATAGCTCTTTTAACCCTCAATCGTATTATACAATTGTTGATGAGCTGACAAGTTGTTCTCCCACACTGTACTTTCCGGGCCAGACGACAAGGGCTTTGTTTTGGTACATACACAAATTACATTATGGAGAGAGAACAAAAACAAGATCCAGCAGGGCAAAAATGCAAAAACTTTTTCCACCAACCCCTTTGATATGGGGGTGGTGGGAAGTGAAACCCGCTTGTGGCAGGTTTTTCCGTGAGATGTACTGTCTCCCAGACCGGTGCTGGTTTATCCTGATACATCTCGATTCGCCGGCAGTGAGGATCGAACCGCAGACATATTGCCTACTAGCCGGTGCTAGTTTGACCAGATATGTCTGGGGCTCGAACCTCAGATCGGAGGATCGAGGGAGGATCGCCTACTAGAACCATGATTTCCACCGCTTATTGACTCTTCGATAAGCCTCTTTCTCTCTTGTGGTTTGTTGACTCTTTTAGTCTCTTTCCAAGTAGGGGTCTTTGCGATTATTAGATGTGATTCTGGTACTGCAAAATATATGTTTTCATCTTCTGCCACGGTCGGATTCGGAAGGTTATCCGAATCGATGCTGACGTGCTCACACACAAACCCACAAACTATTCCCTTGTTGGGAGTTCTTCGCCTAGTAACTTCATCAATTCATGCCTATGAGGTTGGGATATCGTGATATTTTCCAAGATCCGGATGGTCTTCATCTGTAATATCCCTTACCCTTTGGGCAGGGATGCCGTGGTCCCCTTCTTTTCAGACAACAAGCCGCGATCTGGCCTCGCTTCCAATCCGTGCCACTCGAGCTCTCTCGTAGTCTGTGGATAGATTCTGAACTGCTATTGTGTGGCGGCAGATGTTCTGGATGCTCTAATCGTTCTCGGGTGGTCTTCAAGAGCTCCAGCAAACTTACCGTGGTCCTACGAACGTCCTGCAAAGTACGGAGGAAACAATTCAGATCGACGACCCCGTTTGGCAGAGAGAGTGGGTCAAAATAGGGGAAATACAGCCAGAACAGCAACATAGCATCAGGCAGAACCAGCGCGGGCCCGTGTGGTCGATGCTGTATAACCCCATGCCGGTGAGAGAGAGGAATGAAGCTTGCCGTTGGCCAGCCTCGTTGTCTGTCCAACGCGTGCGGTATAACTGCGCAGCCCATGACACAAAAACACGCTTGTGATCGATAGACCCACCAATCTCATTATCTTTAGAGGGCCGCCCGGCCGTATCCGCGGATGGTGTCCGCCTGTGGGCTTCTATATCTACGGCCGCGAGAGGAGTCGCAAGCACCACTGCTGAGTCCCATCACAGTTTTCCTCTAAAGAGGACATGGAGGACAAGGAGCCTTTCCTCGTGGCTGGCGCGACCATTGTCCTCACCGGCTTCCACTCTATCCTTGCCGATTTACACGCGGACCAAAAGCTCCAAGCTGAGGCTGCAGCAATTGATATCCCCCTGGACAAGAATCATCCCCTACTCTTACGTACTGAGAATGCTCTGCCTGCAAGCCTGCGGTTCAGGTGGGGTGCTGTTCCATTCGAAATCTCCGGTCCCAGGAAGGAACAAACAATGGGTCAGGCCAAATGTGTCTCTGGAGCCCTGGGCCGTGGTGTCAGTTTCGTTAATTGGTCACGGCACACATGCAGAGCCTCATCAAATGGGGTAAAACCCGTTTACGTGCTGGACATGGTTGAATTTGTCTCCCCTTTTCGGCGATCCGGGCGTCCGATTGATCGAGCTTGCCACAGGGCTTGCACTTCATAATGCATTACGCTGCTCAAACAACTCGGTATTCCGAATATGTTCGCCAACGGCTTAGCAAATTCCTACGTATCATTCCCCGGAGAGCCCCCCAATATCCATCACTGTCATCTCGTTCTCCCATTTTCAAATCAGATACGTGTTCTCCCACAACTCTTCACCGTGCTGGTACATCGATGAGTGTTCCAGTACGCTGCTGGCAGGCCATATATCTATCGCTTGCCCCGCTCACCGTTGAAGGACCTGCCTCGGCTGAGGCTTCGTCGGAAATGATGCTCCATTCTTTGTTTTCCCTACCACCGCTGCTATGAAGGCGCTGGTGGTGGAGCTGCAGGAACAGGCTCAGGAAGACCGGCAATTGCGTGGACCAGCCGGGGGCTGCTTCCAGAGAGAACGTCGAGCGAGTGATCAACATATACTTCAATGAATCGTGGGAATCTGCTGTCGCGTCGCAGAAGAGGATATCACTTATTTCGAGTCCTCCGTCGTTGCAATGTTTTTCCAACAACTGTGATCAAATTTTTGGAAGGTGGATAGCTTCGTGTTGAGCCTCCCTGCCAGACAGAGTGATCCAGGGTTTTTGCATTTTGAGACGCTGTCGAATACGCCAGAGATGGTACACGGCGATGGCGCACGATTCGAGCATGTTGACCAACGCCACTCACGCCGCCTTTCGTCGTAAACATCGGCGCCGCCTTGCGGCTCCAACGCCGCCGCACGGCGCCAGCATGATCTCGCGTGTACGTCTTCAACTTGTACGGGATCCTAAATTACTCGCACAGCCACGCGATCCGCTTTGACTCCTTTAGCACTTGATCCAATCGACATTCTGTTGATTACTTCAGCCGCTTCGAGTCCGCGAACGCTATAATGAGATCTAGTCCTGGTCGTGTCAATTGGTCAGATCCGACAGTATAATCGCATTCGAAGTGGAATGTGCGAGACCGTGGGATCAGCAGCAGGCTGTGGTCGTCAAAGCAGTCTTTGGCTATGAGGACAGCCACAAGAACCGGACTGGCCACCGTACGCTGTGGCGATGACGGCGGCGTGCGTGACAGCGTTCTTGAAGTTGTGGATATTCCCAACACCCACGACCGAGGTCTGTTGCTCCCAATTTCGAGCAGACAGTGAATAGAGCTTACTGACCTCCTAGATGAAATGCCAAATTCAGTGTACAGTACATCATTCAGTCGATTGCAGGGATTCGTTGCCCGCACAGATGAGCTGGAAGTACCTGCTTTGGCGACAAATCCTTGACTGTACTGCTCCTCACATCCTCTCCCTTCTCGGCTTAGGCCAAAGGGCAAGAGCCGTCGCCCGCTGGAGCTGGCCCGTGGAGGGGGTGGAATGTATGCCGACGGGCACGAGTCGGCGGGCCTTAAACACGTTGTGGCAGCGAATGCAGTGTTTTTCTCAAGGGTCGGAGGTAGCCGTGTCCTGTATGCCGATGATCCTAGAGGTAGCGGTGGGCGCCGAGTTCACCTAAGCTCTCGTGGTATCCGCCGGCGACACGTTTTTCGTCCAGGGTTGAGGCTCCAGAGCCGCCATTATCAGGATATTCTGCCGAGGATGCCTAAGTGGCTGGCCAGGAAATGCACACGGTCTCTGAGTTGTCGACTGGGTTTGTGTCTTGTCGAGCTTGGCCTCTACCCTTTTTTATGCCTCAGTACTTGTCGGACTTTCTGTCCTGAGGGACACTCCCGTTCTGCCATCGAGTCCATCCCGTCTCTTCAACTTCCTGTTTCCTTGGCATCGGGTCAATCGGCAGACGTCATCTGGTGGTCCAGAGCATGAGGCCGCGCATATCGCGAAGAGTATATGCCTGAACCAAACCCACCCTGACCATTCACAGCCGTATATTCTGTGGGCCGAGGCAAGGATCAGTTGACCTTCTGCAGAGACCTGCTCGAGATCGGAATGGGCTTCGCCCTTCACCTCGACAATACGGTTAACGAAGGGTTATAGTGGAAAGGGTCTAGTCTTGCCAATCGAACGTCATTGCCCGTGTCAGGGGTGGCGAATGCAGCCAACAGCTTCATCCTCCTAACCACTTGAATGCCACATCTGGAAGCTGTCTCGCCTGAAAGGATGAGAGCAGTTTTCCCTGCTTTCGTCTGATGAAGGAAGAGGCACTTTCACTAACGCATCGGAGAAACCGGGATGATTACGGACAACAACGCCATATCCAAGTTGTTTGAGACGTTGATATATCTGCCGCTCGCAATCATTCGGCCTACCTCATACTTGAACCTGACCCAAGAGTCATGGGAGATATATCTCGAGCCTCTCCAAGAATCGAGAGACGAATGAATCCCCAAAATGGTTTCGCAAGGCCAGCAAGGACCTTTGACGATATTCCAACGCAAAAAATACGGTCCTTCAAACTTGGCTCGTGTCGTCAAACACAATCCACTATGCCAGCAGCTTGGAATTGAGTGGGAGAAATTCTTCAGCCATCAAGCTGGCTTGATTGTCGTCGTTCTCAGCCGAAGGAATGCGACACCATCACACAGCATGAAGTGTCCCGAGCCACAAACTGCCGATTTCTTCATTATCGCAACGCCGATGCAACAGTTGACACCTGGGATGTGACGGTTTTGTGCTCACGGACGTGGGCCTCAAAACCCAGGCGAAATCCAGACAGTATCAGCTGCAGCGAGCGGAACATCGAAGCATCGCATCAAGATCCGCGATTAGTGAAGTCGATCTGAAGGAATCCTGTATATATTCGTGTTGGGAACAGTCGCCCAACGCTGTGTTCCTTACCCACCAGAGCCCTGGGTCATACAACCAGCGGACTCAATCAGGCAGTGCTGCTCCAAATGCAAACTCGTTTCGAAAGGACCGTGACACGCTTTGTCGTATTCCGTTTCAAGGATGTTCTCGTTCAGTTCTCCTCAAGGCGCATCACTAAAAGGCAACAGCTCACCGTAATCCCCACTATACTCACTCCTCATCAGCGGGACGTTGTTAGATAGGCCCTCAGGTCTAGGTCGGACAATCATTTTGACAATATCTCTTCCTCTCGTTGCAGATCAGTGGTAATCAAGATGCAAACACCATGTTTTGAATTCAACACCACGGCTTCAACGGCATGGAGTGGAGCACCATGATTAGATGTCACAAAGAGGACACAGAAAGCTTGACATGGTTGTGAAAGCGACACCTTGGACGAATGGCGTACCTCCTGGTCAAGAGGAAGCAAATTCCTTTTTTTCTTGAAAGGCCTGAGACGCCAGGTCCTAATTCCAGAAAGAAGACAGCAGCGCCACAATTTCGCAGTGGTCTCACAAGGAAGGGTCTACCGTGGGAGCGTGGTGATAGCTACCCTAAGGTAACCGGTTGCGAGAGCGTAAAATTCAAAGTTAAATCAACTGCCTAGATGCCCTATTGATTGCCGGCTCTAGGTGGTCTGGTGATAGACTTGGGTCCCCGCGGGGGGGATCTCTCTGACAGCATCGACGCCGGCTTTGGGGAGGGTGAGAAGCGCAAAAGGAAGACCACGACGCTCGGCGAGGATCCGGCAGCCAAAAAAGAGACAGGGAACGAACACGGACGGCAACGCCTCGAAGTCGGCACGGAAGAGAATGGGAACGAATAACGACGGCGCCGCCTCAACTTCAGCACAGAGGAGAAGCCCGAAACAACGGCCACGCAATCTCCGTAATATCTAGAGCTTTGGAAACCCCCTGGACGCTGCGCAGACTAATGCTTCACGAGATATGCCGACCTTCACGTCCCGAGTAATGCTGAAGGACAGTGCCATATGTCGGCGTGCACGACCGTCCTATCCATAAGTGCCCCATTGGACTCGAAACATGAGCCAGGTGCAATCGATTGAGGCTCAGCGAAGCCAGTTGCAGCGGTGATTCCTGTCGATACTATATCAACGCTAGTGTTTCAATTACCTCGGCTTGAACGCCATGGGTTGGCTTTTCGTCGCCAGCTTGAAAAGCAGTACTTGAACAGGTGGGAGGGAGATGGGCCTAAGGAAAGATTCATATCAACCTGCAGAGAATCTGTCTACAGAACCGCTGGAACGGATCGAACAAGTGGACAGACAGGAAGAGAAGTTGGAGGTGATTCAATCAATTTCTTTCACAAGAAGGCGATGAGAACCCTGCTTGATGCTTCCTTCCAGCAGCAGGGCGATGCTTAACAAGCGCGGAAAAGCGCAGATGACAGGGAAAATGGCACACAAAGCTCCCACCTGGACGACTAGGCGTCAGCAATGTCCATGTCGTCGGCGGCGGTGGCGTCATCCTTGTCTCAGTCTCCGTCTTCCTCTCCCTCTGCATGAGTCCTCCTCGGGATGCTCGGGTCGTCCCCAGCCTTGTATCCACCCAGCCCCGACCAGCGAGGCGGCATGATACCACATTGCGAGAAGTATGTTGTCGGCTTAGGCTAGAAGGGTACTTTGTATGAGCCAAGAGGACATTCACAGCCTCAGCATCGACAGCCATCAGACCGCGCACAGCTTCGACGAGTTGTCGACCGGTAAGCTCAGTTATGCCATTGCCAGCTCCAAAGCCACCGGAGGCCTTGGACACTTCCTTTTGATGGCCATGATAGCGCCGCAAGCTTTGTCCACGACGGCCCAGAAACAGGAACAAATGCATGGCGGCAGTGCTCTTCGAGCAGTGTTGACACTTTGTGGCGCCAGCAGGCGCGACGCATCCTTCCATCCTAACATTCACGAAATCTCCCTTTCCTCCATCAGAACTGTGTCCAAGGTCAGGAATCACGCGACAAGCATGCCACACGTCGGTGATAGAGTATACTGACAGAGGCCGACTACGACGCTGGCACCACGGAGAAGCCCGATTCTCAGGTACGAGCTCGCCACTCTGGGAGAGCAACAATCATGAAAAGGTGAGGAGAAGAAGGACCGCGATTGAGGCCGGGGACGTAGAAAGTAGATTTATATGCCGCAGCTACGTGTGGGACTGGCTGTCCAGGTCAGCCAAGTGTATGCCTTGATCCGTCACGAGGAAGAGCCAGTGAGTGATACAGCGGTGCCTTTATAGCCCGCACAGTTTTGCCATACTGATTACGTGGTGAGAAATCGAATCCATCAGTTTTCTTCCACAATCCATATTCCGCAACAAGGAATCCACCAATTGAGCACAAACCTATGTATGTATGGGCAGACAAATGCAGGCGAGCACAGCAATGATCGATGCATACGAGCATGACGTTACAATCAATGCTGGATGGGATGAAAAACAGGCATCATGCGCTATTCATGGTGAACACAACAACTGCACATTGTTGGCTTTCTGTTGTAATCAGGATGCCGATATGACGTCACAGACCTGATTCCTTGGCGCTAACCACGTGCCATTTGAAATCTGTTCTTGCACACCCGTTGCAAATACATAGTCCTTCGTACTGCAATTTCATCGATTCGTTGCCGCCTGCTGAGACTGATCACATCAATTTGATCTGTCACTGTGATAGCGGACAAGAGCTCCGCTTTAGGAAGATTTTGACGACGATACCAAACGACAATTTCTCCGCCAATCCACAACGACCACCTTTCCCTAAATTTACGATCGTGATTGCTGAGACGTGCTGTCTCGACGACTGCAATCATGGGTGGCGTTGCCGTTCGAGATGCCGATGTCAGTGCGCTCTGAAATGCTGGGATGAAAGTCCAATCAGCCCTGATGGGAAAGAGGAAGCAGACCTCACATTTGGACGTGGTACCTTTGAACATGAGTTTCATTAAGGAGAGCATGAACTGACAATGCGGATCATGCAGGAACACCGCTGGCTGAACAACGCTGCGCAAGGCTGCGTTGCCGACGAGAAACATTCACCGTCGTGTCAACATCATTCCGCCTCCTTGTTGAGATGTCAATATTATCTCTCATGTATTTCTCTACATGGTTGATACGTACGCCACCCTCAGGGCTGGCTGTGATGGAATAGCTCCCACAACATCGGTCTTGAGGCTTTTATAGGATGAGTGGAATACAAGGGCACTTCATCTGGTCCCTCCCCTTCCACTACTGCCTAGGAGTTGTCTTTCGGAAGCGAGATCGAGTCCATAGACACGACCTTGCAGGTATCAGGCGCCTGAAGTAGTCTTCGACGCTTTCGACGCTTGAGGGCCAACAACGAGTCGAATTCTATGCGCAATTTGCCTCGAGCATCCGGACACGGACGAGAAGCGAACTGAACCATGTGGGTTTGTGGCTCAGGAGCCTACACCATCTCGATCTCGTCGTATTCCGTCTGCTCATAGCCTGAATATTTGTTTTAAGGATGATCTTGATCGCAGTCTTGTCTCTGTCGACTTCGGCCTCTCGAACGATTCCGTCTTGCCCGCTCCCAGCGTCTTTCCAAGAAGGACGTTTCCGATAGACAACATGTCCATCTTAAACAAGAGACTCGTGATGGTGTGAGCGGAGAGGTTCGAGAGATTCGACCCTGGATCCAACCGACGCGGAATTTGTCGGTGAACTTCGGCTCCGGTTCGAAGCATTGAAGTTCGTCCTTGCCACGAGATATGTCAGAGAGCTTGGGGGTGGGATCGTTAGACGGAGAGCCAGAGGGTTGAACACGTATCTTGATTTGTATAAAGCTGTCCTTGAGACATCGACTTCTCGCACTGCTGGAGAGACCCTCAACAGTGCGAGAAGTCGATGTCTCAAGGATAGCTTTATACAAT